TAGAAATCCAATAACCAAACCGCATCAACCTTTATTTGGGAGGATGGCGGAATCAGAGCAGAGCCCGACGCCAATTGCGCAGCCTACTTCACCCCGCCTCCGACATATATTACGTGGCAACTAGTTACTGACGCGAGCTCGGTGATCCCTCTTTGTGCCGACGCTCTGCGACCGCGCGCAGCGATCGGTGCGCTCACCCCAGGAAGCGTAGGGCGGCTGCAGGGATGGCGGCAGTGCCCGCCTCGGCGCCTTCGCTGACCGGCCGTCGCGCTGCTCATTCAACGCCATCGGCACTCGGCCCGCTCAGCGGCGGTGCGACATGGCGGAATGGAAGCGGCCGTCTCGCCACGAGGAGGCCGGAGGTGCCTTGTATGTGGCGCAGAGGCAGCAAGGGTGCGTGCACAAGGCCTCGCTAGGAGCCGCCGCAACTGCCCGCCCTCCGCGTGCGCTCTCCGACCATTCCTTCGCTGCACACTAGCCCGCCTGCCAGCCACCCTCTCTCCACGCCCTTCCGCATGCCCTTTGCTGCCCTGCCATTTCTGCGCGTGCTCCCCCCATTCCCTTCCCCGCCCCCCTCCTCCCTCCCTCAGCCCGTGTGAGCGCGCGCGCGTCCACCCGCCACCTGCCGCCCATCCCCACGACCTTCCCGCCGCTGCCTGACCCCGCCTTGCCGCCCTACGAACAGGTGCACGCTGCTGCCTCCTCGCCCCATGCTGGCTGCCCCACTGCTCTCCCCATCGCCCGTCTGCCCCCTGCCCGCCACCGCTCATGTTGTGCACGCCGCTGCACCGCTCACCACCACGTCACCCCCATTCTTCTCACTCCGCTTCACCGCGGTGCCTCGGCCCTCCCTTGCCCATGCGTGCATGTCAGTTTGTGCTGCCCAACGGTCTGCGCGTCTTTCTCCTCGAAGACCACGAGCTGGGGCTGGTGAGTGCTGCATGGGGCTGGTGAGTGCTGCATGGGGCTGGTGAGTGCTGCATGGGGCTGGTGAGGTGTGGGCAGGAGGTTCAGAGCGGCCAGATTGATGCACCCATGTCCATAAATCCGCCCGTGACTCGTTGTAACACCACTCACTCGCACATTACCCTCTCTCTCTCTCTCTCTCTCTCTCTCTCTCTCTCTCTCTCTCTCTCTCTCTCTCTCTCTCAAACGGTCCTTTGTATTAATTCAGCAGGGGTACAAACATGCGGTGCTATCCATGATAACCTCTATCCCTTAAGCCCCAAAACTTACCACTCTTCACCCCCCCCCCTGAGTGACCCTCTAGCCCTCCAGCGTGTGGAGGATGTCCCCCAGGTGCAGCGGCCAGGGGTCCGCTGCCATCTGGGGGTGCGCTGCCTCGATCCCAGCCCTGGCCTTCGTGTGCAGGGCATTAGCCTGGGAGCGCTGGAGGGCCACTGACCAGCGCTGGCTGAAGTGGCAGGCCATCTTCTTGGCCGATTTCGCCAGGGGGTTGGCCCTGAACCGGTTCCTAGCTGCTGCTGTGGCCAGCAGCTTCAGGAACGCAGTCGTGGTGGGCGCGTTTGCCCCGTAGGTCTCGACGGCTAGGGCGCAGAACACCACGTGTTCCGTGTGTCGGTAGTACTCCCTCTCCTTCCGCCTCTGTGCCTCTCTAGCAGCCCAGCCTGGGGGTTTGCGGGCTGTGGGGTCCCGGTTCTGCAGCACGGGGTCTGTGATAGTGGTGTCTGTGATCCAAGTCTCTCCACTGTCCGGGTCGCGTACAATCACATCGGCTTTCTTCGGGTCATCCGGCGGTGAGTACATGGCGTTCTCCAGGTATACCACCAGCTGTGCTTCCCTTGCCATTTTAGCCACGGCAAAAGCTAGCTGCCCTTCTCTTCTCTCTCTCTCTCTCTCTTTCTCTCTCTTTCTCTCTCTCTCTCTCTCTCTCTCTCTCTCTCTCTCTCTCTCTCTCTCGCCCCTCTACTGCCTGTCTGTCCACCCGTGTGTGTGCATGTGGCAGGTGGGAGGGCAGCTGCTAGTGAAGGGCGGGGCCCAGTATGAAGCGCCCGACAAGGTGGGCCCATGTCTCACCACCCATGCACAAGTGCGCCGCTCCCCATGACTGCGCCTCCCACCATGCATGTGCCTGGCCGGTCATCAGTTCCTAAGGCTCGTGTGAATCCGTGCAATGTGTGCATGGCTCATGAGTCCATGGCCATGCATGCAAGCAGCAGGCACCCATGCATGAATGCGTGCTCTCCCCCCCTTGTGTGCAGGTGGGAGTGGCGGGCATGATGGCAGCGGTGCAGCGCAGTGGAGGCACGCAGCAGTACCCCGAGGAGCAACTTGATGACACGCTTGAGGTCCGCCCTGCATGCACTGTCCAGCCCTTTGGGCCCACCATGCCATGCGCTCTTCTCTCTTTCTTTCGCACCTTCACTGAGCCGGTCCCGTTACATCCCCTATCCCGGCATCCGCCATTCCTCATCGCTCCTGCGTTCTGCATGCCCCCCCATGCAGGCAATGGCGGCGTCCATAGAGACATCAGCGGGCACCTCATCGCTCTCAGCGTCCTTCCGCTGCCTGCAAGAGGACGCGCCCACCCTCCTCCCCCTGCTTCGCGATGGTTCGCCCCTGCCCCTGCCGCCCCTGCCTGCCTCTGCTCCATGGGATTGCATACAGCCCAGGCCTATAGGCAGTTTCTCCCTGCTCTCTATCTCACCTCCCTCGGATTCCTCCCCACTCATGCCCTCCAATTCCCTACTATCTCCCCCACCCCGCGCCTCTCCCTCTTCCCACCAGTGGTGCTGGCACCGCTGCTACCAGCGTCCAAGCTGGCCTTCTCGCGCACGCAGCTGCTCGGCTCCATCGCCCGCCGCAACGACGATGTCCGTCCTTGCATGCCCACCCACTCCTACCCAACCCCCCTGTTCCCACCTGCTCATTGCAAGCCACTCCTATGCCCGTGTCCATGTCCAAGCCACGCTCGTTCATCCATGGATGTGTAGAGATTAGCCTTCCACCAGCCAAAGAATTTGCAGCACGCCGTACCTCCTTCCCAAACATTCCATCCATTTCTCCAACCCCTCCCACCTACCCTCCTGCCCTCCTCCCCCACCTCAGCCAGGGCGGGTGGCATCAAGGGAGCTGCAGCGCCTGCTCTACAGCCCCGCCTCCCCACGCGGCCGCTACCCCCTCGCCGCTGACGTCGCCCGCATCTCCCTCGCCGACCTGCGCGCCTTCCACGCAGCTTCCTACAGCGACCCGTCACAGGCGGTGCTGGGAGTGTGGGGCGACTTTGACGCGCGGAGCATGAGGGACCTGCTGGAAGACACCTTCCTCGCCTGGCCCGCTGCCCCCGCCTCCCCTGCGCGGCGCACTAGCAAGGGCCGCCCGGTGCCGTACTGGGGGCCGGAGGAGGGCGTGGCGGCCAGTGCTGCGGGCGTGTACGTGGTGGACCGACCGGGGCTCACCCAGAGGTGCGTGTGCAGCAGGGGTGTGCGCGGTGTATGGCAACTGCACCACACCCCATGGCAAGCGCTAGCCACCATGCTCATGCCTTGCTTGCACTTTTTTCTCATGCCTCTCTCATGCCTTTCCCCTGCCTCTCCTCTCCCCTGCCTCTCGTCTGCCCTGCGCCTTCCCGCCCCTGCCCGCTGGCAGCATAGTGCGCGTGGGAGAGTTGGGCATCACCATCAGCGACCAGGACGTGTTTGCACTCGATGTGCTCAACGCCATCCTCAATGGCTTCGGGGGCCGCCTCTTCGACCAGGTCCCAACCCCACTTCCTTCTCCCTGCCTCTCCCCTTGCTCCCCCTCCCTCCCTCCCTATCCCACGCTGCCTCTCCCTTCACTCCCTCTCCCCTATCCCTTGCACCCTCTCCCGTCACTCCCTTTTCCTCGTTTCCCTTTTGTTAACCCTTCTCGTCTCCCCATGCTCCCCTCCCCTCCCCTCGCAGGTGCGCTCGAGGGAGGGTCTGGCATACTCGGTGTCGGGTTCATGGTCGCCAGGCGTTGACCACCGGGTGCGTGCCGCTGCTGCTGCCACTGCCCGCCTGTGCTTGCCTGCTCTCTCTGCCCTACCTCACGCCTGCTCGCCCTTAACTATCTTGCCTGCTCTGCGCTGCTCTCTCAGCTCCCATTGCCCATGAGTGCAAGACCTGCTCTCTCTCACCAGCAGTTGTGCCGGTGTGTGTCCCATGCGTGCAGGGGGCGTTTGTGGGGGGTGGGGAGACGAGGGCGGAGGCAGTGGGGCAGTTCGTCACAGCAGTGCAGCGCGTGCTGGGGGAGGCCACGCTGTTACCACCTTCACCGGGTGAGCCCCCCCCTGCCACTGCCTGCCTGGCACCTCATGCCTCAGCACGTGTTGCGTGCAGCAAAGGCACTCATCCATTGTCACCTCATGTGTGTGTGGCGGTGCTGCTGTGCTGTGGAGTGGAGTGCAGGCGAGCTGCAGGAGGCCAAGGACCGAGTGCTCAACTCTTTCGTCTTCAACTTCGCTGACAGGTACCTCTCCATGCACACCCACCTCTCCCATATGTCTCGTCACTCCAAGCTATTCCACTGCTTATGTGCTCTGCAACCTCATTCCTGCAAGCCTCTCCTCCCCATGCCCGTGTGCACTGGCAGTGGCGCGCAGCTGAGTCGCATAATGACGTACTCGCTGTTTGGCATCGACCAGGACTTCATATTTGAGTTCAAGCGCCGTGTCGAGGCGCTCTCCCCCGACGCCGTGCTGGCAGCGGCGCAGCGCCGCCTGCACCCGTTGGAGCAGCCCATTGTGGTGGTGGCGGACGCTGCTGCCGTCATGCCACAGCTCTCAGCCCTCGGCCTGCCCGTCACCCTCATTGACCCTGTCTAGCCTCCTTGCTCTGGCTGTTGTCTTATGGGTTAAAAATGCATGCACTTAACAGCCCTCACAACACAATGCAGTGAAAAGAGAAAGCCAACGAGGCAATCGCCTGGCCACGTCCACTACCCTAGGGCCCTGCACCACTACGGTAACTACAGCATCTAGAAAACGAGTCTGGTCTGGAGTGTTGAGCATGGCGCATCTAGGAGGAGGCAGAGCCGCCTCTCAAGGCGAGCACGAGATGCAGCACGGAGCCGCCCTCTATGTTGTAGTCCTTGGCCGTCTTCTCATCGTTCATCTGCTTCCCCGCAAAGATTAACCTGCCATGCCATGCCATGGGATGGGATGAGATGGTATAGGACCCATGTGAAAGCGCAGGTACTCACTTAGAAAATGGTCAGCCCATGCAATGCAATCAGGCGTGCACCACATACGCAGCACACATGCACCCAGGCGCAACCATCCCTGCGTCTCACCGCTGCTGCACGGGCGGGATGCCCTCCTTCTCCTCGACGCGCTCCTTGATGCGTTCGATGGTGTCGGTGGGCTCGATGTCGATCTCGATCTCCTTGCCCGTCAGCGTCTTCACCTTGATCATCATGCCGCCGCGCAGCCGCAGCACCAGGTGCAGCGTCGACTCCTTCTGGATGTTGTAGTCCGCCAGCGTGCGCCCGTCCTCCAGCTGCTTCCCCGCAAAGATCAGCCGCTGCTGGTCCGGCGGAATGCCCTCCTTGTCCTGCGCGCCGAGCATCGCACGCACCGCCTCAGAAAACGCGTCGCAACCAGGATAGCACTCTAGCTACTAGCACGGTGGCGGCAGCGTGAGTCCTTGCCCGGTGCGGTGGCGAGGGGGCAAGAGCGCGAGGAAGCGATGACGCGGGGGAGCGACGGCGCGGGGGAAGGGGGGCGGGGGACCAAGGGCGCGGGGGCGCGAGGGAGGGAGGGAGCGAGCGAGCGAGCGAGCGCGGGCGCGAGGGCGCGGGGGCGCCGGGGCGCGGGGGCGCGGGCGAGCGGGGGAGCTTGCCTGGATCTTGGCCTTGACATTGTCGATGGTGTCGCTGATCTCCACCTCGAGCGTGATCGTCTTGCCCGTCAGCGTCTTCACGAAGATCTGCATGCTGCCCGCCCACGCCCCGCTGCGCGCCGATTCACGTGACTCACGAAATGAGAGCGACGAGGATGTTCCGTAAGACGAGGCGACGGCAGGACGGAGCTTTCAGAAAGAAAATAGAATGCGAACTCCAAATACGGTACGCGATAACTAATATCCGCCAAGGTGGAAGGGGTGTCTCTGTAAAAGGAATTTTTGGTCTCTATAATAACGTGAGCCAACCTGGTTTACAAACAATTTCTTGGCACTTCTAAATTAGTACCATCTGGTGCTAGCTACTGTAGGCAGCATATATTTGTTAAGCTGGTGCAAGGGGGCTCCTGGATAAACTTCCTTCTTTTAGACAATAATGACAACTGTAGCTAAGAATGCCATCTTATTCGCTAGAATGGGCGTCACTCTGACGTGCGCACGATCATGGCATCTCGGCCGGGCCCCACACCAATGAAGCGCACGGGCACGTCCAGCAGCTGCTCTATGCGCCTCACGTACGCCTGTGCGTTGGCTGGCAGCTCCTCGAATGTGCGCACGCCTGTGATGTCCTCTTGCCACCCCGGCACCGTCTCATACTCCACCTGCCCACGCACGCACACAGCAATGTCATCACACAGCCCGGCATTGAGGCCACCCGAGCAGTAATGGAACGACAGAAACAATCAAAGCATACGAGTATTGAATGTGCATGGTGGTTGCAGCGCAGGGCACATGGCACACACCTCTACTTGCCCCAGCAGCTCCAGGTCGGCGGGGAAGGCGGGCAGCAGGGAGCCGTCAGGGGCACGGTAGCCCACGCCCAGCTGCAGCTCTGGCAGGCCCGACAGCACGTCCAGCTTGGTGAGGTTGAGAGCCGTGAAGCCGTTCACCTGGCACGCGTAGCGCAGCGCCACAATGTCCAGCCACCCGCAGCGCCGTGGGCGCCCCGTGGTGGTGCCGAACTCGTGGCCCGCCTTGCGCAGCTGCTCGCCCAGCTCCCCAAACAGCTCTGTCGGGTACGGCCCCTCGCCCACCCGAGTCGTGTACGCCTTCGCCTGCTCCACCATGCGTGGCAGGGGGGGGCATGGGAGGGGGGATGTGGTGGGAGGGTGAGATGGTGGGGGGGTGAGATGGTGGGGGGATGAGATGGAGGTGGCGTGAGATAAAAAGGGGGTGCGAGATGAAGGGGGCGGGTGAGAAGGAGGTGAGCGGGGTTAAGAGGCGGGGGCGTGGGAGGGGTGAGAGGGTTGAGGCAATGTGGTGCTCGAATCAATCACGAGGAACGCGGCAGCAGCAGCGATGTGAAGTGGCTTGAGAGTGGAAATGCGGGAATGTGGGCAGGCAGGCGGGCAGGGAAGGAGGGACGCACGACGCCGATGATGTCTCCGAGGACACGCGGGGGGATGCCAAGGCCGGTGCAGATGCCACCGACAGAGGGGTTGGAGGAGGTGACGAAGGGGTAGGTGCCGAAGTCCACGTCCAGCATCGTCGCCTGCCCGCCCTCCACCAGCACTCGCCGCCCGCCGCGCACCGCCTCGCCCACGAAGTGAACAGTGTCCGTGATGAACGGCTCCAGCCGGGCGGCAAACTCCCTGTAGCGCGCCACCTCAGCGTCGAGGTCGGCTTCAGTGTACTGGAAGGCGGGGAAGCGCTGGTGTGCGTCGCGGTAGAGTACCTCCAGCTTGGCGCGGAACGTGTCCATTCGGCGCAGGTCGCACACCCTCACCCCGTTGCGGATCGCCTGGTGGGGGGGGAGAGGAGGGAGATGGAGGTGTGCAGAAGGGGAGGAGCACCGGGAACAGTGGCGTTAATGATGTGGCGAGGACGAGAGCAGCACGGCACATGGGATCCCTGCCCAACCACCCACAATTAACCACACCCCAGCCCGCATGGTCAGCACCACCAACAGCCCCTTGTGCTCTCTCCCACCTTGCCATAACTCATCCCAACACCCCCTCCGCTCCCTCACCTTCACACCCTCCCCTCTCCCTCACCTTCACACACTCTCCGCTCCCCCTCACACACACTCCCTGCCCCTCACACACCACCCCTCTCGCTCTCACACCCTCCCCGCTCACACATCCTTTCCCCACATACACCACTAGCCCCAGGCACAAACTCCCCCACGCCTCCCCCCGCACCCACGGCGCGCGCACCTTACTGGCGTAGCACGGCCCGATGCCGCGCTTCGTGGTGCCGATCTTGTCGCCCGCCAGCTCCGCCTCGCGCAGCGCGTCGACGGTCTGGTGGAGGTCGAAGAGCAGGTGCGCGCGGTCGCTGACGAGGATGCGGCCGTCGACGCGCACGCCGCTGGCCTCGAGCCCGTCGAGCTCGTTGAAGAAGCCCGGCAGGTGGATCACGGGCCCGTTGCCCACCACGCACATCGCGTTCGCGTGCAGGATGCCCGACGGCACCAGGTGCAGCGCGAACCGCCGCCCCGTGCTGTCGTATATCGTATGCCCCGCGTTCGCGCCGCCCTGCACCACGGCGCGCGGGGGGGTGGGGAGCGGGGCAGTGCCTTCACGTCCGAAATCTGTCTTGTTTCCGCGAGAATGAGAGCGAGGTAAATTCCCTGTTTGTTCAGCCATTCAAGCAGCGACTGGGTTGATAATCAACCAAATTACTCGCGTGGGCATTGGCGGAGGGGACAAACGCAGGTGCTTCGGACACGGGCTAATCATGAATTCGCTCGTAGATTTTACATATTTTTAACCTTGGGACTCAAATTGAGGGCCCGATTGCCATGTGGAAGTTAAATTAGCATTGGAACACTCACAATAAGCTTGGTTCTCACATTTGAAGGCTGGCGTGGCATCGCAAGAGTCTCCAAGCCTCGCTGTCTCTCCGCTGCCCTGGTACTGACCGCCTCATTGTGCGCCACGCGTGCTCCAGCAAGGCGCGGGGCTCTCGTCCGCTGAGTCCACTACCATCGCCGCCACGCGGCAACAGCGATCCCCGCCATATCCCCCTCTCACGCCATTCCCCTGCCATCGACTTCGCGGATCTCTAGCTCTCGCTCTCGCCTCTCTGGGCCGCCGCACGGCGTCTCACCTGGCAGCGCGCGACGACGTCGTATCGCTGCGCGAGGATGTCGACGAGCTTGCCCTTGCCCTCGTCGCCCCACTGCGTGCCCAGCACCGCGCACACCTTCGACAGCTTCGCCCACTCCGCCTCCGCCGCCGCCGCCGTCGCCGCCTGCGCATTCGGCGCCGACGCTGCCACAGACGCTGTGACAGCGGATCGCCGTCTCGACGCCGCAATTTGACGGCAGCTAGTCGACCGGCTTCTGCCAGTGACGGCGGTGGGCGATTGCGTGAAGGACGATCTGAGCGTTAGTTGCGCAGCAGGCGCCGCTGGCGACGCGGAGCCGCTGGCCTTTGGCACGGCGGCATGACGCGCCGAAGAGACGGTGCCGCGCAATGCGGGGGAAGGGACAGATACCGCGGCAGCCATAGTTGACGCGGGCAATGGGACGGAGGGGAAGGGGTAAGGTCTTAGTTGGCTAGGTCTGTTAGGTATGGGCGGGGGACAAGATTTATGCTTTCAAGTCAATTCTGGTGCGCACAAGGGGGTTGTGCGGGGCGGGGAGCTTGGGTGTGGTGGGATTGCTGCGTGGAAGGGACGGCGGCGAGGGGAGGGAGGCGAAGGGGATGCGGGCAACGAAACGACGACAGGTGGTCAGGGAGGGGGGGAATGAAGGTGGGGTAGGTGGCAGGTTGTGGCAAATGACCGTCAAGAGGCGATCGCTGACGGGGCAGCTGTGCCACGAATGCTGGAGTGGCGCGATGCTGCTCCAATCACACACTCTAGCAGCACTCTAGGTCAGCAGCAGTCCAGCCCATTATGTGGAAATAGTTGTTTACTCAACCATAATTTCATCCAATAGTACAGCCAAAACACTTAAATCTATGGTACATGTCAGGTGCATTTGCCATGGTAGATTACTACAAATATTCACAATCACCTGGATTCTTATATACATGCCACAACTTTTGCAGTTTATTTTTCCTCCTAAGCAAATAGATCATGGAAGCGAAGCGCACTGGCACGCCACATCCTCTCTTTCCATTCAAAGCACTACATAATATCATAACGTTTTAACTCGCAAATTTGGTGAAGTTCGTCACTAAAATGCTTTTTACGATAGGCCTTGATGTTGACTAGTGGTTTTCCATGTAAATGCGGGCATCATTTGAACTGCATATGTCAATAAGAAGGTATACTCACAAATACTTGTGAGACTTCAAATGTAACTTCGGCACTGGTACGTTCATTATTGTTAAAGTAGGAGCTAAGGCTAGGAGCCATAGCTAGAGTAGTGTGAGTAACGAGAGAGGTATCGAAAATAGAAGGGGTTTCACTATTGGAAGTAATACAGGATATAGAGCAAGGGGAAGGTGGCAAGAGGGGTACGCCACCAACAAGGACAAGCCTAAATGATACTACACTAACTGTCTAACATGCAGTTATACATAGATAGAACTCTAACATCCCCCCTTAACTACATGCAAGACTAGCTAGAGAGGGTCAGTCACCCATAGAGGTGCAATAACTGAGTAGTAGTTGGAACCACTGTGGTTGAACCCCCATGGCAGATGCCCGGCTGCTAGAATTTAGGGTGCTCGGTGTGCTAACGGGGAGCGAACATGCCGAGAAACGATGGAGCTAAACGAAGGCGGCGAATTGTTGTGCGATGGTCACGAGAGAAAGCAAAGGAGGAGGAGAAGGAGAGGGAGAATAGGTGCAGCTGAAGGTGTCAAAATGCATGTTGTTATGTAGGCTGTAGTGGGGTACTCAACAGAGAGTACAACCCTTTTAGGGTTTCCCTTTATGTACTCCCCATGCCTGCTAGTGCAACCACTTCCTTCTGCTGCCATGACTGTTTCCTTATTCTGACATGGTATCAGAGCATGCTCGTTCCTAGAGCCTCCTCCCATTTGGGCCCGCCGTTAGCTTCCGCTAAATGCGCGACTCTGCTGCCTACGCGCGCCCCAGACGCGCGTCGGTTTTCTGCCCGCCGCGCGCCCCGGGCACGCGTCGATTTTCTGTCCGTCGCGCGCCCCGGGCGTGCGTCGATTTTGTGCTCGTCGCGCGCCCAGGCGCACGACGGTTTCCTGCCCGTCGCGCGCCCCGGGCGCGCGTCGGATTCTGCCCGCCCGCACGCCCTGCTGTCGCTCGCGCAGCTCCTACCCCGTCCCCCCCCCCCCCCCCCTTCTCCTCCATCTCCCTGCTGTGCGTGCAGCAGTGGGGGGGAGGGTATGGGGGTGGCGGGTGTGAGTAATCAGCTGCCGCCTCTCCTCCTCTCTCTCCCACTGCCGCACATGCCGCTGTGGGGGGGGAGGGTGTGGGGGAGATGAGGGAGTGGCGGTAGGGATGCCGAGGGGTGTGAAAGGGAGTTTTGGGAAAATGGGGGAGGTTGAAGGGGGGTGGCCGCCGTGAAGCCAGCATCTCCAGTCGCCCATGAGACCGTTGCGCCTGTCGCCCGTGAGACCGTTGCTCCAGTCGCCCGTGAGTCAGTTGCTCTTGCCGCTCGTCCAGCCGCAGAGACCGTTACTCCAGTTGCCCGTGTGCCAGTTGCTCCAGTTGCCCGTGTGCCAGTTGCTCCAGTTGCGCCGTGTGCCAGCAGCTTCTGCTAGGGTCTCTTCTATCATTACTGTTTCCTTATTCTGATAGAAGGTAGATGGAGGAGGGGCGGCTGCCTTGTCAAAGTAGGTTCTTAACTTAGTAGGCTTGGCTTAGGGGTAGCCTAGGAAGGAAGGAAAGTGGCTAGAGCATTGGAAGCGAGATTGGGAGAAAGAGGGTTTCACTATAGGAAAACAGAAACATATAGGAGAAAGGGGGAAGGTGCACCACCAAAACAACAAATATATAACTACACTAGGATCTACTGTAGGCAGGTATATAAATGTATACAAATACATTTCAACAACATCCTCTCCCCCTCTGCCCCGCAACACGTCACGCACAGCAGATGCAGGGATGAGGAGGAAAAGGGAGGGGCGGGGGGTTCAAGGAGGCTTCAGCACCCCCATCACCGCGGCCTCGAGCCGAGCCACCTCCCTCTCATAGTGTCCGCCGTGGCAGGGCGCGGCGGAGGAGAGAGTGGGCGCGGGCAGAGGCATGGGCAGAGCGCAAGCTCCACTCCCCTGCCGCCTCCCTCCCACCCGCCACCTCCCCGCACTGCAGAAGAAGGCGTGGGCAGTCGAGGCGGGGGGGGGGGGGGGGGGGGAGAAAACGGATCGGAGGGGGGGGGGGGGGGGGGGGGGGGGGGGTTGCGACACGCGCACCCAAAACGCGCGAGAAACGCGCGTGAATCGGGGGGGGGGCTTCGGGGCACGAAACAGGGGGGCGTCGGGGCGCGAATCGGGGGGCCTTCGGGGCGCGAAACAGGGGGCCGTCGGGGCATGGGACGGCACGGGCAGTACGGGAGTCACGAGAACGGACACGGGAGACACGGGGCGGCACGGGAGACATGGGAGATACATGGCTGTTGGGTGCAAAATACTATTTTTTTCACGTCAACCAGCCGCCTGATATTTAACTCAAAACTACAGCAAAATATTTCATTATATGTCCTGTCCTTGCACTCTTCTCCCCAACTTCTCCCGCCAATCTCTCATTTCTTCTCCCTCCATCTCGTCGTTCCTTTGTTCAGCTTCACCTGTTTCACACTCAGTCATACATCCTATATATCCGTCCTCTTTATAGTTCCCCCATTTATAAATGCCATTGGTATAGTGCCCTTTCTTCTTTTCTTACATATCACTACTCCCGCCTTCCTTCCCCTATGCCCCTCCATTTCTTTCCATCCTCACTTCTTTCTGGATAGGCGGAGGGTGACTCTCAAGCTGGACAGCGGTGCAGGCACCACGATAGCTAGCGTCGAGTGAGCGCAAGTGCGTGCCTAGGTCAGCAGTAGTAGAAAATGCAAGAAGGTATGGGAAGAGAAAGGGCATGAGCAGGCAGGGTAGCAGAGGAAAGTTTGGAATATCGAGAAACGATAGCGTCAAAGTACTTCTTCGCCGACGTAACCTGGCTGAAGTGAATGCACTCGGCTGTCGGGAGGAGGCGACCAAGAGCGATGCGAGCAGCAGCATCGCGTGACTGCCACACCGAGTTCGCAGTGCGCTGCGCAGCGAAGGTCTCCCGGTCCGTCGCTATGGCCTCAGTAGGAAGTTTGGAGGGACGCGATGGGGCATGCAGCTCACCCGAAGTGTGAGCGTACAGGGTGTCACCATCCTGGCGCTGGTTCTAGAGGTGAAGTATGGCGTGCAGCAGCCACGTGTCAAAGTCAATCGCGCGCCCTTCGGCATCGAAGCAGTGAAATCCATCAGACACCATGGCTAAGGCGAGCTGGAGACTAGCAGCTGGCGAAGAATAGCGGCAGGCTAGTAGCGGGCGGCTAGTGAAGACCGGTAAAAATCTGGTGGCAAGTCTCTAGTGTGGGCTAGAGGCTAGCGGCAGCGGCGCCTGTCTAGCGCGGTGGCGGCTGGTGACACCCAAGGTAGTAGGCACTAGCGCGGCGGCCCGGGGCTAGATGGAGCAGCAGGCAAGGAGCGGGCCGTGCTCTGCTGCTGGCGGGCAGGCGCGCTGATGGGCCGCGGCGCGCTGATGAGCCGTGGCACGCTGGCGGGCAGGAGTGTGCGTTGGCGGCTGGCCGCGTGTTGGCGTCTGCTGGTTTTGCGCGCTAGCGTGCGCGCTGGCGGGCTGGCGGGCGCACTGGCGGGCTGGCGTGCGCGATGGCAACTGGTTGCACGCTGGCGGCTGGGTGCAATACGGCGGGCGGCGCGTTTGCTGGCGGGCGGTGCTAGTATGTGGGCTAAGCGTCGGGTCGGTGGGCGCTCGAGGGAACGTCCTAGGGGCAGACTAGGAGGTGGGCTTGGGTAGGCTAGGGTGGGCGGTGCAAAAGCGGGGATCCTAAGCCTACTCGTGATACCATGTCAAACTGAATAATGATGTAGTGGATTGCAAGCATGGGTACAAATAACAAACCCTAACCTAGCCTACCAAAGAAATAATTATTGTTAGGTATTTATGTAATCTCAACCTTATTTCCATCGTTTCTAGAGATATAGGCATGTTACTGACAGTGGAGCATATACCGAGAGAGGATGGTAATTCCTACAATGAGATCAATGCCCACTAGCGTATTTTCAACGGTTTACACCATGCTCAAGATATTGTTACTGTCACCGCTTATGCATGTGATGCATAAGCAATAACAGGAATACAAGGGGTGAAGGAATAGTAATAGATGATAACCTTACAATTGCATTTCAAGTAGATTAATGAGTAGTGTAGAGTGTAGCAACGTTACTGTTGGAATAGGCCTAGAAGGGGGGGGAACGGAATGTGAACGGTGGGGAAGTCTCGGGGGGGGGAAAGCCTCGAAGTGCGAAATGTGGGACGAAGGGCGAAATGTCCCAACCCCGAGCCGCGCATTGAGGAATGTGCAGCACAGGGTTGGGCAGGGTAAGGCCGAGCACTCACAGAGCACTCGTTGCTTGTTTCCTGGTATTCTCTCAGAATATTGGAAGATATTGCTCTAAGCTTTGCACACAGCGGTACGACACCAAGAGGGAACCAGTGGGGTGAGGGAGAGATCTCGTTCATACCAGGAAACAAGTGTAGGCACTTAGCATGGACAAGTATGAGTTACGATGGGGCCGGGTCTTCACTCGACGCGAAGAGGAAGGGCCGCGGCCCGAACGCTCGCGGAAACGAGGGCGTTCCTTAGAGCGGTCGCCCCGAAGGCCGGCCTTTCGAGCTGATAGAGTTCCCGTCGTGCCAGCCAGCCGAGAAAGAGAGGCGGTGCAAGGCGTGCGTGACGATGGCCGACTCGGCGTGATGACGAGCGACGTACCATGGCGGAGGAACACGTTCCACCTTCGCGGTGACGAGCATCGCCACCCGCGCGACGAAGGGGTGTTCCACTCCCCAGAAAGGGGGGGTCGGCGGCGGGATGAGCGAGGTCGCTGGCGTAGGAGGGAGGGATTCCCGCGGGAGCAAGGAGTGGGCTCTGGTGTGCACTGGGCCGGACAGGATCCGCGGGCCGAACTGACGCGGGAGGAGCGTGAGCACGAGGAGGCTGAGCGGGAGCTTGGCGACGGGCCGGCGTACGACGACGGGCAGTGGCACCGCGACGAGCAGGCGCACGGCGAGGAGACGGAGCGCAGTGACGAGCCTGAATACGCGACGAGCAGGATAGCGACGGCGAGCGGGAGCATGGCGGGGAGCAAGAGCGCGATGAAGGGCAGGAGGCCGACGGCGAGCGGGCGCACGGCGGGGAACAGGAGCACCACGACCCGCGGCGAGACGGCGGCGAGCCGACGCGCGCGGGACCCCACGTCCCAGGCGGAGTCGAGGAAGGAGAGCGCGCGCCCGGTGCGACACACGCCGGCACCACAGAGACAACGATAGAGGAGGAAGGAGAGGCGCAGGAGAGGGGGTCGCGTGCGACGGGCCCCAACCGTCGGGAAGGACAGCCTGCCCGCGGTGCACCGCAGCCGGAAGGCCAGGCTCGGGAGGGAGGGACACGCACGATGCCGACACGGGGAATGCGCGGACGAAGCGAGGCAGGGGACAAACACGCAACGGGAGTCCAGCGTCGGCGGGCGGAGGCGAGCGACTGCGGCTCGCGCTCGTCAAGGGAACCGCCGCCAAGGGCCGAACGGTATGGGGGCGCGGAAGGAAGACGGGGAGGAGCGGAGGAGAGCACGGTTCGCTCTGGGGCGCCAACGCGGGCGCTGGGAGGAGGCCATGGGGGGGAGCATCACTCGCCAGAAACGCGGCGGCGTAGGGAGGGGCGGCGGATGGAGGGGTCACGTTCACCGCACAGGCGGCAACAGTGGGGGGGGGGAACCAGAGGAGAATCGCGGTCGCCTGACCGGCGCCGTTGGCGGGAGGAAGGGCAGGAGGAAGCAGGACGCGCGCCGCCAGGCACACGGCTGCAGGAGAGAAGGGAGTGGTCGCCACCCCCAGCGAGACATTAGCCGCGTGAAGCCGACCCGAGGGTGTGGGAGCAGAGTCATGACTCGCCGGAACGACGATGGGAGCAGACGGGAAGGGGAGGTAGTCAGTGGGGACAGTCGGGAGAGGTGCGCGAAGGGAAGCAGGAGAGCAGGGCCAGGAGTGGCAGCTTGGCCCAGGGGGCTGAGCGAGCCCGTATGGCCAGAGAGGGACTGGAACGAGCAGGGAAAGGAGGGGGGTATGGGAGACCGCGGGGAGGGGCAAGTGAGTCTTGGGGAGAGGGAAGAGGAGGTGGGGCCACGGCGACAAGGGTAGAGGTGCCGGCCAGATTCTCGGGAGATCAGAGGGCGGGGCCATCACTCAAGAACTACCTGATGCAGGTGGGGAATGTGAAGTATCGGTGCGACCGGAACGGCATGGACCCCATTGATTTCTTCCTAAGCCTGCCCAACACCTTAGATGGAGAAGCGGAGACTTTATACCGTATGAGGATGGAGGAGCTGCTGTGGAGGGCGGGGAGGTATGGAGAGGACCCCACTGAAGCATTTTTTGAGCGGTTGCAACGGCAGTTCCCAGGGCACACGGCGGAGCGCATAAGGGAGTTTCAGGAATTCAAGCGAGGGAGGACCGAGTCACTGCTGGCGTATTACAATCGGCTGACCAATGTGGCCGAAGATGTGAGATGCACGGACAGCAGTCTCTTGATAAGCAAGTTCCTAGGTGGCCTGGATGAGGCACTGGGAGGCGGGCTGCGTATAAAGGTGTATGAGCTGGGCGTGGAGGCGAGTCTGGATGAGGTGTTCGAGCTGGCCGAAAGGGTGGAGCTCGCACAAAGGAAATATGAGGCGTATCTACCGCGGCAGATGGAGAGAGCCCGCAGGCCGACCTGGGCGGCAGCCATGATACCAGAGGACAGAGGGAAGGCAGAGGAGCGAGGAGAGACACGGGCAGAGACCAGGAACTGCCACCACTGCGGGCAGCCAGGGCATCTCCGCAGGGATTGCAAGAACTGTGATGGGTGCGGGAAGCCTGGCCACCGCAAGCGAGAATGTCCGGATGCCGCTAAGTGTGAGGTGTGCAAGAGGAGGGGGCACGAGGCCAAGGACTGCTATCAGAGGGAAGGAGGAGCCAGGAGGAGTCCTGAGGATTTGCAGCGGCAGATCAGCAGGTTGCAGGCACAATTACAGGCAACAGGACCAAGGTGGGGGGCGGAGGCAGGGATGTACGCCAGAGACGAGGAGGGAGAGGAGGTAGAGCAGGACGTGCAATGTGCACTTATGGCATGGAGGGGAAGAGAGGAGATGGGGCTAAGGAGCGGGGGGAAGGATGGCAGGCGGGAGCTGAACAGGAAGGTCCGGGGAAGGGGGCAGAACCCAGAGGAGCCAGAGGTGGTTCCGCCGCCAGCACGCCATCCACAGGAGAGGCTGGCATGTCAGACCTCAGTGTTGTTGCTGGAGGAAGGGGCGATGGAAGTGGAAGGAGAAAAAGTAAAGACTGCCATCATAGACACGTGGGCACAGAGTGTGATGCTGGGAAAGGGGATGGCTGAGAGGTTAGGGCTCTTGGCGCCGGGCAGGCATGTGAAAAAGGGGATGTTGGTGATGACAGCAGAAGGGGGGGAGCCGAAATGGATGCCCTGCTCAAGGGCACCCAAAGAGATGACACTACTGCCAGGAGGAGAGCATGAGACCAAGATCCGGATGAGATGTGGCATCTCCGAGTCTGAGGACTTTGACGTGTTGGTGGGCACAGAACTGGTGTTCGCGGTGGGCATGACCATATGCACGTGGACCGAGAGGGTGGCATTCCGCACGCGGTACTGGAAGAAGGAGGGGCCACTAGGAGAGCTGCCAGTACGATTCGTGAAGGTGGAGCCCAGGAGAGCATACCAGGCTGTGGCGGGACAGGAAGCAGAGACAGGAGAGGCTTGGGAGAACGAGAGAGTGTGGGGTACCAAGGGAGTGCCCAGAATGAGGATGATGAACGAGCCAAGGCTGCAGAGCGACTGGCAGCAGCCCATTCGCTTGGTGGAGCTGTTTGGAGGGATTGGGGCGGGGCTAGCAGCAGTGGTGAGAAGTGGGGTAGCAGTGCAAAAATGGGAGTACGTGGAACGCGCACCCGCGGTAAGGAAGATGGCCGAGCATCACGCGTGGAAGCTGCAAGCGGAATTCCCAGAGCTTCTAAGTGCAGGAGTCATCCGCGAAGCCATGGGGGGGGACAACCACGACGTGGCACAGTTGACAGAGGCGGAAGTGGCCAGCTGGGGGCAGGTAGATCTGCTGGTGGCGGGGTGGGAGTGCCAAGGGGTATCATGGGCAGGCAAAGGGAGAGGAAAGGGGGACCCAAGGACACAGTTGATGGAGGACCTCTTCCGTATCCTGGAGTGGCTGCAAGAGAGGCAGGGGAGAGTGGCCTACCTGGTGGAGAATCTGGACTTAGAGGGAGACAGTAGGGAGCCAGTACGGCTGGTGCGGGAGAGGATCAGGGAGCAATTGGGAGAGGGGGTGAGCAGCGATGCGGCCAGAATGGGATCACGGGCTCACCGACTGAGGATGTACTGGCAGAACATAGTCCCAGCTCCGAAGCTGCAGGAGGAGATAGAGGGGGTGAGGAGGGTGCCAGAGAGGAAAGTACAGGATATCCTTGAGCCAGGACGGACCCCAGCGCCGGTGGACAAGAAGGGATACAGCAGGCACTACCCCTGCAACCAAGTGGGACAGGAACGGCGAGCGCTGCCCACTCTGGTTGCATATGCAGGGGCGGCAGGGTATACATGGGCAGCGGGGGAGCCGGGCCCAGGACTCATCTACGATCACAGGAAGAAGCGGTGGGAAGAGCCGACCGCACTGGAGCGGGAACTGGCCTTGGGGTACGGGGAGAATGCAACGGCGGCTCCTGGGGTGAGCGAGGCTGACAGGAGAAGAGCCCTAGGGAATGCCATGGACGGCAACATGATGAGATGGCTGGTCCAGCGGATGTGGAGAGAGACGGTGATGTGCTGGGGGCAGGAGGAAGGAGTAGGGGGCACAGAGCCGCGCCCTCAGGGGGCGTGGGCATGCCAGGAGAAGGAGGAGGAGACGTGGAAGGTAGGGGAGGCGATGAGTGAGGAAGGGAGGGAGGCCATGGTGCGGCTGCTGACCAAGCACAGGAGGTGCTTTGCCTTCAACATGCAGGAGTTGGGGAGGTGCAAGGTGAAGGAGATGGAGCTGAAGCTGAACAGTACGGAGCCCGTGTTCCACCGGAGGAGGAAGATGCCACACGGGGATGAGGAAGTCTGCAAGGAGAAAATCAAAGAGCTGCTAGAGGCCGGGTTAATCAGGCGGTCAGAGTCGGAGTACGCCACGCCCACAGTCGTAGCTGCCAGGAAGGACCTGACAGGGAAGGTCCTGAGCAGGAGAATGTGCGGAGACTACCGGGCGCTCAACAAGATCACCGTAGCAGACAGGTACCCCATGCCCATGGCGGAGGAGATATTTGACAAGCTGGCGGATGGGGTCTTTTTCACCACGTTAGACCTGAGGCAGGGGTTCAACCAAATCAAGATTAGAGAGGAGGATGTCAAGAAGACGGCCTTCCATGGGCCAGATGGGCTGTATGAGTGGCTATACATGCCATTTGGGCTGAGGAACGCATCGGCAGTGTTTCAGCGGGTTATGGATGCAGTACTGAGGGAGGTGGAGTGTGCGGCGTGCTACATAGACGACGTAGTGATCTTCAGTACCACCGAGGAGCAGCATCTGCGGGATGTGGAGAAGACACTGGCGGCAATAGAAGCAGCGGGACTCACATGTCACCCCAAGAAGTGCAGGTGGGGTGAGGAGACAGTGCAGTACCTGGGATACGAGGTGAAGGGAGGACAGATTGGGATCCAGCAGGCTAAGGTAGAGGTCTTGGACAGGCTGCGGGAGCCAAAGGACAAGTCGGGGCTGAGGGCGGTGTTGGGCTTCCTTAGCTACTACAGGAGGTTCGTGCCCAACTTCAGCAAACGTGCAACAGCCTTGAACGGGCTGCTGAGGGAGGACAGGGCATGGGAATGGGGAGAGGCTCAGAAGGGAGCCCTGCAGGACCTTATGACAGCAGTGAAGACGGCGACCGTGTTACGGCTGCCAATAGCAGACCAGCCATTCACCCTCTACACCGACTGGAGCAGCCAGGGAATGGGAGGGATACTCTGCCAAGAAGTGCAAGGGGAGGAGAAGGTAGTGGCCTACGCGAGCAGGAGCTGCAACTCGGCGGAGGCGCAGTACAGCTCGTACATAGGGGAGGGACTAGCCGCGGTATGGGCGGTGGGGCATTTCAGGGTGTACCTGCAAGGACGGGAATTCACGTTGGTGACGGATCACCAGCCACTGACCTGGCTGATGACTACGCCGGGACTGACAGGCAGGAACGCACGATGGGCGATGAAGTTGCAGGAATAAGACTTCAAGATTAAGCACAGGCCAAAGAAGACACTACAGCATGTGGATGGCCTCTCCCGCAACCCCCCACAGCTGGAACCGAGCGTAACCTTAACACTGCTGGCCAGACAGGTAGAAGTGGGGGGGGCCAAAGGGGGCAAGGGGCCGGCAGATATTTGGGAAGACGAGCAGGCCATGCGGTGGGTGAAGGGAGAGACGGAGGAAGATGAGGAAATGACGGAGAGAGTGAGGGCCAGGGGGCACCACTATAGATGGTATCAGCAGCAGTTGCAGATCCAAACCGAGGATGGATGGAAGCTGGTGCCAGCACCAAGGGACAGGGAAGCGGTGATCAAAGAGGTGCACACGAAACTGGGGCACTTCGGACATGAGAGGACAGTGCAGCTGCTGAAGACAGGATGGTGGTGGGAGGGGATGCGGAGGCAAGTGAAGGGCTGGGTGGAGGGCTGTGAGGCATGTCAGAGGAGCAGGGCAAACCTCAGCCAGGCTAAAGCCGAGCTGCAGTCCCTGCCCATCCGAGGCCTAGGCTTCAGGTGGTCCTTGGATCTGGCCGGGGAACTACCCCTGAGCAAGGGGGGTAAGCGCTACATCGTGCTCATGGTGGAACACGTGAGCAAGTGGCTGGAGGTGAGGGCCATCTCCAGCAAGAGCTCCAGGCAGGTGGCAGCGGCGTTCAAGGAGCAGGTGATCTGCCGATTCGGAGCATGTGCAGAAGTCCTCACAGACCAGGGGACTGAATTCCAGGGGGAGTTCAAGACGCAGCTAGAAGAGACGGGTATCATTCACAGGCGCACCTCCCGCTACCACCCACAGAGCGATGGGCTGATAGAGCGGCTGGTCCAGACCTTGAAGCGGGGACTGAGGGCATACGGGGAGAAGAGGAAGCGGGATTGGGATGAGGAGCTGCACTGGATTGCAGCAGGATACAGGTTTGGGAAAAAGGCGGCCCTGAAGGATCACTCCCCATACAGCCTCCTCTATGGATGTGAGCCGGTGCTGCCAGTGGGAGCAACCCGGGTCCTTACAGATACAGTGACAGCAGGCACCATAGATAACTGGGTGGCGCTGTCAGAAGCCAGAGCAAGATACATGCGGGTGATGATGCCGGCTGCGTTGGAGAACCTACATACCGCACAGCTGAGGGATGTCAGGCGCTATGAACAGCGGCAGCAGCAAGGGGCAGGCAGGAGAGCACAGAAGGGTGTGGGTCTGGGGCAGGAGGTGTACCTAAGGAATGCCTATTAGGATACCTTGGACGTCGGGGTGGGCACAGAAAGGTGGCGGGTGAGGGAAGTACGCCCCTCGGGAGTACTAGTGTTGGAAAACGAGGAGGGGGCTCAAGTGAAGGAGCATCAGACCAACACGGCTGTGGTAAGGGGCAGCAAGCCTCAGCAGGGTGGTCCTGTGACACGAGCTCAAGCTGCTCGAGCACGGGCACAGGAGGGGGCAGGGAGTGACTGAGGCAGAGCCACACAAGGAAGGAAGCGGGAGGGAGACATAAGGAGAGAAGAGGAGGCGCGGCAAGGAGCAAGGCCCCACGGGCAGAGGCGGTTGGCTGGAGGGCAAGGGAGGAAGGAGCATTGATCTCCGACAGCTGTCACCGCTTATGCATGTGATGCATAAGCAATAACAGGAATACAAGGGGTGAAGGAATAGTAATAGATGATAACCTTACAATTGCATTTCAAGTAGATTAATGAGTAGTGTAGAGTGTAGCAAGGTTACTGTTGGAATAGGCCTAGAAGGGGGGGGAACGGAATGTGAACGGTGGGGAAGTCTCGGGGGGGGGGGGAAAGCCTCGAAGTGCGAAATGTGGGACGAAGGGCGAAATGTCCCAACCCCGAGCCGCGCATTGAGGAATGTGCAGCACAGGGTTGGGCAGGGTAAGGCCGAGCACTCACAGAGCACTCGTTGCTTGTTTCCTGGTATTCTCTCAGAATAGTGGAAGATATTGCTCTAAGCTTTGCATACAGCGGTACGCCACCAAGAGGGAACCAGTGGGGTGAGGGAGAGATCTCGTTCAAGGGAGTGACTGAGGCAGAGCCACACAAGGAAGGAAGCGGGAGGGAGACATAGGGAGAGAAGAGGAGGCGCGGCAAGGAGCAAGGCCCCACGGGCAGAGGCGGTTGGCTGGAGGGCAAGGGAGGAAGGAGCATTGATCTCCGACATTAGGCAGGGACGACCAGATTAGTAAGTACATAAACTGAGTACAATCAGATACTGTTATACAACGCTGAGAGGGCCCTATAAGCAGGAAAACGCTGCCGCAGTGTTCATTGGGGAACAGTCGCAGGGTTTGGAGCGAGCCTGTGCGCTATCGCTGATTGGACGGCGGGCATGATATCACCGAGACTGGCGACGGACAGCCATGTGACTTGCATGACAACTCCAAGGCTCATCCTTTCCACCCTTCAGCAGTAGCCGTCCATTGCATCTTAGATGCTTAGTAGGTCCAGTCTCTCAGCCTTGGCGCCCAAGATTCTGAATCTAGCTCACTTCAGGTCACGCGTGCAGCTTGTGAAACTTTTCTTATGTCGACGATATTGTTAAATTCACTGGATAGGTCGCTCGAATCTACCCCTCCTGTACATTGGTTCCCGGGCCCTTTCCGTCCTCTCCGTACCTGTACACGGGAGTCTTGAGGTGAGGCGTTAGCCATCGAATTGCCGCCGTCGATTTCCTGGCTCGGGTGGACCGAAGCTTCTTGGTGGACGTGAAGAAGGACGTTGATGGACAGCAATGGCTGTTGCCGTTGCTTCCAGATGGGCATGATCGAGGCGTGACGGTATTCGGGGATTCCGCCGTCAGCGCTTGACGGGACTGCCTCGACTGCCGTCATGGCGTCGTCGCGGCTGCCTCCGCACGCGCCGTTGCTGTCGCGAGGCGCGGTGCTGGAGTCGCGGTTCGAAGTGGAGAAGAAGATCGGCGAAGGCACCTTCAGTATTTCTCCACTCCCTGGAAACCCTTTCTCTCCCACCCCGCTCCTCGCTTTCCTCCTCTGTTGCATTTATTTGTCCACTCTTGTCCCCTACTCTCCCCCACACCCTCGAAGCTGATTGTCTAATGATTTCGCAAGTCGTGTCTTTTACGCGTCGTCGATCGTAACGGCCTTCACCATGTCCCGCGCTATCCGCGCACTCCTCGTCACTCGTCTGCACCGTTGCTCATCCGCGCGCCACTTCCTTTCTCCTCCACTCCCCTCCGCGCCAAGCTTCTCTGTATCTCCCGCCGAGCCCCCTGCTCTGACCCTTCCATTTCATCACGTAATCTCCCTTCACCATCTGCGCGCAATCTGTTGTGTGCAGGCGAGATCTACAGGGCGCGCGACACGGGGACGGGGCGGCAGGTGGCGCTGAAGGTGGAGAAGGAGGAGTCGGTGCTCAAGTGGGAGGTCTGGGTGCTCAAGCGCCTGCAAGGTACCGCCTCCCCCGAATGCACCCGCGCCTGCTCGCCTTCCTCGCATCTGTTTCCCAATCAAATCCTTCCATCCCTCCCTCCCCCTCTCCTCCCCCCACCTTTTCTGGTACCCCTCCTCCCTCTCCAACCTTCGCGCACATGTCCCTCCGCACTCGTCCCTTCCCCCCACACACATACGACCTCCCCCCCCGCCCTGCGTCCCCCCCAGGGTGCGGGGCGGTGTGCGAGTATGTGCACGCGGGGCAGGCGGGGGGGCGCGCGTACGTGGCGATGGAGCTGCTGGGGCCCAGCCTCTCCGACCTGCGCCGCTCCCACCCGCACGCCCGCTTCCCCGTCGCCACCCTCGTGCCCCTCGCCATGCAGGTCAGTCCGCTGGGGGCTAGGGGGGCGTGTGGGGCCGTGGGGGCGTGTGGGGTGCTTGGCAGCAGCAGTGTGGGCTCGCGTGGGAGTGGCAAGGGAGGATGAGGGCCGAATGGGGGTTGCATGGTTCATTCAGCTGTTTATGACCCTGGGGTCCGTCCCACTGCTGCTTCTCCCCCACCTGCCCATCACCGAACCCCGGCCCCTCCGTCCCCCTCCCTCTCCCCTTCCCTGGTGTGCGCACGGGGCGAGCAGATGCTGAAGGCGCTGAGGACCATGCACGACCACGGCTTCCTGCACCGCGACGTCAAACCCGTCAGTGCCCCCCTCGCCCTCCCTCACCTGCATCGCCTTGCCATGTCTACCTGTGTCATCAATGCCCCTCCCGCATTACCCCCTCCATGCATTCCTGCCCCCCCCAGCTTCCCCCATGCGCCAATCCCCGTCCTCAACGCCATCCTCCATGCATTCCCTTACACAACCCTCTCTCCCTCCCCCCCTTGGCGGCTGTGAGCAGTCCAACTTCGCGATGGGCGTGGGGGCGCGGCAGCAGCAGTGTTTCGTGATTGACTTTGGCATCTGCAAGCGCTTCCGCTCCTCCCACGGCGTGCACCCCGCGCGCCAGCTCGCTGAGTTCCGCGGCTCCACTGCCTACGCGTCCGTGCACTCGCACCTGCTCATGGTATGCCTCCGTCCGTGCACTCGCACCTGCTCATGGTATGCACCATGCCACCACTGCATGCCTGTGCCCTCCCCCTCGCATGTGCTGCACCGCTCGTCACCGCCTCTAATCCACCTCCCAAATCAATCAACCTGTCCGCGCTGGGTCCTGCTCTTCCCCCTGTGTGCTGCGCCCCGTGCCGTGCCGTGTGTGTGCGGTGAGCTCTGAGCAGGACCTGGGGAGGAGGGACGACCTGTGGTCGCTGTTCTACGTGCTCGTGGAGTTCCTCGATGGGGAGCTGCCCTGGCGCCACGTGCAGGAGAAGGTGAGCTGCCCTGGCGCCACGTGCAGGAGAAGGTGAGCTGCCCTGGCGCCACGTGCAGGAGAAGGTGAGCTGCCCTGGCGCCACGTGCAGGAGAAGGTGAGCTGCCCTGGCGCCACGTGCAGGAGAAGGTGAGCTGCCCTGGCGCCACGTGCAGGAGAAGGTGAGCTGCCCTGGCGCCACGTGCAGGAGAAGGTGAGCTGCCCTGGCGCCACGTGCAGGAGAAGGTGAGCTGCCCTGGCGCCACGTGCAGGAGAAGGTGAGCTGCCCTGGCGCCACGTGCAGGAGAAGGTGAGCTGCCCTGGCGCCACGTGCAGGAGAAGGTGAGCTGCCCTGGCGCCACGTGCAGGAGAAGGTGAGCTGCCCTGGCGCCACGTGCAGGAGAAGGTGAGCTGCCCTGGCGCCACGTGCAGGAGAAGGTGAGCTGCCCTGGCGCCACGTGCAGGAGAAGGTGAGCTGCCCTGGCGCCACGTGCAGGAGAAGTTGAGCTGCCCTGGCGCCACGTGCAGGAGAAGGTGAGCTGCCCTGGCGCCACGTGCAGGAGAAGGTGAGCTGCCCTGGCGCCACGTGCAGGAGAAGGTGAGCTGCCCTGGCGCCACGTGCAGGAGAAGTTGAGCTGCCCTGGCGCCACGTGCAGGAGAAGGTGAGCTGCCCTGGCGCCACGTGCAGGAGAAGGTGAGCTGCCCTGGCGCCACGTGCAGGAGAAGGTGAGCTGCCCTGGCGCCACGTGCAGGAGAAGGTGAGCTGCCCTGGCGCCACGTGCAGGAGAAGGTGAGCTGCCCTGGCGCCACGTGCAGGAGAAGGTGAGCTGCCCTGGCGCCACGTGCAGGAGAAGGTGAGCTGCCCTGGCGCCACGTGCAGGAGAAGGTGAGCTGCCCTGGCGCCACGTGCAGGAGAAGTTGAGCTGCCCTGGCGCCACGTGCAGGAGAAGGTGAGCTGCCCTGGCGCCACGTGCAGGAGAAGGTGAGCTGCCCTGGCGCCACGTGCAGGAGAAGGTGAGCTGCCCTGGCGCCACGTGCAGGAGAAGGTGAGCTGCCCTGGCGCCACGTGCAGGAGAAGGTGAGCTGCCCTGGCGCCACGTGCAGGAGAAGGTGAGCTGCCCTGGCGCCACGTGCAGGAGAAGGTGAGCTGCCCTGGCGCCACGTGCAGGAGAAGGTGAGCTGCCCTGGCGCCACGTGCAGGAGAAGGTGAGCTGCCCTGGCGCCACGTGCAGGAGAAGGTGAGCTGCCCTGGCGCCACGTGCAGGAGAAGGTGAGCTGCCCTGGCGCCACGTGCAGGAGAAGGTGAGCTGCCCTGGCGCCACGTGCAGGAGAAGGTGAGCTGCCCTGGCGCCACGTGCAGGAGAAGGTGAGCTGCCCTGGCGCCACGTGCAGGAGAAGGTGAGCTGCCCTGGCGCCACGTGCAGGAGAAGGTGAGCTGCCCTGGCGCCACGTGCAGTAGAAGGTGAGCTGCCCTGGCGCCACGTGCAGGAGAAGGTGAGCTGCCCTGGCGCCACGTGCAGGAGAAGGTGAGCTGCCCTGGCGCCACGTGCAGGAGAAGGTGAGCTGCCCTGGCGCCACGTGCAGGAGAAGGTGAGCTGCCCTGGCGCCACGTGCAGGAGAAGGTGAGCTGTGTGCTCCTAGCAAGAAAGTGCATGTCTTGCACCACCGTCCCCTCATCACCTCATGCACGTCACTGCCATGCCTGGACCTCTGACGACTGTGTTCTCCCCACCCACTGTGTTCCTCGCCCTGCTGTGTGTGCCATGTTATGCGTGCACATGGTGGGAGGGAGGGAGTGTGTGTGCGTGTGTGTGTGCATGTGTGCATGTGTGTATCCGTGCGCGCGTGTGGATGTGTGTGTGTGTGTGTGTTTACGTCAACAGGAGAGGGTGAAGGAGATGAAGCTGTATTTCTTTGACCATCCGGAGCAGATGACCAAGTCTGTTGCCTTCCCCGAGGAGCTCTCTGTGAGACCCCCGCCCCTTCATCCACTGCCACCCCACCACACTCCTTTCCACTGCGCCTCCCACCATGCCTTCCTACATTGCCCACCCACCACCCCCCTTGCATTCCATCCAGCCAACTGCTCTTTCGTGCCGCCCTGCCCCTTCCTTGCCCCCACCAGGCGTTCGCGGATCATCTACAGGTGCTGCAGTATGCCGACAAGCCTGACTATGCCTACCTGCTCAACCTCCTCACCGCCTGGAACGCCCGCTGTGGGGGCGCCGCCCCCCCTCAGGTCAGCAGTCTGCACCCGCACGCGTCCAGTGCATGATCAGATTAGAGCCTTTTTTTTTTTTTTTGGTTGATGATTTAGATTGTGCCCACGCTCACACTGCCTCGCTTGCGTGGTGTGACAGGGTGCCCAAGGTGCTGCCAATGGCCCCCACGCTGCGCTGCCACTGCCGCCCCCTCCCCCTGCCACGGCCAACGGCCACTCTCAGTCTGCCCCAGTGCGCCATGCCACTCACGAATCGCCCCCCATGCCCCACCCTGCCGCAAGCACACCTGGTGCTGCTGCCCTTGGCAATGGTATACATGGCACGCCCCTCACCTCACCCCTCGCCTCGCCCGCCCTACCGCCCGCCCTACTGCCCTCTCTGCCCTGTGCACCACCACCCGCCATCGCTGCACCACTCCTTGCGGTCGGTGGGTCAGCTGTGCTGCCAGCACCCCCACTCACACTGGAAGGGGCAGCGAAGGAGGCAGCAGCAGGTGGAGGGGCAGGTGCTGCTGCACTTGTCGCTGGCAGCCCATCCATGCCTGCACCCCCCTCTGCCCCTCCGCCCCCTGCCTCTGCCCTCACTGCATCGGCTCCTCCCACCCCTACTGCTCCCAGCGCTACCCCATCCAGTCCTACCCCTCGCAGCCCCACCACTTCAAGCCCCACCGCGCACAGCACTGGCGTCCTACGGGAGGACAGCACTACCTCCCACCCTGCTGCTCCTGCCGCTGCTTCCCTTGCCGCCGCCGCTGCGTCTCATGCTCCTGACGTGGTGCGTGCTGCGTCTGCTGTTCCTCCGCTGCTGCCAGACCCAGGCACTGCGCCTGTGGGCAGCAGCGCAGGTGGGGGCGGCGTGGCAAGCCCCAGTGTTGGGCCAGCAAGGAAGGAGTGGGAGAGCGAGCTGGGCGAGCGCGAAATGCAGGGCACAGAGGCGGGCAGGCAGGGCAGTGCAAGGGGGAGGATGGGTGAAGGGGTGCGTGCAACCAGGGGGCAGGGCGCTTGTAATGGGGGCAGTGAGGGGGGCAGTGGGGGCAGCACGACGTCAAGTGTGAGCCACAGCGACAGCAGCGGCAGCAGCTCCATCAGCAGTAGCGGTGGTAGCAGTAGCAGCGACGGCGAGGCCAGGAGGGAGCAGCGCGGGGCGAGGGCAGGGGGGCGGATGGGGACAGTGAGGAGGCGAGACGGGCACGGGTGTGTGGCAGGAGGGGGGCGAGGGCGTGGGAAGAGCATGGGCGCACAGCATACATCAGAGGAGCGGGGCAGCAGGGGGAATGATAGCTGTGATGCGCCGCAGAGGGGACGAATGAGAGAGGGCGGTGGAGGTGCAGAGAGGCGGAAGGGAGATGAGGGAGGTGGCAAGGCAGGGCAACAGTTGTTGGCGAGCGGTGGGGAGGGCAGCGAGCGCGTGAGCGAGAGAGGCAGTGCTGCTGCTGCTGCTGCTGCTGCTGCTGTGGGTGCTGTGGCTCGTGAGGGTCCATGTGGCAGGCGTGTGGCAGGGGGGGGCAGGGGTGCACAGGGGAATGGAAATGCGCCTTTAACTCGCCGTGCACCTTGCAGTAGCACCAGCAGTGGTAGCAGCAGCAGTAGCAGTGACAGCCAGAGCAGTGACAGCAGCAGCACGTGCAGCAGCAGCAGTGGCAGTGATGGGAGCGATGGTGAGGCGAGTGGGGAGGTGAGGAGTGATGCGAGTGGCGCTAGCAGTGGCGAGGACGACCCCCCCTGGGGCAGCCGAGGCAGGCACAGGCGGAGGAAAGGGCAGAGGAGGGATGCAGGTCGGGGCACCGTATTGCGAGGGCAGAATACAGAGGGTGGGGGCGGGGGGCGGAGGAGCAGAGGTATGAGGAGGAGAGTCGGAGAGAGGGAGGCGGGTGGCAGGGCAGTAGGGCGTGAGGGGGTCAGTGAGGGGCCGCACGGGGCGATGCTGCCCGTGGTGCTGGCGCTGGCGGCCGCGCCTGTGCGCGTTGCTGTGCCGCGGGCGGACTCTGATGTGCTGCCAGAGAGGGCGGGCGAGAGGAGCGGTGGGCAGGGCAGGCACGGGCGTGGCGCAGCGTGGGAAGCTGGGGAAGGGAGAGGGAGCATGGGGCAGGCGCAAGTGGAGCGTGAGGGGCGGGAGGGGAGAGGGGAGGAGGGCAGACGGGCAGACGATGAGGGGGCTTGTGCAGAGGGGAAGGAGACAGGGGCTGTGAGGCAGGAGGTGAGGGAGCTGAGAGTGAGTGTGGGCGGTGAGGAGGAGGGTAGCAGGGCGAGGAGGGGGAGGAGCGGGGCTGTGGATGTGACAACGAGAGGGCGAGAGGAGCGGCACGCTCAAGGACTTGGGGCGAGCAGTGGTGGCAGGGCGACAGGGGACAGGGGCGGAGAGGAGGGCGGGGCGCAACAGGAGATGGTGGACGAGGACAGGCAGAGGTGGAAAGAAGGAAAAGAGGAGTGGAGAAGAGGCGGTGGGAAGTGCGTGGTGGGATCAAGACAAGGAAGGGAGAGAGGTTTGGGAGGAGAGCGGGATAGAGATAGTGAGTGGTCTCACAGGGAGGGGAGGTGGCAGAGGGAAAGGGAGAGGAAGGGGAGGTGGAAAAATGAAGAGAGAGAGAAGGAGGCAAGTGGCAAAGTTGGAGAATGGGGACGAGAGAAGGTAGGAAATCGCTCTGAGGAGAAGGAGCGGGCAGCTGAGGAGGCGAGGGCGAGAGGAGGTCAAGTTGAAGCAGAGAATGAGAAGGCGTGTGTGAGAGTTGGTTACACGACGCACACAGCAGATGCAGGGGCAATCAAGCCAGATGCCAGCAGGGTGGAGGTGGTGGAGGTGGTGGAGGAGACGAAGGAGGAGAAGGAGGAGAGGGGTCAAGAACCAGCCAGGAAAATGGACTGGGAATGGAGGCAGAAGGATAAGCGGGAGGAGAGGGACGGAGAGGCGGAGGAGAAAGAAAGGGAGCGGATGTGTGAGTTGGGGAGGGATAGGGAAAGGAGGACAGAGAAGGGAAGAGAGGGCGAGAGCGAACAAGAGAAGGAGCGAGAAAGAGAGAGGGAGAGGGGGGGAGATAAGGCAAAGGGAAACGAGAGGGCGAGGGACAACGAGAGAGCGCGGGGGCATGAGAGGGAGGGGGATAGGCGAAGAGAAGAGAGACACCAAGGCAGTGAGAGGCAGGGTGGGAGGGGTAGTGGCAGCAGTGGTGCGGGGGGCTATGAGGAAAGAAACGAGAAGCAGGGAATGGTGGAGAGACGGAGGGATGCGTGGAATAGGAGCTCTGGTGGCAGGGGTTCTTCCAAGGAGAGACACAAGGGGACGTGGGAGGGGGGCGGACAGGCAGGGAGAGGCGAGAGGGGAAGGAACAGAGATAGGGATGGAGGCTGGGAGCGGGGTAACGACAGAATGCGGGAGAGGAAGACAGAGAGGGAGACGAGGGGGAGGGACAGGGATGAGGAGAGGGAGAAGGATGGGAGGAGAAGATATGAATTCAAGGAGAGCGAGAGGGGTGAGCGGTGGGATGGCAGCAGGTCCAGGGAGAGGGGCTGGTCGAAGGAGAGGGGCTGGTCGAAGGAGAGGCTCCAGGGCAGGAACGAGCACGCAGAAGCAGCTTCTGCGGCGGGAAAGGGGGAGGGGGCAGTGAGAGCAGACATGAGCAGACAGGGCAGCGGGCGGGAGCATGGGATTGCGAGGGAGGGCACCATCGAGCGCGTGTTGTCTGTAGAGGAGCGAGATGAGGCGCCGGGGAGGGGTGGCGATGGTGGCAACGGCGTTGGGGCTAGTCAGGAAGCAACAGATGGGGCGGTGGAGGGAAGGGACGGGCCAGGGGACAGGGGCGCAGGGATGGAACGGTGTGGGGAGAGGGGCAGAGAGGGGAGGGACAACGAGAAAGGGGGGGTGAGAGAGGGGGAGGAGGGGGAGAGGGAAAAGGAGAGGGAAAGGGAGAAGGAGAGGGAGAGGGAGAGGGAGCGGGAAAGGGAGGGGGAGCGGGAGAGAGAGAGGGAGAGGGAGAGGGAGAAGGGGAAGGAAAGGGAGAGGGATAATGAGAAGGAAAGGGAGAGGGAGAATGAGAGGGAGAGGGAGAAGGAGAGGGAAAGGGAGGAGAGGGAGTCAGGAAGGGGGAGGGAGAGGGGGAGGGAGAAGGAGAGGGAATGGGAGAGGGAGAGGGAGAGGGAGAAGGAGAGGGAGCGGGAGAAGAAGAGGGAATGGGAGAGGGAGAAGGAGAGGGAGCGGGAGAGGGGGAAGGAGAGGGACCGCGAGAGGGAGAAGGAGAGCGAGAAGGAGAGGGAGAAGGGCGGCAATGAGGGTGCTGGCAGCGGCGGTCACAGTGTGCAGAAGCCCCAGCAGCACCCACACACTCTCTCCCACTCCCATTCTCACTCGCGCACTCTCCCTCGCCCCCTGAGCTCGCCCCGCCACCAGCAAGGCAGGCCCACCTCCACCCGTCTGCCCTCGCCTGCTGCCTCACCTCGCTCCACCACTCACCCACTCTCGCCCTCCACTGCTGCTGCACCTGTTACTGCTAGCGGGGGCAGGGGGGGGACGGAGGAGAGGGCGAGGAGGCTGCGGCTGTGTGTGGACGCATTGAGATACGGCGCCTGCAAGAGCCCCGCCTCCTGCTCTCGACACCACCCCAAGCGGTGTGACCTCATAGCCTGCACGCCCTCCTTGCTGCCTGCACGCCCTCCTCTCGCTCACGTTACCTCTCCTCACCCCGTTCCCCACTCTTCCCCCCCCCCGTCCTCCTACCTCCACTCCACCCCCAGGCGTACTCGGGACAGGGCCACATCCCTGTGTTTGGACCACGTGGCTGGCCGCTGCCCCCTGCCCTCCGCCCGCTGCTTCCGCCACCACCTCTCCCCCGCTCAGGTCAGCGCCCCACCACTCCCCCCATGCTCACAGTGTCCGCACCTGCTGCATGGCACACGCACCTCCTCTCATCCCATGGCCCGCAACAGTATCTTGTGCCCTCTCCCTCTCTCCATCTCGCCACTTCCCTTCCGCTTACAACCACCCCCCCCCCCGCCCGCCTTCTCTACGCGGCCCCATGTGCGCCCCACCAGGAGGAGCACTTCTACCAGCGGGGCGAGCTGCCAGCGGACGCCATGCAGCCCGCCTCCTGGGTGATTCAGCGCCGCCTGCTCCTCCACCCCGCCCGCCCCCGCCCGCTGCAGCCCCCCCCTGCGCGCGCCCCTTCTCCCCGCGAGCCCACCCGTGCAGATGAGGCGCAGCTCACGCCCAGCTCCTCCCACCCCCGCTCTGATAGCCCTCACCCACAGCAGCAGCAGCAGGGGGGGTCGCCAGGGAAGGGAGGGGCAGGGCTGCTGGCAACGCCAGGGGGGCTGTTGCCGTCCCCATCCATCTCGCCCTCCTTGCTCGGTGCCCCTCCTGCCGCCACCCCCCCTTCCACGCTCCACTCCCTGCTCCCCCTGCCGCCCCCTGCTGCCCCCTCTGCGCCGCCCACCGCCCCTGGCACAGCGGCGACCTGGGCGAGCCTGGGTGTGAGCAGGCCTGCTTTGAGCAGCAGCCAGCAGCTCGCTGCCACTGCTGCAGAGCATGCTGCATCACCTGCCGCTGCTGCTGTGGCAGCACGGCCAGGGGTTGTGGGTGGCGCTGCTGCTTTGCCGCCAGCACGCATGGGGGCGGAAGGCAGCGGGGAGAGGGGGCGAGGAGTAGGGCTGAGGGGGGAGGGCAGGGAGGGCGAGGCAGTGAAGCCGAAGGCGCGGGTGAAGGTGGTGATCAACGAGTGGGGGGTGGTCATCCCTCCGCACGCCCTGCTGCCAGCCATCAAGCGCCGCAAGCTGGACCCCCCTCCCGCTGCTGCCGTCCCCACTACACAGGGTGGTGGCGCCGTGGCGAGTGGCAGAGAAGGGGCGGGGATGGGTGAGACGGCAGAGGGACCGCCGCCTGCCAGTGTCGCAGCAGCCTCAGCAGCGGCGGCAGCAGCAGCAGGCAGGGTGGGTTTGCCGGTGGGCCTGTTGGCGGCACTTGAGAGAGTGCTGGTGCCCCTCGTGGCTGTGGGGTTGCTGCCCGTGCTCATGTGCCCCACTGCTGCTGCTAATCCCAGCCTCACATCCAAAGAGACACACACAGGAACCAACACAGATACAGCCACAGGGACTGACACTGTGACAGCCACAGACAGTAGCACAGTTACAGTCGCCGGGACTAATACGAACAGTGACCCCAGTGCCTGCACTCTCCCACTGCACTGGGCTGACGTGCCGTGTGCACCTCTCCCCGCCCACCACCGCACAGCCTGGTTTCTCCCCCCTGCCCGCCTCGCCAGCCCCATTCCCCCCCTGGCATGCAATGCTGCTGTTGCCAGCATGGGAGCGGGCTGTGCTGTGAGCGTGCGCTGTGACATCCCGCCCTCGCTGCTGCCCGCGTCACACACATGGCAGCCTCTTGCTGACGCACAGGGGGGCACCGTGCTGCCTGCTGCATCCGCCCTCACCCTCTCGTTCTCTTCGCAACAGGAGCAGCGAGGGGAGCAGGGGGAGCAAGCGGGACAGGGGGAGCAGGGGGGCGGCAAGGGGGATGACAGCGCTGAGCGCGGTGGGTGGCAGTGGCGCGTGCAGCAGGAGGGCGGCGGGCAGCTGGCAGGGCTCATGCGGCAGTGGCGCTGCTCTCACACCGGCACCCCCTTGCCGCTCTCCTGCCCCCATGCCTGCAGCAGTGGCGCTGGCGATGGCAGTGGTAGCGGCAGTGCGGATGGGGAGGCAGGGATGGGCTGTGAGGCGGACAGCAGCAGCAGCGACGATAGCGAGAGTGATAGCTTGGGTGGGGGAAGTGAGGGCGCGAGTGGCAGTTGGGACCTGGGTGCTCACCATCACTCGCAACAGGCGGGTGGGGAGGACGCAGGTGAGGACGAGGAGGAGGAGGTTGGTGACGGGAGAAAGAGTGGGAGGGAGGGCAGCGAGGGGGGTGTGGCGAGTGTGTGTGAGGCGGTGGGGAAACGGAGTGGGCAGGCGAGCACCCCGTGTGTGCTGCCAGCGGGAGAGGCTGCTCCCTCGATTCACATGGCCAGGGGCGCGGATGGGACAGGCAGGGGTGCGCAGGTGCAAAGCGATGGAGAGGTGAACAAAGCGGTTGATATGGTGGGGCTTGTTACTGGCGATTGTGGTGGCGGTGGTGGTAGTGGTGATGGCAGTGGTGACGGTGGAGTGCGGGGGGCGAAGCCGGAGGAGGAGGAGGAGGAGCGGGTGGGGGATGGAGAAGAGAAGCAGGCAGGTGCAGTGATAACGCTTCCCAATGTCGCGACCACCAGCACTGTGCGGGTGTCAGCTGCCCTCCTGCCCCTGCACGCCCTCGCCCAGCCACCCTTCCCCTCGCCCAAGAAGGAGCGCACTCAGCGCACCGTGCCCCGCCGCCTCCTCTCCTTCCCCCCCCTCGCCCTCCCCTCCCTCCCTGCCCTTCCCCCCTCACTGATCCCCTCCACTCCGCGCATTCCTCGCCCCAGTGTCCCCCCCAGCGCATCCCGCAAGGCCACGCCACCAGGCAGGCGGGCAGGCGGCAGTGTGGGGACTGCGGAGGTTGGGGGGGGGACGGGCAGTGAGGAGGCAGAGGCTGGAAGTGACAAGGGCGGTGGTACAGCAGGGAAGGTGGAGGGGCACAAGGACCAAGCAAGCCTGAAGGAGGAGTTAGAGGTAGACGCTGGTGCTGCTGGTGCTGGTGATGGTGCTGGTGCTGCTGGTGCTGCTGCTGGTGCTGGTGCCGCTGGTGGTGCTGAAAATGGGGCTGAGGTTGGCAGCAGTGGTGAGCGGAGGGCGAAGGAGAGACAGTGTGCACGGGCCGAGGGAGAGAGGGCGGGAGCAGATGGTGAGGAGGAGGAGGCGGGAGGGGGAGTGGGTGCAAAGGCTGTGGCGCACAGGGGGAAGCGGGAGAGGGAGGAGCAACAAGGGGTCGACACAAAGAGACAGAGGAGGGAAGGAGCAGCTGGAGAAGGGGGAGGAAAGGGAGAGCGGGGAGAAAGGGGAGAGGACAGAGTGGGGGGAGAGGAGAGGGGAGAGGAGGGATATGGGACGGAGGAGAAGGGTGTAAAGGGGAAAGGGACATTGGATGAAGATCGGAGGAGGGGAGGTGTCGTGGGAAGAGGGGGAGGGAAGGGCAGAGGAAGAAAGAGAGGGGCGACGAATGGGAATGCAGGCGAGCGAGATAGGGCAGCGCAGCAGGGGGATAAGCAGAGGAGCATGCAGCAGCAGCGCGACAGGCGGGGGCGATGGAGGCATGGGGGCAAGCGGGGTGGCATGAAAGGAGGAGGTGGGAGGAGAGCGGGGCGGACGGAGGGCAGGGAGGAGGGTGCAGCGAGGGTGAGTGGTGCGGATGGCAGAGAGAGGGAGGGAGGGAGGGCGCAAGAGAATGAGGAGCAGAAGCAGGTGAAGGAGGGTGCAAGGGAGGATGGTGCAAGGCGGAGTGAGGCACGGGCCAGTGAGAGGAAACGAGGCGGTGGCAGGGGAGGGGGGGGGTCGGCACTGTCTCGATGCCGCGATGGGCAGGTGGGGGCGGTGGGTGCAGTGGGTGGGGCGAAGGGCAGTGGTGGTAAGCAGGAGACGGACGGGCTGTGGTCAGGTGGGAGCAGTGAGGGCATGCACGGGCGCGGGGGGAGAAGTGTGGGAGGTGGTGGGAGTGAGGGGGACGAGGAGAGTGCGAGTGAGAGTGAGAGTGACAGCTTCTCAAGCCTGTTTCGAGAGGAGGAGAGTGAGGAGGAGAGTGGGGGCCAGGGAGGGGGCGAGGACATAGAGGTGGACGGGCCAAACCTGGAGGGGCACGCGGCAGGAGGGGGTGGAACAGAGAGGAGCGCGTCGCAGGATGGCAGTGCTGCTTCTGGCAGCAGTGGTGGCAAGGAGACTGGCATGGAAGGCTGGCAGCAGGGCGGCAGGGGGAGGGGAGGGGAACATGGAGGTGAGCAGGAGGGAGGGGGAGGGGCGAGCAGGGCGGGGCAGGCAGGCAGCGCGTGTCTGGCCACCAGCAGCCCTGCCTCTGCCGCCACACCCCTGCCACACCTCGCTGCCAGCCCCCACCTGCACTGCACCACATACGTCACTGCCAGCCCTCACCTGCTTGCCAGCCCGTACCTCAACGCAAGCCCGCACTTCACGAGCCCGTACCTACCGTACAGCCCCGGCATTGGCGCCAGCCCCGTGGGCAGCACCACCTTCTCCCCCCACCCGCTGCTTGACACTCCGCTGTCCGCGTGTGCCTCGCCCGCTGCGGTGCTGGCGGGCGAGGAGGGTGCGGAGGAGAGAGGGGGTGAGCAGCGGCGTGGTGAGGAGAGGGGCAAGCGGAGGGAGAGGACACGGCTGGTGAAGGACGTTGCTGGTGCTGCTGTGGGGGGGCAGGCAGGCGCACTGGAAGGCATTGCTGTGCCCACTGCACCTGCTGCCTCAGCTGCTGCTTCCGCTGCTGCCCGTGCGCCTTGCCAGGATGCTTCTGACGATCCAAGCAGAGGGTGCTCCGCTCTTGGCCCCCCTGCTGTTGCTGCTGCTGGCAGCAGTGGTGGAACGGTTGGGAGTGGTGACTTGGGAAGTGGAATGCTGGGGAGCGGTGACAAGGGTGGGGGAACAGTTGTGAGTGGTGACTTGGGTGGTGGTGGCGGCGGGGAGTTGAAAGCGGTCAAGAGAGGTGCAGAGAAGAGAGGGCGCGAGATGGAGGAGGAAGCAGAAGCGGGGTTGGAGGGCGATGAGGAGTGTGCGGAGGGCAGGAAGGGAGGATCAGCGGGCGAGCTGTGGGGGTTGAAGCGCCAGCGGTCGAGGAGAGGCGGCAGGCCTGTGGTGGCTGGCAGCGGGGGAGCGGAGGAAGCGAGGGGCGTAGCAGAGGGAGGGGAGGTGAGGGCAGGAGGTGCGATGGAGGGAGTTGTGAGAGGCGTGGAGCAGCCTGTAGGCTCGTGATGGCATGGCTGCCCACAGCAGAGGCGGCACATGGTGCTGCCAGGTTGGTCCTGTATTGGAGCAGCAGCGCTGCCAGGACTGGACTGCACACGCGCCACACTGCCACCCACACACACGCCACAAATGCCACACATGCCACACGCCCACCGCACTTGCTGCGCAGGTAGAGTGCATTCCTTATTTGCCGATGCTGCCTTCTGGGTGCTGCTGCACCCGCCCACAGGTGTTGCTTATACGTTCACACGAGCCACTGTTACCCTGGACTAGGTCCTGTGATTCCAGGGTAAAAAGTCATGAAATCCTTTTGAGGTTCCATCCAGTAACGACCCTTCCATGGGCATGTCAGGTTAAGACCTGTCAAATTCATGATGTCATTCCAAAACACAAACATTCAGTTCTTTTTGTTTTACGGTAAGTTGTTTCATGAGCAAACCTAGGGCTGGCTGCTTGACTCAGGGCCTTTTATTCAGCGCCTTTGTCTGATTTGCACTGTCTCGTCAACAACACTTTGGGGCCATCAATTCTGCAATTAAAGGTGAACTCACACTTCCTTCCCTGCATGGCTGCATGAGATGATGGATTTCGTTCACCTAGCCACGTAAAATCCATAACACCTACTTTCAGATGTCTTTATTTTATTAGATAGTCTGCAATTCAAAAAAATGCGCCAAGTTGGCATTGTTGATCCATATTTTGAGTTGAAGCTTCCATATCGGGTAGCATTTTAGCGGTTGGTCTGGTCTGATTAGGATGTGCGTGGAGGGTCGAGGTGTCTCCAATTTGATGATGTGGCGAGGCGAACCTATTCAGTACGGAACAGCACCTTCGCCAGCGTGTCAGCATTTTTGGCGCGGAACTGTTAGAATCTAGCAGCAGGAATGATTGAACTATGAAAGTATTGGGTACAAATATGAAACCCTAAAAGGGGTTGTACCCCATATTGGCTACCCCACTACAGCCTACACATATATAACATGCATATACTTTGACACACCCCCATAGGCAAAGTGGGGGAGAGCAAGGGGTCACAAGACCAGTCAAGAGAAGCAAAGCAAGCTCAGGGTGGATCACAACGTCACCACACACACTGAGCACAAGCAAAGGGCCACAAGGCCAGTTTACATGCAGAGGTATATATGCAACAACAACAGCACAGTGATCTCTACCTAGCAGAGCAAGCATGCAGGTATATATATAGATCACAGTACAAGCAAAGTCTACAGCAAGTGAGGAAACGTGGGCACAAGGCCTAACAGAGTGCAGAAACGCTGATGATCACCAGACGGAAGCGCCTTGGTGAATATATCAGCAGTGTTGGCCCGAGTGGCCACGTGAGCAAGACGAAGCTGACCACGCTGCTGCAACTCTCGAGCCAGGAAGTAACGCAGAGCGATGTGCTTCGTTCTGTGCTCCAGTCTGTGCTCCTGACACAAGGCAATGGCGGCCTTGTTGTCGACGTACAGCACTGGAGGAGAACGAGGCCGCTCTCCCAAGTCGGTCAGCAGGTAGGTGAGCCAGCGTAACTACTGTGCAGCCATGGCTGTGGCGTAGATCTCAGCCTCACAACTGGAGCTGAGAACTGAAGACGAGCGTGTAGAACGCCAAGAAACCGAACCAGAGCCAAGGCTGAAGGTGTAACCCTGTGACGACCGCTGCGTAGCCTGGTCGTCAACCCAAGAAGCGTCTGAGTGCCCGGTGAGGATAACGTCGCTCCGTCCTCCAAGCACGAGCCCCATGCCCGATGTACTGCACAAGTAGCGTAGTACCCTCTTAGCAGCATACATGTGCACCTTTCGGTGCCGACCAGGAGCCACGTAGCGAGCCAGAAGGCCAAGAGGGTACGCAAGGTCAGGACGAGTGCAGGTCATCACGTACATGAGGCAGCCCACTAGCTCTGGGTAAGGACCACTCGGCTCTACGGACTCGTCCGAAGGTGGAGCTGAGAGCGAGTGACCTGTAGCCAGAGGAGTGGCCTGTGCCGAGGACCAGGTGAAGCCGAAGCGCTGAAGGACCTGCTGCACCACGTGTGACTGAGTCAGTGTGATGGTGCGGCGTGCTCTGTCCCGGGTGATCTGCAAGCCAAGGTAACTGCGCAGCTCACCCAGGTCTGTACACGTGTGTCTCTTCTGTAGCTCCGACTTCACCAGGGCGAGAGCCTCAGTGTCAGCAGTGGCAAAGACCAAGTCGTCGACGTACACGAGGATGTAGAACGGCGGCAGCGAAGTGTCGGTGCGCAGAAACAGCGACGGATCAGCAGTCGACGGAGAAAACCCAAGAGCCGCAAGTGTCGTCCTCAGTGTGTCGTGCCACTCACGCGGCGCCTGGCGGAGACCGTAGACCGGCCGCCGGAGGCTCCAATGGGTACCAGGAGGGAACGACCCAGTGAAGCCAGGTGGGCGGCGCAGCCAGATCTCCTCGTGCAGGCTGCCCTGTAAGAAAGCTATGCTGAAGTCAAGAGAGTGAAGCTCGTAGTCACGCTGAGCGGCAACGTGCAGCAGCACCCGAAGAGTGGTCATCTTCGGGGTGGGGGAGAAGGTCTGGAAGAATTCAACTCCCTCTCGCTGACTGAAACCTCGAGCAACGTAACGAGCCTTGAAGACAGGCGGAGAACCTGGCGGCCGCTTCACCCTGAAAATCCACATGCCACTGACGATGTTCGCCCCAGGAGGGGGAACCTGCGTCCTGTGGACTTCCAGGATGCCATCACTGCGTCCATGGCTGTCTGGCACTGAGAGGAGTACTCACCCGCGATCGCCTCAGCGTAAGAGCGCGGGGCCGGGATGTCTGGAGCATCCGGGTCTCCCTCAGGGGCAAGCAGCATGGACATGAGATGAGGCGCAGCGGCTGCAAGACACTCAAGGTCCTCCTGCCTGTCCTCAAGGACGTCCGTGCCAAGAGCACACTCACCCCCAACGGACGGAGGACAGACAGACTCAGACTCAGCAACAAGACTAGCGGCGTAGTCTAGACGACAGGTAGCAGCAAAGTCAACAAGCTCAGCGACTAAGGCAGACGCAGCAGCAGACTCAAACGACGGGTCAGTGACAACAGTGGCTAGCAGACGCGTGACAGTAGAGTGCTCAGCACGAAACCGGTCAGACTCAGGGTCCGCAACGACAGGCAGAGAAGACGCAGGAGGAGACGGCAGAGGAACACGCTGCGGAGGAGAGGAAGGACGACGGACTACGAGGTGGGTGTCGGGGACAGCCGGCTGACGCGGACGAGGAACACGACGACCGGAACAGACAGGCGAGACAGGACGCGATGCAGGCTCACGACGCTCAGTAAGACCCCCTGGCTGCTCAGTGTAAGGAGAAGGAGCAGGCAGCGGTGAGCCAGGCTGTAACGGAAGTCCAGTAGACGAAGGGAGACTAAGAACCTGGCGAAGCACAGAGTCAGGTGGTGGCTGAGACGACGGAGACGGTGGAGCGAAGAACAGGCGCGGCTGTGCATGCAGGCAGGCAGGCAGGCAGGCAGGCAGAGGGCGCGGCACCGCGGGAACAAGGCAGGTGCTCACCAGTGGCGGGCAGGGCCGGCGCTCGGCGGGCGGCGGCAGGGTAGGCACACGACGGCGGCGACGGCGGGGCCGCAGCAGCGGCTGCAGAGTAGGGCCGCAACAGCTGCAGGGCGTGGCCGCGTCAGCGGCAGGTCGGGGCCGCGTCAGCTGCAGGGCTGGCGAGGCCGCGTCGGCGTCCGGGCGGGGCCGCGTCGGCGGCAGGGCGCGGCCGCGTCAGAGGCAGGGCGGGGCCGCGTCGGCGGCAGGGCGCGGCCACGTCAGAGGCAGGGCGCGGCCGCGTCAGAGGCAGGGCGGGGCCGCATCAGGGGAGAGGCGGGGCCGCGTCGGCGACAAGGCGCGGCCGCGTTAGAGGCAGGGCGCGGCCGCGTCAGAGGCAGGGCGGGGCCGCGTCAAGGGCAGGGCGGGGCCGCGTCGGCGACAGGGCGCGGCCGCGTCAGAGGCAGGGCGCGGCCGCGTCAGAGGCAGGGCGGGGTCGCGTCGGCGGCAGGGCGCGGCCGCGTCAGAGGCAGGGCGGGGCCGCGTCGGCTGCAGGGCGCGGCCGCGTCAGAGGCAGGGCGCGGCCGCGTCAGAGGCAGGGCGGGGCCGCGTCAGCGGCCTGGCGGGGCGGCGCTCTGGCCCGACGGGCCTGCACTGGGGCGGCGCGCTGGCCTAGGGCAGCAGGAGGCAGCGCGAGGGCTGCAGGACGGTCGCGCGCATCGCAGCACGTCACAAGGCAGGGCAGGCAGGCAGGCAGGCAGGCAGGCGCAGGACAACACGTGGGGTAGCGTGGTAACCGCAACGGTAGGTGGGCCCGAAAAAAAAGACGGTCCTACGGACCTAGTGCTCTGAAACCATGTTAGAATCTAGCAGCAGGAATGATTGAACTATGAAAGTATTGGGTACAAACATGAGACCCTAAAAGGGGTTGTACCCCATATTGGCTACCCCACTACAGCCTACACATATATAACATGCATATACTTTGACAGGACCTACGGCCGATAATTTCCGTGGTCGCTTGTGTCGTTGTCAGGAAGTCCATCAAGGCAGCTTCTCAGGACTTTGACGGTGATTCCTCCTTCGGTGGCGTTTGTGCTGTGACGTCAACACGCAGCCTTTGAGATCGCCTTCCTGAGATGGGGCCCCATCCGAATTTCCCCCAACAACAGTGCCCAGAGCACGTGTCCGTGGCATGGCAGCAAAGGGGGGGCGAATGTGGACGTCGCATGAGTTGGGAGCTGAGGGTCGTGCTATACTCCCTCACGTCAACTTTTTCTGCCCCCGGACGTCAGAACGACTGTCGAGCTAGACTGTCACGGAACCAAAAACTGAACATCATCCTGCGCGCATACCAATACCACAATGCAATTCCAGTGAGAACCCTAAAAGGTTTATGAATTCCCTCCCAGTGTGTTTTCGACCGTCTCATGGGAGCATGTGGCCGTTGGAAACTGTCGCATGAACGTTCGATGCAGACGCATGTGAGTGGTTGCACCAATTCTCTCTTGTTTTTCGCCCTAATCGTCTCTCGTCGCATGGCACGTGTGGTAGGTGTGACCAATATCTAATTCAGCCACGCTGGACCAATGGCGCTGCAAATCGATGGGGCCCCATCTCAGGAAGGCGCCCTGAGCCCCTTTCCCGCATTTCTCGGGAAAAGATCAGAAAGGGGCCCCGGAGTAGCAGTAAAGTGGCCAACTTGGGGCCTCGTGATTCGCGCCCCTACTACGTAGCTCCGAAGCAACCAACACACCTGGGCAGTTAGGCCGAGCCTGGCCTTCTCGCCAGGTCACCACCTACTGGCCTGGGGTTGACGGAATTTGCTAGTGACTCGTCATAAAAAAATACCCAGAAAAACAATCGTTTAACCCCAAAAAAACAACATCGCAATGGTACAAAAAATAAACCCCATTCGGATGGCATATAATTGGGGAAGCATCAACCCTAAACACCGTGCGGCAAGATGTTTAGTTCTGAGGCCCCTTCGAAGGCATGAAGGACGAGAGGAAAATTCGTCAATTTTTTAATGTCGAGTCAAATTTGTCGATGTCGTCAAGGAAGAATTCGTTACCTTGTGTGGTCAGGTCTGACGGAGCGCGTGGATGAGGCTCGAAATTGGTCGGGCACAGGTCCGGCCCAGGTTCGACTCCTTGCGACACACGAGGCCCCAAGTTGGCGACTTTTCTAGAGCTCTAGGGCCCCAACCCCAATCTGATCATTTCCCGCATTTCTGTCCCCCAAATTTGAACAGTCGTCAGAAAACACGCCTCCGTTGTGTGGTTTTTGTGGACCAAAACGAGTTGTTTGGGATCTTATCCTCTTCGCAATGTGTCGTCTGTGATCTCCTGAGGAGTCGTTGGCCAACCAGAGTCGTCGTAAGTTGACAGGCTGTAAGTACTGCTCGCAAGGAGTGGTGGACGAGTTTTGACGAAGGTCGCGCGTACATCTTCCTGGCACCCTGCAGCCCACTTCCCTTTGGATTTCACGAACAGTTCCGCCGGCAAACTCGTCCTCTTCCCGCCTGTCTCCCGTGGCGCATCCCGTGCTCTGAATTTTGGTTGTGTGCTCTTTTGAAACGCAAATGTATTATGCTACCAACAGCTTCGAATAAGTCTCTAAGCAACGCAATGACACAGGTCCTGCTTTCAGGTTTTTTGAAATTTCGGAAATATATCGCATGCTGTATGTCTACCCAAAATGTTTTTTTGACCCGCTGCAGGTGGTGGTGACCACCACATCCCACAGGGCTTGCTGCAATCTGACACTATAGTTTTCGGCTTGTAGTGAACCAACCACTCCTCTGCTCCATCCTCACCTTGCGGCAAGGATGCTCAGGGAGACTCCTCACAGAGCAGTAACACAAACGTACCCGCAAGGAGAAAGTCGAGCCTCTAGACACACTACCTGTGTGTTTGGTAGCATGTATATAACACAGGGACTTAGAATCGGAAAGCTTTAAGCTCATAGTTCCCGAGGTCGACCACCACAATTCCCGTCATCAACGAGCTTCATTCGCCCGACCACCATGCGCCCAGGAGGTCGCCCACCATATTTCCCGTCATCAACGAGCTTCATTCGTCTAAGCTCATAAACCCTGGAGATCGCCCACCAACCATTCGCCCCCATCGCCAACCTGCAACCCCGCTCCATCCGCACACCGCCCCCCGCCCAGTCTACCCTTCGATCTCCAAAGGTAAGCATAAAGTTGTTATGCCCACTTGTTCCGACTTCGACGTTTTTTTAATGTCATTGTTTCAGAATATATTCGTGTAAACTTCCGATTACTGACTCTTCTGTGTTCGTTTTTCGCAGGTACAAAGACAAGTCCAGTGACGATTCTGCATCAAGCCGCCGAACTGGTGCTCAAGCCGAACTTCTGCTCAAGCCGAACTTCTGCTCAAGCCGAACTTCTGCTCAAGCCGAACTTCTGCTCTGCATTTGCAAGCCGTGCGTGGCGCTCTGACACGTTGGGAGCGCTGCTGTTGCCTGTCTTCACGCTGACGTGCTGGTCTGACGCTTCATTTGGACAACACCTGGAGATCGCCCACCACCGCCTCCATCCATCCGCACACTTCCCCCCGCCCAGCCTGCCCTTCCGATTTCCAGAGGTAAGCACGAGATTTTTATGTCCACCTAATTTGACTTTAACACACTAGATCTATTTGGATGTACTTGTTCTTTGAAATTCTCCACGTATACCTCTGATTTCTGACTCTTGTGTTTGTATATTCGCAGGTACAAAAGACTTGCTGCTCTCCATCATGTCCAATGAAGAATCTGCATCCGAACTTGCTGCTCTCCATTTCAAGTGTTGGACGTTCTGCTCTGAAGCGGTCTGGCGCGGTGGCCGGAGGTGTGACGCGGTGGGACGCGGTCTGACGGGATGGACGTGGTGCTGCCGCGTTTCATCACGCTGCCGCGTTTGATCGGGAAGTGTTGCTTCCCTTTTCTTTAGTTTTTTCCTCGCTTTCGTTTCAATTTCCTCGCTATCATCATCATCATCCACAACCCGACCATTCGTGAATCTTGTTTCCACCGTCCCTCTGGTCACACGGCTGCAGCCGGACGAAGATCCTCCTCGGTTGGGTAGTCGGGTGGCTATATTAGATCCTCCCTCTGAAGGCTGCAGCCCGTGACCATGGACGTCCGCCCTCGTTTTCGTTTGTCGTTTTCATATTCATCGCTTTTCACTTTTCGCATTTGTTTTATGCTTGTTCGTTTTTTTCCTTTGTTTTTCGTCTTGTCTTGCTGTTTACTAACTTCGAGCCCTCTTCTGTGTTTCCTACCCCCCGTTTCAGCAATAAGGATCACGTTGTGTGTGGAGGCGGATCTGCAACTGGAGCTGATTATTCAAGGCCGGAGCAACCAAGGAGCCAAGCTACCAACCCAAGCAAGCAGCTCAACGTAGTGGTAAGTTTACTGTTTAACCCTGTTTTCTTCTTATTTGGCTGTAAATGGTGTCCTTTTTCTTCGAGATTTTGATTCTGAAGATTAGATACTGACTTAATTTGTATTTTTTTCTTAAACAGGTCAAGCCAATGAAGATGCAAGTGGCGAAGAAGGAGCAGCCTACGAAGCCATTGGAGCTAAGCAACTAAGAAGCGATGCTACCAAGGAAGCAGCAAAACTTGTGGTAACTTTAACCGTTTAGCCATTTTAACCGTTTTATGCTTAATCAGGCTGCAAAATGGTGTCTTTCCTTTGAGTTTTTGATTCAGAAGATTGTTTGTGTTTTTCTTAAAACAGGACCAAGGAGTCTACGAGCAGCCAACCAAGGAGCCTACGAAGCGGCGGAAGCGGTTGCTTGGCGGCGGAAGCGGTTGTTGGGCTGTGTAAGCGGTTGCTGGCCTGCGGAAGCGAGGCCATGGAAGCTGTCAAGTAAGTTTCACAGCCATTGCATTGTTCATCCTTGGGTTTTGCCGTTTTCTGCAAAATGGTGTCTTTCCTTTGAGATTTTGATTCAAAATATTATGTACTAATTTTTGTTTGTGTTCTTTCTTAAAAGACGCCTACGAGCAGCCAACCAAGGAGCCTACGAAGTGGCGGAAGCGGTGGCTTGGCGGCGGAAGCGGCTGTGTACGCGGTTGCTGGCCTGCGGAAGCGAAGGTGGGCTGCGGATGCGGTTGCTGCGCTGCGGAAGCGGAAGCTGGGCGGCGGAGGCGGTTGTTGGGCTGCGGAAGCGCGGACCAAGGAAGCAGCCGAGGAAGCAACAGAACGCACCGTTGAAGCAACTGGTAAGCTGTTCACCGTATTACTCCTTCCACTGTTTACCATTGCAATTGGTGTCTGTCAGTTTTTGTTAAGATTCGAATTGTGAGAAACTGAGAATCTGGTCCGTCGTTTTCTCTTAACAGGACCAACCAACGAAGACGGAAATGGCGAAGGACGAGTCTACGAATCGGCCGAGCACCTTACAGAGCGGCGGCGCAGCCTTCAAAGGAGCAAACTTGAAGCAGAGGACGAAGACTACGGTTGCTGGGCTGCGGATGCGGTTGCTGGGCGGCGGAAGCAGAGGTTGGGCGGCAGAAGCGGAGGCTGGGCGGCGAAAGCGGCTCCTCGGCTGCGGAAGCGGCGAAGCAACCAAGGAAGCAACAGAACGCACCGTTGAAGCATCTGGTAAGCTGTTCACCGTCTCACTCCTTCCACCGTTTACCGTTGCAATTGGTGTCTGTCAGTTTTCCTTAACATTCGCATTCTGAGATTCTGGTAACATAAATACTAATATGTGTTCGTCGTTTTCTCTTAACAGGACCAGCCAACGACGACAGAAATGGCGAAGGAGAAGTCTACGAATCGGCCGAGCACCTTACAGAGCGGCGGAGCAATCTACAAAGCGGCCGAGCAACTTACAGAGCGGCGGCCTGGTGGAGAAGAGAGGAGATTAACCCCTGAACCCTGAAGGGTTGATTCAGCCTGGTGCAGACAAGGGGAGAGGCGGCCTGGTGGAGAGGAGAGGAGATTAACCCCTGAACCCTGAAGGGTTGATTCAGCCTGGTGCAGACAAGGGGAGAGGCGGCCTGGTTGAGAGGAGAGGAGATTAACCCCTGAACCCTGAAGGGCTGATTCAGCCTGGTGCAGACAAGGGGAGAGGCGGCCTGGTTGAGAGGAGAGGAGATTAACCCCTGAACCCTGAAGGGCTGATTCAGCCTGGTGCAGACAAGGGGAGAGGCGGCCTGGTTGAGAGGAGAGGAGATTAACCCCTGAACCCTGAAGGGCTGATTCAGCCTGGTGCAGACAAGGGGAGAGGCGGCCTGGTTGAGAGGAGAGGAGGTTAACCCCTGAACCCTGAAGGGCTGATTCAGCCTGGTGTAGAGGCGGCCTGGTTGAGAGGAGAGGAGATTAACCCCTGAACCCTGAAGGGCTGATTCAGCCTGGTGCAGACAAGGGGAGAGGCGGCCTGGTTGAGAGGAGAGGAGATTAACCCCTGAACCCTGAAGGGCTGATTCAGCCTGGTGCAGACAAGGGGAGAGGCGGCCTGGTTGAGAGGAGAGGAGATTAACCCCTGAACCCTGAAGGGCTGATTCAGCCTGGTGCAGACAAGGGGAGAGGCGGCCTGGTTGAGAGGAGAGGAGATTAACCCCTGAACCCTGAAGGGCTGATTCAGCCTGGTGCAGACAAGGGGAGAGGCGGCCTGGTTGAGAGGAGAGGAGATTAACCCCTGAACCCTGAAGGGCTGATTCAGCCTGGTGCAGACAAGGGGAGAGGCGGCCTGGTTGAGAGGAGAGGAGGTTAACCCCTGAACCCTGAAGGGCTGATTCAGCCTGGTGCAGACAAGGGGAGAGGCGGCCTGGTTGAGAGGAGAGGAGATTAACCCCTGAACCCTGAAGGGCTGATTCAGCCTGGTGCAGACAAGGGGAGAGGCGGCCTGGTTGAGAGGAGAGGAGATTAACCCCTGAACCCTGAAGGGCTGATTCAGCCTGGTGCAGACAAGGGGAGAGGCGGCCTGGTTGAGAGGAGAGGAGGTTAACCCCTGAACCCTGAAGGGCTGATTCAGCCTGGTGCAGACAAGGGGAGAGGCGGCCTGGTTGAGAGGAGAGGAGATTAACCCCTGAACCCTGAAGGGCTGATTCAGCCTGGTGCAGACAAGGGGAGAGGCGGCCTGGTTGAGAGGAGAGGAGGTTAACCCCTGAACCCTGAAGGGCTGATTCAGCCTGGTGCAGACAAGGGGAGAGGCGGCCTGGTTGAGAGGAGAGGAGATTAACCCCTGAACCCTGAAGGGCTGATTCAGCCTGGTGCAGACAAGGGGAGAGGCGGCCTGGTTGAGAGGAGAGGAGGTTAACCCCTGAACCCTGAAGGGCTGATTCAGCCTGGTGCAGACAAGGGGAGAGGCGGCCTGGTTGAGAGGAGAGGAGATTAACCCCTGAACCCTGAAGGGCTGATTCAGCCTGGTGCAGACAAGGGGAGAGGCGGCCTGGTTGAGAGGAGAGGAGGTTAACCCCTGAACCCTGAAGGGCTGATTCAGCCTGGTGTAGAGGCGGCCTGGTTGAGAGGAGAGGAGATTAACCCCTGAACCCTGAAGGGCTGATTCAGCCTGGTGCAGACAAGGGGAGAGGCGGCCTGGTTGAGAGGAGAGGAGATTAACCCCTGAACCCTGAAGGGCTGATTCAGCCTGGTGCAGACAAGGGGAGAGGCGGCCTGGTTGAGAGGAGAGGAGATTAACCCCTGAACCCTGAAGGGCTGATTCAGCCTGGTGCAGACAAGGGGAGAGGCGGCCTGGTTGAGAGGAGAGCATGGGCTGCGGAGGCTGCAAGGAGTAGACGGAGGTGGCGGCTGCGGAAGCGGTTGCTGCGGAAACGGATGCTTGGTGGGTTGTGGCGAAGCAATGGTGGATGTGGCGAAGGGTTGCGCGGATTGTGGCTAGACGGGAGCTCAAGGGTGGCCTAAGAGGTGGCTGAGTCTAGTTGGTGGCTCAGCCGGTCCTAAGGCGAGTGGCACGGTGTGGGTGTTGCCTCAGCTGTGATGTGATGGAGTAAGGGCCGGTGCTTGGTTCTGGCAGTGCAAAGTCGCCCGGGAGGCTTTGCACTGCCTGGGCCCAGAATCAAGCAAATCCGGGTACCTGACACTCCAGGTAGCATCACTGTTGGGGTTGCACTTGCACCACAAGTCAGCACCGCACCGGGGTGGGTGCGGGGGACTTGAGTCACTCTAAAGAGAAGGGAGACCGCACTGGCGAGGGTGCGGAGATCTTCTCTTACCTCTGAATGATGAGTCCACACTGGCGTGGGTGTGGAAATACTCATTCTAGGTCACCTGAGGGTTTCCGTTTAGGAGGCTCGCGGTTTTACTTAGAGCCTCGGGGCTTTCTCACACTGGCGTGGGTGTGGGGGGTTCGTCACTTGATGCGTCAGCCTGGAGCCACAGGGAGAGAGGGATGGAGCAGTGGAGGGGAGCAGCCGCCTATGCAGCAGCCACCTATTGCAGTTAAGGGGAGAAGCCGCCAGAAGCAGTTAAGGGGAGAAGCCGCCTGAAGCAGTTAAGGGGAGAAGCCGCCTGAAGCAGTTAAGGGGAGAAGCCGCCTGAAGCAGTTAAGGGGAGAAGCCGCCTGAAGCAGTTAAGGGGAGAAGCCGCCTGAAGCAGTTAAGGGGAGAAGCCGCCTGAAGCAGTTAAGGGGAGAAGCCGCCTGCAGACAAGGAGAAGAACCTCTAAACCCTGAAGGGAGAAGCCGCCTCCTGGTGCAGACAAGGAGAGAGGAATCCCTAAACCCTGAAGGGGAGGGGGAGAGAAGCAGCCGCCTCCTGGTGCAGGCAAGTGGAGAAGGAGAGAAGCAGCCGCCTCCTGGTGCAGGCAAGGAGAGAGGAATCCCCAAACCCTGATGGGAGAATGGGAGAAACAGCCGCCTGCTCTAAGGGGAGAGGAACCCCTGAACCTTGAAGCGGAGAAGCAGCCGCCTGGTGCAGTTAAGGGGAGCAGCAGAAGCAGCCGCCTGGTGCAGAGAAGGGGGGAAGCAGTGGGGTGCAGGGAGCACCCTTAAGGAGGTTTTTTAGCCGAGTGATACGGCAGTACTCTGATTCTCAGGGTCTCGGCCCGTAGGCATCCCACCCAACCGGATGCTGATGGGACGGATTTTTTATCCTCCATGGCTTGTGCACAAGCCTTCCAAGTAAAAAAAAAAAAAAAAAAAAAAAAACGGGGGGAAGCAGTGAAGAGGAAGCAGCAGTGAAGGGGAAGCAGCAGTGAAGGGGAAGCAGCAGTGAAGGGGAAGCAGCAGTGAAGGGGAAGCAGCAGTGAAGGGGATGCAGCAGTGAAGGGGAAGCAGCAGTGAAGGGGAAGCAGCAGTGAAGGGGAAGCAGCAGTGAAGGGGATGCAGCAGTGAAGGGGAAACAGCAGTGAAGGGGAAGCAGCAGTGAAGGGGAAGCAGCAGTGAAGGGGATGCAGCAGTGAAGGGGAAGCAGCAGTGAAGGGGATGCAGCAGTGAAGGGGAAGCAGCAGTGAAGGGGAAGCAGCAGTGAAGGGGAAGCAGCAGTGAAGGGGAAGCAGCAGTGAAGGGGAAGCAGCAGTGAAGGGGAAGCAGCAGTGAAGGGGAAGCAGCAGTGAAGGGGAATCAGCAGTGAAGGGGAAGCAGCAGTGAAGGGGAAGCAGTGTAGGAGAAGTGAAGGGGAAGTGGATGGATGGAAGCTGTGAGGCCAATAGTGTGTGGAATTGGAGTAATGTCGGGGAGAACTGACGGGAATGGACGGATGGTGAATGGTGAAGCAGTGATGCAGTGAAGCCGTGATGCAGTGAAGCCGTGATGCAGTGAAGCCGTGATGCAGTGAAGCCGTGATGCAGTGAAGCCGTGATGCAGTGAAGCCGTGATGCAGTGAAGCCAGGATTGTGGTATCTGGAGAAGCAGAGGAGCAGCGGAGTAGAGAAGATGCGGAGGAGCGGAGCAGAGAGAAGTGGAAGGGCAAGGCCTTTCTGTGTTGTACATAGGAGGGAAGATGTTGCAGCGGCGAGCTGATGCATACCCAACCCAGTGCTCCCATGTTACGTATTTTGCTTGTTAGTGGTCAAATTGCAGCTATTTTGCACCACTCTTGATTATATTAAAACCAGAATATAAAATAATGAACCCTGTCCCAACTTGAAATGGTGCTGCAGAGAGCGGGCCGATAGAGCACTGTTCCAAAGAAAACGAGCAGCACTTAGAACAAAAGTGATTGGCTTTCGCCAACTTTCTGCTGTCTTGTTCCCGCCAAAATGTTTTTCCATCCGGATCTCCCTCGTCGCACGTCTACGTGCTACACCTGCACGACTGTTGCCTGGCGATGGTTTCCGTCGCTAGGCCAACGTTGGTTTCAAGTTGGAACTGGGTTTCATGACCAGCTGCTCTCCATCCCGAAGTCACTAGTTTTATTCCTAGCATATTTAGCTGACAACAATAGGTGTTTGTGGCCAAGGTAAGTAACTATCGACCCTGCAGGAATGCGTAAGACTGTCGCGTAGCTTAGTATCGTAAATTAAGTCCCTTCCGCAGGCGATCGTTGCACTTCCGCAGGGGCTAGTTTCCTGTCTCGCGCCTTCGCCATCTCCCCTACCCTCCAGTCGTTCGTCCGCTGTCCCTCCCATCACCTTCGCGGGTCACCCTCGATGCAGTCGTCGCCCCATCGCTCACCTTCGCGCTCTCCATCCCGTCGCCTACGCGCTCTCCTTCCCGTCGCCTACGCGCTCTCCTTCCCGTCGCCTTCGCGCTCTCCCTCCCGTCGCCTTCGCGCTCTCCCTCCCGTCGCCTTCGCGCTCTCCCTCCCGTCGCCTTCGCGCTCTCCCTCCCGTCTCCCACTTCATCTCCTCTCGCTCACGTCCTCCCCTCCCATCTGCATGCGCTCACGTTCCTCCTCTCCTCTCCCATCCTATCATCCGCCTCCTCTCCCCTCCCATCGCGTCGTTCGCCATAGCCCTCTCTATCTCCCTTCCGTGGCCTTCGCCTCGTTTATCTCCCCTCGCTGCCCGTCCCGTCACCTTTCCGTCGCCCTCGCAAACACACGCGCAACCGCCCTCCCGTCGTCCTCATGGTATCCCCTTCCATCTCGTCGCATTCCCTTCCCTTCCCTCGCCATCGCCTTCCCTTCCCTTTTCTTCCCTTCCCGTCGCCTTCCCTTCCCGTCGCCTTCACTTCCCTTACCTTCCCTTCCCTTCCCTTCCCTTCCGTCGCCTTCCCTTTCCTTCCCTCGCCTTCCATCCCGTCGCCTTCCCTTCCCTTCCCTTCCCTTCCCGTCGCCCTCACTATCTCCCTTCCCGTCGCCTTCCATTCCCTCGCCTTCGATTCCTTCCCTTCCATCCCGTCGCCCTCACGCGCTGGTCTCCCCATCCCGTCGCCTTCCCTCGCCTTCCATCCCGTCGCCTTCCCTCGCCTTCCGTCCCGTCGCCTTCCCTTCCCTTCCCTTACCTTCCCTTCCCTTCCCGTCCCTCCCCTTCCCTTCCCTCGCCTTCCCTTCCCTTCCCGTCGCCTTCCCTTCCCTTCCCGTCGCCTTCCCTTCCCTTCCCGTCGCCTTCCCTTCCCTTCCTTTACCTTCCCTTCCCTTCCCGTCCCTCCCCTTCCCTTCCCTCGCCTTCCCTTCCCTTCCCTCGCCTTCGATGTCCCCCCTTCCATCCCGTCGCCCTCACAATTCCCTCCCCTCGCCTTCAATATCCCCCCCTTCCATCCCGTCGCATCACCTTGTTTTTCTCCGTTTACCCCATTCATGCTCAGTTTTTATTTTTCAGGAATCCTTGTTAATGAACCTCTCTCAGGCCCCAAGTCGAAGAGGGCACGATTCGTCGTGGCTCCGTTGGCTCTCATCTTGTTCACGCTATTCCACTCTCATATCTTACACATGTTTGTGCTTGACAATTTGCCTGTGCTGCTGCTAGACGCGAATTTGGTGAAGTCACATTTCTAGTGAATGTGACATTGCACGTCGCTCAACCTTGCACAAAAATCGCAGATGTACGTGCAAGTATTTGGCTGCCAATCAGAATTGAGAAGGTACTTTTGATGCCTTCATTCGGAACTCGTCTGGAGGTGTGAAAAAAACCCACACACGACACTTCAACTTTTCAAAACATTACAAAAAAACTTTGATAATCAAGTGGATCCAACTAGAAGGGGGGGGTCACTATTTTAGCTGCTGGCTTTAAGCTCCCTCGTCTAGATCAGAATGAAGTCCCTGGTTGCAGGTTTCAAAGGTACCATACCAACAGACTATTTGAAAAAAAAAACAAGGTTATTAGGGTATGAGTACGGCAGCGTCACAAGTACAAATGCAGTTGGGTTGTTGCTGTGGATGGGATAGAATGGGGTGGGTGGGGTGGACACCTTTCTCTCCCGGATTCAAGGCCCCATACAGTAGTGATGAAGAGTCACAACACAACAGTCACAGAAAAAACAAATATGTTGTATCGCATCCGTGGCTCTGGCCTCCTCATAGGGCACTCTGCTTGTCCCCCTACCGCTCCTAGTAATTTCCCTCACTGGCACCCACCACCCAAGGCATGGGAACGTAAGGCAAGGCGATGAACACGTGCAGTGGATCTACAGTAACTGCAGGGAGTCGACTTTGAGTTCACACGGTATGCCACAGCCATGTGCTGCTCACAAGGTGAGAGACACAGGCGCCAAGACGGACGTTCTCTCTCGCGGGTGCCCATTGCAGCAGTCCCAGGCCCGTCACACCTTGGATGCTGCACCCACTCTCACCCACTTGGCCAGCTGCTCCTTGCCCTGCACGTCCCACCACACCCACGCACGCACGCACGCACCCGCCCACGCACCCACGCACACCCATACCCACACCCACACCCTCACTCACCCACACCCGCACCCACACACACGCACACACTCACACACACTCGCATGCATGAGCAGAGGCACACCAACACAGGAAGAGGCACAACAACATGCAATGAGCCAGAGAGGCAGAGGCAGGTGAGTGGCCGCACATGCAATGAGCCAGAGAGGGAGTGGGCAACAAGCACAGCACTGCTGACAAGCACAGCACTGCTGACAAGCACAGCACTGCTGACAAGCACAGCCTTGGTGACCCGTGCCCTTGTGACCCGTGCCCTCACGCACACGCAGCCCACCGGGCGCACCTGTCTGGGCGGCACACTGGCGGTGGGCAGATCCTCTGCCGTGAAGCCCAGCGGCTGCAGCACCTCCGCATAGCTGCAGGGGCCGCACGTGAGGGAGGGGGGGGGAGAGCAAGGTAGTGGCAGGGATGGGAGGGGCAGGAAGAGATGAGGAGAACCAAATGACAACGGCAACAAGGGCTGCATAGGTCGAGCAGGAGTAGGAGGTGGGAGGCGGGCGAACAGCGGATGTGCGGAAAGGACCAGGCGGAGCAGGGGGGCAGGGGGGGCAGGGGGGGCAGGGGGGAGCAGGGGGGACAGGGGGGAGCAGGGGGGACAGGGGGGAAGGGGGAGAGAGCAGGGAAAAGGAGGACAGGAAAGACATGGGGGAGAAGGGGGACAGGGGGAAGTGGGGCCAGGGGCCAGGGGGCAGGCGAGAGACAGGAGGGGTGCACCTGTCCTTGGAGACGGCATAGGGAGGGCCGCCCTCGTGGGCGCCGATCTGCAGGCGGGGAGCACACAGCGAGGCACGCGGGCAGACAGCCAGGCGTGGGCCGTGAGCAGAGAGCAGCGGGGAGAGCAGTGATTAGGAGCACGCGAGGGTGCATTCATACGTGCGGGGGTAACATGAGGACACAGATGAACATAGAATGATAGGCGTGCATGTATGGATACGCATGGTGATACGCACGGGGAACATGAGGGGTTGGATGAATACGCACGGGGAACATGAGGGGGTGCAAGGATACGCACGGGGAACATGAGAGGGTGCAGAGATACGCACGGGGAACATGAGAGGGTGCAGAGATACGCACGGGGAACATGAGAGGGTGCAGAGATACGCACGGGGAACATGAGAGGGTGCAGAGATACGCACGGGGAACATGAGAGGGATACGCACGGGGAACATGAGAGGGTGGAGGGATACGCACAGGGAACATGAGTGTGAAGAGCACCCCGTGTGGTGCCAGCAGCTCGGCTGTCTTGGCCGCCCACTTGCCCCTCAGCGATGGTGGCAGCGCACAGAAGAACCTACAGGCGGTGCGGTGAGACCGGTGGGGAGGGACACGGGGGCATGCGGGGAAGGTGCGTGGGGGCATAGAGGCATGGTGCATGGGGGCATAGAGGCATGGTGCATGGGGGCATAGAGGCATGGTGCATGGGGGCATAGAGGCATGGTGCATGGGGGCGTGGAGGCATGGTGCATGGGGGCATGGACGCATGGTGCATGGGGGCGCAAGGGTGTGAGGGGCATGGCAGGGGCAATGGGGCATGTGAGCACTGATAGGGAGTGGTTGAGGGGGAGGGGGGATGGCGGGTACGTGCTCTTCTTAGTGACAATAGGAGAGACTGAGACACGAGAGAGGCCGGAGCGATTGAGATGCTGGGCACACGACCAGGGAAAGGAGAGAAGCAGAGGGATAACTGGTGTGGCCGCAGATGCTTGGCATGCGAGGGGGTGAGAGGGAGAGGGGTGGGGGGTGAGAGGCAGAGGGGCGTGGGGTGAGAGGCAGAGGGGCGTGGGGTGAGAGGCAGAGGGGCGGGGCTCACGGGCAGTCAACGATGGCATGGAAGGGCTGTGCAGGGCGATACTGAAAGAAGTCGGCGCACTCAAACGCCATGGCCGCCCTGTTGGTCGCCCCCTCCAACCGCTGGGGTGAGCAGCGGCGGGAGGAGGTTGGGCGGGAGGGGGAGAGGGATGAGAGGTTGAAAGTGTAGAGGGGGTTAAGAGGGTAAATAAAATGGGCAGCAGGGGAGGAGTGGAAAGGAGTGGGAGGGCAGGGGTGTGAGCAAAGGGATGGGCGAAGAGGGGAAGGGCGAATGGCTGCAGTGCTGGCGGCACGGGCGCTGCCCACCCGCTTGTGCTGCGCTGCCCGCCCGCCTGGGCGAGTTGTACCCATCAAGCAACACGAGGGACGTGCGCTGAGGCAGCACCCATGCCATGTCCGCCCACCTTCTCTGCATGCCATGCGCACCCACCTTCTCTGCATGCCACGCGCACCCACCTTCTCTGCATGCCACGCGCACCCACCTTCTCTGCATGTGCCACAGCAGCCGGCGAGATATCAAGCCCCGTCGCCTCCCTGCCACTCGATGCCAACGCCTCCACGTCGAACCCCTGCCATGCCATGCCATGCCATGCCATGCCATCGAGTATAGGAGAGAATTGATGCACTCTGAATCTACCAATGGCGTGGAGGGGAGGTGAGTGCAGTGCAGTAGAGAGGGGAAGGGCGGAAACAAAAGGAGGGCAGTGGAGAGGAAAGGAGAGGAGAGGAGAGGAGAGGTGAGGAGAGGAGAGGAGAGGAGAGGAGAGGAGAGGAGAGGAGCGGAGAGGAGAGGAGAGGTGAGGAGAGGAGAGGAGAGGAGATGAGTGGAGAGGAGATGAGAGGAGAGGAGCAGAGAGGAGTGGAGAGGAGAGGAGAGGAGCGGAGAGGAGTGGAGAGGAGAGGAGAGGAGCGGAGAGGAGTGGAGAGGAGAGGAGAGGAGCGGAGAGGAGTGGAGGGGAGAGGAGAGGAGAGGAGAGGAGCGGAGAGGAGAGGAGTGGAGAGGAGAGGAGAGGAGCGGAGAGGAGTGGAGAGGAGAGGAGAGGAGCGGAGAGGAGTGGAGAGGAGAGGAGAGGAGAGGAGCGGAGAGGAGAGGAGTGGAGAGGAGAGGAGAGGAGCGGAGAGGAGTGGAGAGGAGAGGAGAGGAGCGGAGAGGAGTGGAGAGGAGAGGAGAGGAGCGGAGAGGAGTGGAGATGAGAGGAGAGGAGCGGAGAGGAGTGGAGAGGAGCGGAGAGGAGTGGAGAGGAGAGGAGAGGAGCGGAGAGGAGTGGAGAGGAGAGGAGAGGAGCGGAGAGGAGTGGAGATGAGAGGAGAGGAGCGGAGAGGAGTGGAGAGGAGCGGAGAGGAGTGGAGAGGAGAGGAGAGGAGCGGAGAGGAGTGGAGAGGAGAGGAGAGGAGCGGAGAGGAGTGGAGATGAGAGGAGAGGAGCGGAGAGGAGTGGAGAGGAGAGTGGAGGAGAGGTTTGGTGAGTTGGTACAAGTTTGGTGAAGGGAACGTGAGGGCGATGGGAACGGGAAGCGAGGGCGACGGGAAGGGGAAGCGAGGGTCCAAGATCCCCCCATGCAATGCCATGGACCCACGGCATGGCATTAACCAAGTAGCAATCATTGCGCATGCCTTGGACTACGCCCCCTCCTGCTACAGCCCCGTTCGCATGTTCCGTGAAACAACAACTGCGAAATCCCGTGCTACAGCCGGGCGCCAGGCACTCACGGTGCCACAGCCGGGGACGAGCACGCGGCGGATGGAGGGCGGCAGGTGCAGCGGCGACCCCTCTTGAGCCGCCACGAGCGCCGCTACAGCCGGCGTCACGCCGCCCAGGTCCCACGGAGTCGTGCTCGCCTGCCACGCCTTGTCCCACCCGCCTGGCGCCCGGGCGCGGGGGAGGGGGAGGAATGAAATTTTGGGTTGGGTTTTCCCTGAGGAATGCGGAGGGGTGCACAGCGGCGAGTTGAGGCAATTGGGGGTGGGGGGCGGAGAGGAGCGAGAGTCGAGGACGTGTAATCAGCCACGTTAGCGCAAATGCACCCAAAATGATTGATGCGCCTTGGCGTGTGGATGATGGAGGGCAAACAGCGCAGACGCGCAGACACGGGCGGACATGATTGGGCCTTTCGCGACGGCGTGCGTCGTAGCAGTCTTCGCACAGTCCCAGTCGTCAGCGGCGGCCGGGAATCCCAGTCCCCATGCGTTCGTCCCAAGGGTTGGAGAGAGGCTCACCGACGGGGTCGTCGGCCAGCAGCTGCCGAAACTCGTTCATCCCCGGAATGCTCTTCTGCGCGTCGAACGCCAGCACCTCCGACTGCGCGCCACGCGCGGCGGCCGCTGCCCCTTCCGCCGGAGTAGACGCGTGCTGAGTCATGCCGCGTGCGAGGATGCTCGCGGCTATTGCGCGAAAGGGATGTGCGGGAGACGCGAAACGATTAATCACCGAGCCCTTGCGGAAAAGGGATTGTTAGACGAGGGATGCCCGCTACGGTATCATCCTCCGCTGGACAGCTGTAAGGATCTTGCGAAAACAAAAATCCTGGCCCCCAAAACATGCCCGCACGTGGAATCCACGTCGTGGAGTGTCGAGCAATGCCCGTCATGCAGGAAACAAACGAGCTCCTTGCGTGTCAACCGGCATCACCTCCGAATATGTCGCGAGCGACCTAGGTCGCAACCTATCACGGAACCCCGCAGCCCCTACTTACCGGCCTACATCACCTAACGACCGTCAAACCTTCGCCACCTCGACAGGTTCCCCTCCCTTGACATCGTTTCTGCGCCAGGTAAGTTGCTGCCCCCCCTGGCCCAGCCCACTCGCGACGTCTAACTTCGGGCACTGTTCCAGTATCCTGTCCTGTTCCAGTATCGCCACGCCACGACACGTCTCGCCCCTGACGGCTGCAACCACTAGTCACCACCATCCCACAAATCTATGAAAGGATTCCGCGATGGGGGTGTAGTCTAGACTGGGCTATGCCAAAAAAAACTGCCGGCGAGGCAATTGCTAGACACGTCCAGACTACATTTTTTAGGGGGTTATATATTTTCCACTGTATGAATCCGCGATATTGGCAAAATGGTCATGTATTTCCAATTTCCACGTCGAGCTTGTTGTGGACATGCCAGGGAGGTACACTCAATCGAACAATGAGCTTGCTCTACAACTAATCTAGATCTGGAAAGTCCGAAATTGTGAACTTTTAAGCTATTAATTGTGGGCTTTTTACATAAAAGGGTTGGTTTTTTGTTGATCATTGCTTGTATCCACACTAAAATTCCTTTTAAAGACTGCCTCAACGAAGACATGAGATAAAAATGTCACGTTTCAGGTTCATTCAACATGGATATTTGGAAATATGAATCCTTAGGTTATTTTAGGGCGTGTTCCTATGGCCTCATATCAGGAAACCTCGTATCAAGAATGTACCTTTTGCCTGGGAAAACTAGCGAGAGGTTTTGGGTTTAGGGGAATTTTCAGTGTGAGCCTGATACGAGGTTGTCTTGATACGAGGATAGGAACACGCTCTCAGGTGGCTGATTATTTTTATCCTGTATTCTGTTGGCTTCCTTGTCATCCCTGCCCTCGTCACACTTTGGATGCTGCAGCTGCTCGCACCCACTTGGCCAACTGCTCCTTGCCCTGCACACCCCAACCATACACACGCACCCACCATGCACCCACCCACACCCACACCCACAACACACCCACCTCCCCTCCGTCACACACACACATGCTTGCACGCACGAACACGGACACAACCACACACACAGAGGCAGGTCAGTGGGGCGCACATGCAATGAGCCCAAGACGGAGTGGGCAACACGCAGAGCAATGGCGATCCATGCACTCGTGCACATGCAAGGATCCGGCAATCGAGTGGGCAACAAACAGAGCACTAGGGACCCGTGTCCCCGTGCACACGCAGCCCGCCAGGCGTACCTGTCTGGGCGGCACACTGACCTGTCTGGGCGGCACACTGACGGTGGGCAGATCCTCTGCCGTGAAGCCCAGCGGCTCCAGCACCTCCGCATAGCTGCAGGGGCCGCAAGTGGGGGGTGGGGGGGGCAGGCAATGGCGGCATGAGGGGTCGGTGGTGGTGGCGAGTGCATCAGGACAGGGAGCGGAGAGAGGAGGGAGGAGCGAAGGGGAGGTGGGGAACAGAAGTGCGGAGGCCAAGGATCGGGAGGCGAGGGATGGGACAGGCAGGAAGGGAAGAGGAGAAAGAAATGGCAGTACAGCGAGCGCTGCATAGGGGCGAGCAGGAGGAGCAGGGGGGAGGGGGGAAGGGGGACAACAGGGGATGTGACAAGCGGGGGGGACACGGGGGAACAAGGGGGACAGGTAGAACAGGGGGGAAAGGGGAGAGATTATGGAAAGGGTGGACAGGGAAGAGAGGCGGGAGAGGGGCGAGGGAGGACACGGGGAGAGGAGGGGTGCACCTGTCCTTGGAGACGGCATAGGGTGGGCCGCCCTCGTGTCCATCGATCTGCAGGCCAGGCGCACGCAGCGAGGGACAGACACACACACAGCCGCGCGCCGTGAGCACACAGCAGCCACTTGGTTTTGGCCATTGGGAGCACACGAGGGTGCATTCATGCGTGGAGGGAACACGAGGGCACACATGAACATTGAATGATAGGCGTGCAGGGATACGCATGGTGGAGGGTGCATGAATACGCACGGGGAACATGAGAGGGTGCAGAGATACGCACGGGGAACATGAGAGTGAAGAGCACCCCGTGTGGTGCGAGCAGCTCCGCTGTCTTGGCGGCCCACTTGCCCCTCAGTGATGGCGGCAGCGCACAGAAGAACCTGCAGGCAGGGAGGGCCGTGGAGAGGGACACGGGGGCATGGCCGGATGGGGACGCGAGGGCGTGAGCAGCAGGGCAGGAGCGATAGGGCATGCGGGCATGGAGAGGGCGTGGATGCGGGAGAGGGGGCCAGGATAGGGATGTGCTCTCAGCACAGGTGGAGAATGGCACGCAAGACAGACGGGAGCGATTGAGATGCGCGGCACACCACAGGGGAACGGAACGCAGCAGCGGAGGAAAGGCAGGTGCAGCAGCAGGTGTGGCAGCAGGTGTTTGGCATGCAAGGGGTGAGAGGCAGAGGGGCGAGAAGCTCACGTGTAGTCAAAGATGGCATGGTAGGGTTGTAGTGGGCGGTACTCAAAGAAATCAGCACACTCAAACGCCATCGCCGCCCTGTTGCCCGCCCCCTCCACCCGCTGAGAGCAGCAGCAGGTTGAGTGTTGACAGGGATGAGAAGCAGGGGGGAAAGAGTGTTGAAAGGGGTGAGAAGCAGGGGGGGAAGAGTGTTGCAATGGATGAGAAGCAGGGGGGGAAGAGTGTTGAAAGGGGTGAGAAGCAGGGGGGGAAGAGTGTTGAAAGGGGTGAGAAGCAGGGGGGGAAGAGTGTTGAAAGGGGTGAGAAGGTAGAGAAGGTTACGCGGGTAGAATTTGAGCAGCAGGGCAGCGGAGCCAGCAAGGGGATGGGCGAAGAAGGGGAAGGGCGAATGGGCGGCAGGGATCAAGCAGCATGAGGGGAGTGCGTTATTGCGCGGCCATGTCACGCGCGCCCACCTTCTCTGCACGCGCCACAGCAGATGGAGCAATGTCAAGGCCCGTCGCCTCCCTGCCATTCGATGCAAACGCCTCCACGTCGTACCCCTGCCATGCCATGCCATGCAAATACATCCAACATCACCCCGTGCCATGCCATCATGCCATGCCATGGCATCCAAACCGTACCATGGCATCCAGAACCTCCCCATGCCATGCCGTGCCATGGACCCACGTGATAGCATGCGGTGATGTGCCAAGGGCATTTTAGAAAATCAGCCAAAGAGCAATCACGGCACATGCCTTGGACTCTCCCCCCTCTTGCTACAGCCCGGTTCACATCTCCCATAAAACACCACTGTGCACTCCAGTGCTACAGCCGCCCACAAGGCACTCACGGTGCCACTGCCGGGGACGAGCACGCGGCGGATGGAGGGTGGCAGGTGCAGCGGCGACCCCTCTTCCGCCGCCACGAGCGCCGCTACAGCCGGCGTCACGCCGCCCAGATCCCACGGTGTCGTGCTCGCCTGCCACGCCTTGTCCCACCCGCCTGGCACCAGGGCGCGGGGGAGGAACGAAAATTAGGGTTGGGTTTTCCCAGAGGAATGCGGAGGGGTGCACAACGGCGAGTTGAGGCGATTGGGAGTGGTGGGCGGAGTGGAGCGAGAGGCGACGATGGAGGGGGCAATCAACACACACCAGCGCCGGGGTACCATAAGCAATCTCCACAAAACGATTCGGCGCGCCTTGGGGTGCGAATTATGGAGGCAAACAGCGCAGACGCGCTGAAACGGACGCAGACAGGGCGGAAGGATTATTGAGCCTGTGCGACGGCGTGCGTCGCAGCAGTCATCGCACAGTCCCAGTCCCCGGCGGCGGCCGGAAATCCCAGTCCTCGCACAATCCCAGTCCCCTACGTTCGCCCCAGGAATTGGAGAGAGGCTCACCGACGGGGTCGTCGGCCAGCAGCTGGCGCACCTCCATCATCCCCGGAATGCTCTTCGGCGCGTCGAACGCCAGCACCTCCGACTGCGCGCCTGGCGCGGCGTCCGCTCCCCCCTCCGCTGGAGTGGACGCGTGCTCAGTCATGCCGCGTGCGAGGATGCGGCCCGCAGACGAATAGAATTCCGGCAATTGCGCGGACGGTTGTGCCGAAGGCGCGAAACGATCAATTACCGAACCCTTGCGGAAACGGGATTTTTTAGATGAGGGATGCCCGCGACGGTAGAATTCTCCGGATACGCAAGGACCGGACGAAAAGATGGACAGATGGAAATTGCTCGCGGAGCGACAGCTACCAGAGGCAGAGGGGAACCTAGCGAAGGCGACGCGGCAATAATAGAAGGATGAGGCGGGATGGATTAGGGCTAGCATTGTGAGGTCGTGATGTGGACTTGGGGCTTTGGATGGGCAACCCCTAGAAGCACGCGAAATCCAGCCTTGCGCGAGGGCTGTGAAACAGCGTAACGGTTTGTACAATTTCGCTAAACTCAGACATGTCGCGAAAGGTGGGCCCGCTAGGATTCTCCATTGCTCGGACTTGGGGGAGTGGGGAAATGTGAGGGTTTTAATGCGTACATTATTATAGATCAAATTCAAGAAATGCCCAGGTCATGCAAGACAGGATCCTGAGCTTGTTACCGTCGGAAAACATACCCTGTAAATTCAGTATTTAGCTGAGACTGACACTTTTGTTTCATGCCGATAGGGTGATATCCTAACTACCTTGACCGTGGTCAGCATGCGCGTTGGAACCAACAAACTTTACAGTGAAGCGGGTTGCTGATATTATGAGGAAGGGACCAGGAAATGCGAGATGACCCAGTCGAAGGGGCCATCCAACACAAAGGCCAAAATAGCTGTGACGCTGATCTGAACCACGACAGAAGTTGCCTGATTTCTTTTCTTTCTGTGGAGTCGGGTCGCATTTTGTGTTTCCATTCCACTCCCCAGTGATGGCTGACGTACACTTGCACAGCACAGTAGCCTTCCAGTGTTCTTGGAAAATTGCACTCAGTGAAATTGCGGAATCTCTTCGTCCAGCCAATGAAGGAAGGCTCATTTCAACCGGGCCAGTCATTGAAGGGCAGTCTGATTGTCGTTTACGGTGACAGCTCACCACGCCTGACCTCGTCAACGCTCATCCGCTGGTTTATGTGGAAGCCACATCAAAGAAATTATCATCTTTACCTTGCTGTGTTTAGAGCCAATACATGAGAGCCATGTCAAGAATTGCCGAAGATATCACCTGCGTTAGTCATGAATGCTATGGAGTAGCCCTAACCACTAACATCTATTTTCCATGTCCCGCTGGCGGATCGTAGGGAGTCCCGCGACACACGGGATGCCCCTAATCATTCGTTTCTTACAGCCTGATTCTGGTGCCTGTCACAACAAGAGAAACATTGCATCCACGTCATCCGAACCGCACCACACACACACCTCACTGCTCGCAGCCTTCACAGAAATTGCGATTCGGTTGCCATCCTCAGTGAGTTCATTTCTTGCAGCCCAGTCTATGAAACATGGTTGCTTGCGCCACAGCAACCTCATGTGCTTCGCCTGCTCGAGTGGTGCAGGCACAACCAGTCTGTCTCATCAGCCTCAGCTTGCAGTGCCAGCGGCGTGCTGCGGAGCACTCGTGCGATGCATCCGTGGCTCAAGCAACTGGACTTCGCTGTTCATATATCTGTCATCATTTTCCGGAAACTTGGGCGAATGCTTGGCTGCTCGGGTCCAGAACATTTAGCGTGAGCGTTCAGAACATCATTTTTGAATCTGCTCGCACATTTTTTAGCTTGGCAAGCGTTGTTTACTATTAGCATCTATAGGGGGCTTACTTCGACATAGGGATGCAGCAGCCATCAGCTTCTCTCTTCGTATACGCCTGGAGGCGGAGAGCGCGTGAGGCGCATGGATGAAGCCGTGGCATTGCGACAACGACGGGCCCGCGCGAGTGGAAGTCATAAAGCGAATTATTGAGTACGACCCACGACATCCGCTCAACCGCTCCAGTGTGTTCTACATATGCGTCTATCAAGTCGCTTCGTTTCCGAAGCTTTCTCGCGAGAAATTTATCGCTTTTAAAAGCGGCATCCGTGCACCTTTCTGATGCCCCCTATTATTCGTGGTAAACACGGGTCGACTATTCGTGTTCTAACCGCGGCAGTGGCTCCGTGTGCTGGCAGTCACGCGGCAACGATCCACGAGGAGGCGACAGTGAGCAGCGCGGTGTGGCGGGCGGCGCTGCCAAGCGTGGTGGTCCGACTCGAAGACACGCTCTACTGCCGCGCCTCCTCGCTCGTACGCTCTCTTTCACAGCCCGCATTCAGTGCATTCATTTTGAGCTGGCTTTTCTCACCGCAAGCATTGAAGCGGCCATTTGACATATGTCAAATGGCTTGCGGTGCACGGTTCGTGGTGTGCGGCTCATGATGATGTGTGCTTCATACCTCCGTGTGGTCGCGCAGAAGGAGTATTCGGAGCAGCGCACGCTAGCGCCGCGGCTGACGGCGGCGTTGGAGGCGGTGATCGGGCGCACGGAGCGCAACGACCGCCACTACCTCGCGCACGGCCGCTGGGACCCCGCGCCCGCCTCACCCGCCTCCCCCGCAGCCTCCGCGCTTCCGGCGCCGTCTCCGAAACAGCCTGTGGCACAGCAAGGCGAGCGGCGTCTCCTCCTTCCGTGCGTGGAAGGTACTTTCCGTTCCTGCGAATGCGCCGTTCGTGTTCTCAAGTTGCGTCCATTTGATAAGCGCGTCTGTTCCCCTTCGTGTGCCGACGAGTGCAGGGGTGATTCACCACCGGTCTCCTGCTGCTTGGGAGCGCGGCGTTGTCGGACAACGACGAAACTCGCCTCCCTCCCATGCCGCGTGTTGTTTGTCGTTTCAGCGTCCCTCGCGCTCTTCCCTCAAGCGAAGCCCCTATCACCTCATTCAACCAGCGTCGCTCACTGCGCCTTCTCCCGCCGCGCCCTTCGCCAGATCGCACCCGGCCGAGGCACCCCTCGCATCCCGCCGGCTGCCGCGAGGATCCCCCACGGCAGCAGCAGCAACAGCAGCAAGCGACAGAGCGCGGCGAGGGCGCGGACGGGCGGAGCACGGGGGGGAATGGCGAAGAGGGAGACGCGAGAACCGGACCTTCATGGCATCGCCAGCGGCAGCAGCAGCCCTGCCTTGCCTCTGCGCCCCCGCCTCCCTCACACACTGCCTGTGGCCATGGCGCCTGTGCGCCCCACCCTGCATCCTGCCAGCACAGCAGTCCCTGCCCTGCCCGCCTTGCCACCACCGCACAGCGCACACGCCTTCCACTCGCTCCCTTCCATGCCACCCCCAATCCCCCAGGCGCAGCACAGTATGGTTCCGCCGATTCCCCAGGCGCAGCACAGTATGGTTCCGCCGATTCTTCAGGCGCAGCACATCATGGCACGGCCACCTGTGCTGATGCCGCCACTGCCACATCACAGCCAGACGCACAGCACCTCCAACCACGGCGCCTCCCTCCAAACGGTAGGGTGCAGCACGCTGGCACCGCGCCCTCAGCACAGGGAGAACGAGTGCGTCGGGGCGGGTGTAGCGCCGGTGCCAGGAGGCCTGCAGCCGTTCCCTCATGCTCAGTCCCCGGCCCAGCCACTGATCGCTGCTACCTCACCGCCACTGCCCTCGTCACTGCCGCACGGCGAGCCTGCAGCAGCAGGGCGGGCGCAGAGTGGAGTGAAGAGGCGGCTGCCACATGATGCTGCGGCCGGGCGGCTCCTATCGCCATCCCTCCGCCCCCTAGCTCTCACTGCACATAGTGCCTTGCCACCTGCCGCCCACGCACCTGCCGCCCACGCACCTGCCGCCCACGCACCTGCCGCCCACGCACCTGCCGCCCATGCACCTGCCGCCCATGAACCTGCCGCCCACGCACCTGCCGTCTATACACGTGCCGCCCACGCACCTGCCAATGCAGCTGCCCTGGCGCCATCAGCCTCAGGGTCGTTTGCCTGTTCCCCTTGCGAGCCCTCTCCCCGGTCAGGCGTGGATGCCTCCACTCCGGCTCTGCCCATGTCTCGCTCCCTGCTCTCCCCGTCCGCCCACCTCATGCAAGCTCACCTTGACAGGTTGCACCTGGAGCAGGCTGTATCTGCCGCACGCTTACCTGTCACAGGGACTCAGTATGGGGGTCAAGCAGTGTGTGCAGCCCAGGCTGCAGGGCATGCAGGGCCGCCAGGCAGCCTCATGGACCATGTCATGCGCCTGCTGCCCCGCTCCCATCCGCTTCAGACGCCTGCACCAGTGGCCTCACACCACGTGGCAGGGATGCACTCGGCATCTGCACCTGCAGTGGGTGCAGGTTTGGCTTCGTCTCGGGGGTCAGTGGCAGGACATACTCTAGAGGCGATTCAACAGGCCCTGCGACAACACCTGTCCGCCACCGCCCCTGCTGCCGGCGCCGCATCTCTCTCCACGGCCACAAGGGTGCATGTTAGAGTCCCCCCCATAGCCAGCGGACCACTAGGAAGGACAGTTCCTGACACTGCAGCAACTGCACTCAACCACGAGTCCCCATCCAATGTCTCCTCCTCCATGCCTTTTCTGCGCCCTGCTTCTGGTCCGGCTAACGACCACCACATCAGTCAATATGCGCCGGTCGGTCATGGGAATCCCCGTGATGGAATGGGTTTCCATGATAGAGGGATTGAATGTAAAGTTGAGGATAACAAGCAGATACATGGGGACAGGAGAGATGAGGAGGATGACATAAGCTCGCATGAAGTCCCTCGCCTTTTTGGAGTTCCGCTGCGCCAGAAGACATCTAGAAATAATTCAGCTAGCTAGTTCTCTGTGCTATTTAGGAGATGATAGAAATAGGAAGATAATTTCAGATGGTATTTGCCGATGTAGCGCCAATTTTGACACTGCAGTGCACAATGCCTTTAGGGCGTGTTACATTTTCTAAAAGAGGTAAACGTCTGGACAACAGTCCGAAAACGGTTCGGATGGCGAATATCGGACGGTCCGAGTCCAATGTCCAGACTGAGCCTCGTCCGGACGTCGTTTATGTTTTTTTTTCACACTTACGAAATGTAAAATACTAACGAGACTGTAACCGGGGCAACAACGTCATAACGAGATAGGTAATGTAAGGAATTTTCCCAATTCCTTACTGAGTCACACTGTACGCGTACAGCCCCAACTTTCGGAGTTCCAGGCTCGGTCCGCTGACCTCGCCCGCCGAACCATCAACGCGTCGCCTTCGGGTCTTCCCAACCCCGAACCTGCTCCTGACCTTTCGCGGTCCCGCAACCTCGGCCTAGCTAGTTCTCGCTATATAAGTTCTAGGCTTCATTATTCAGTCAGTAGTTGTTATCACTTCCGCGTTATTGAATCATGCGCACTCTTCTTCATTACAACTCATAACACTTGGTATCAGAGCTACTTTCCTAGGTTACCCTCACGTTTCCGGGGTAGTTTGTGTAAGGGGAGCGATAGACTTAGTGGGCTGCAAAGCGGTCGGCCTGTGAAATAGATACGATTATTTCACTCCGACTACGATAGCGTTTGCGCCTTCACTAAACATCATAAAAATCGCTAACCATCCCCTGCCCGTCCGACGAAGCCTGCGAAATATGGACCAGGCGGAGTTGAACGAGTTTATGCAACAGTTCCGGGCGATGCAGGCCAACATGCAGACGATGTCTGAGGAGGTCGAACGCCTGAAGAAGGAAAACGCCGAACTACACCAGGCGCGTGGTGAAGCGCGCCAGGAGTCGCCCATCGTGGATGAAGCAAGTAGTAGCTCCACGCCGAACGAGGCCGTCTTCAGTGAGCTCGAAGGCTCCATGGATGCTGCAGAAGAAGGGCGGGCACAACAGCAACAGTCGCAAGCATTGCCAACACGTGCACCAGCGACATCAGCGGCAGCAACTGTGAAGATTAGAAGGTAGATAAGTTTAGAATGAAGAAGAAGAGGGGGTTCACTAGAAAGCAGCAGGATACATATAGGAAACCCTAAGGGGTTGTACTCGCTATAGAGTACCCCACTGCAGGCTAGAGAACAATGACATTCTGACACACCCCCATAGCCAAAGTGGGGTGTAATCAGCAGAGCAAGCAAAGCAGAACAAGCTCAGGGTGGATCACAATGTCACCACACATTCTGAGCACAAGTACAAGAAGCAATAGTTTAAAGTTCACAATTATGAGCAAAGCTAGAGGCTATCGCAGAGGGCAAGTGAGGAGGAGGAGGCGAGAGTGAGAGGAGAGGAGATAGGAGGCGACGGCTGAAGTTGCAGACACACGGGCAACAGGAGTCACACTGGCACAGCGGCTACCGGAACAACGCTCCGGACTACTGGAGTAACTGGCTCCGCGGCTAAAAGTAGCGGCAGACGAGCAACGGACCCACGGGCGACTGGCACAGCTGGCTGCGACTGGGCTACCGGAGCAACTCCCCGGACTATAGGTGCTGCTGGCGACACGACGACAACCTCAGTTCAACCTCCCCAAACAGTCCCACTCCCCCTGACACACACCCCCTGCTTCACCCCTAGCTCCACTCCCCCTTCACCCCCCTTAGTACCACTCCGACGGCTCCAACAGGTCCACCCCCCTCAGCGGCAGCTGCAGCACTGGGAGACGGAGGAGGAGGAGGAGCAGGGGACGGCACACAGAAGCTGCACCCCCATACCCCCCACCCCCAAACCCTAATTCAGGAGAACGGGCAGCAGCAGGGGTGGGGCGCCATCAGAAGCACGGGGGACAGCGGGCAGCGCAGGGGCAGCGAAGAACGGGCCGCCCACGGGCCTGGCACAGCCGCCCGAACCGCGCGCAGGCGGCCCGAGCCGCGCGCGGGCCTGGCGCAGCCCGTACGGGCCGCGCGCGGGCCTGGCGCAGCCCGTACGGGCCGCGCGCGGGCCTGGCGCAGCCCGTACGGGCCGCGCGCAGGCTGTACGAGCCGCGCGCAGGCCACGACGGGCGACAGGGGGCGACGCGCGGGTCCCCGTCGCCCGTCGCAGCGCCTCCCGGGAGCGACGCGCGGAGTGACGGGGCAGAAACCCGCCGCGCGCCTCGGGGCGCACGGCGGGCAGACAACCGCCGCGCGCCTCGGGGCGCACGGCGGGCAGAAAACCGCCGCGCGCCTCGGGGCGCACGGCGGGCAGAAAACCGCCGCACGCTCCGAGCGCGCGGCGGGATGAAAAATCCGTCGCACGCCACGGGGCGTGCGACACAGAGAGTGGCAGTAGCAGCGGAAGCAGTGAGGTGGTGAGCCCACCCACAGGATCGACCCAAGGGGATCGACCTGCTCTGATAGCATGTGAAGATTAGAAGGTAGATAAGTTTAGAATGAAGAAGAAGAGGGGGTTCACTAGAAAGCAGCAGGATACATATAGGAAACCCTAAGGGGTTGTACTCGCTATAGAGTACCCCACTGCAGGCTAGAGAACAATGACATTCTGACAGCAACAACTCCAGCGACTATGACAGCCTCAACAACTGTCAAGATCAAACCGACGAACCCACCACCATTCAACCCGAGTGACAAGTTTGTCACTGTTTCTGCATGGTTGTTTGGCGCGGAGTTGTTCTTTAATGCTGCGATGATTAACGACGATGCCACCCGCATTAATTTTGCAGTTTCACTGTTACGAGGACCTGCGTTGGAATGGTGGCGACGCACGCTTCAAACCGAGGGGACTTCGGCAGGGACAACACGTGCGAACGACGGGACCTCGACACCTGTCACACAACGAGCAGCTTCAATTTTCGGAACGGCCACGATACGCACATGGAAGGAGTGGGGCGCCGCCTTGCGAGCCAGGTTCGAGCACATCTCCGCCTCGGATTCTGCCCGCATGAAGCTGCGTGCCTGGAAGCAGCTGACTTCGGTCCAAGACTACACCAGCGCGTTCTGCAACTTGGCTGACCAAGTGGACGATATGAGCGACGCGGAGCGGATGGATCGCTATGTGGCGGGCCTGAAATACGAAATTCAATCTGAGGTCCGACGAACGCGGCCATGCAGCTTTAACGACGCTGTCCGGGAAGCCGAGTCAACGGATGCACTGATGCAGTGGGCGAGATCGAGCTCCCGGGAGGGCCCTCGATTTCGTGGATCGACGCAGCAGCCCACGATCAACGGCATGGATGCGCCAAACCGACCCATCGGGCCGTGCTTTGCATGCAACCAGCTGGGCCACCTGAAAAGAGACTGCCCGAAGCTGAAGCAGGGGAAAAGGAACAACGGAGAAGGGTCGGGAAAAGATGCGAGTCAGTAGCAGACGGGCGCCCTGCTGACGAGACCCTGTCGCCCGACAATCACCATCCACACCGAGTTGTGGTACCGATCCGAGCAATCGACCGCAATCGGACGAATAACGTGGGTGAACACGTGGACCACCCTGTGCTGGCAGTAGGGAGGGTTAACGGCCATAAAATAAAAATATTTGTTGACGGTGGGGCTAGTCACAGCCTCATCAACCTGTCAACAGCCAAAAAAATTGGGGTAAAGCTGGACAGATGTCTGCCGGAGATTGACGCAAGGCTCGTGGACGGAACACCGCTGGCGATCCGAGATGAAGCGCGACAAGTTCGGATGAAATGTGGTGACAATTTCGGGTTCGGCATGAAGATGCTGGCGACAACATTGAACGGCTGCGATGTGCTGCTGGGGCGAGACTGGCTGCAACGATTCAATCCAACGATCGACTGGACAACGGGGGCATGCACTGTGCGAGGAAATACAGGGCAGACAACACTTCCGACATGGACGGACCCGGAGCCTGTGACGACACGTGTCAACGCCGTCACCATGCGGCGAGCGATCAACAAGGGGGCCAGAGGCTACGCCGTACACCTGTACGAGGTAGCAGCCACCGAAAAAGTCGCCGACATTGACAAGCTCTGCGAGGCAGTCCCTGCGGAACTGGCAGGCATCATCCGGAAGTATCCCGAAATTTTCGCGGATGACCTACCCAATGGCTTGCCACCTCAGCGACCAGAAGATCACAAGATACAGCTGGAGCCCGGCGCACAACCTACTGTTCGAACGCAGTGGCGACTCAGCCAACCGGAGCTCGACGAATTGAGAAGCCAGCTGGATTACCTCCTCGCCAAAGGATTTATCCGGCCGAGCACGTCACCATTCGCAGCGCCAATACTGTTCACGCCGAAGAAGGACGGAGGCCTACGCATGTGCATTGATTACCGGGCGCTGAATCGGGTCACGATAAAGTCGCGTTACCCGATCCCGCGAGCGGACGACCTGCTGGACCAACTTCGCGGGTCTCGCTATTTCTCGAAAATCGACCCGCGAGGAGGCTACCACCAAATTCGCGTGTTCGCCGACGACTGCCCGAAGACCGCTTTTCGCACACGCTACGGTAGTTACGAGTACACTGTGATGCCATTCGGATTGACAAACGCGCCCTCGACGTTCCAGCTGACCATGAACAGGGTGTTCCGGGACATGCTGGATAAAAAAGTCATCGTCTACCTCGACGACATCCTGGTGTACAGCAAGACGCAAGAACAACACTTTGAGGATCTGGAGGAGGTGTTCCGGCGCTTACACCAAAATCGGCTCATTACGAAGGGCTCTAAGTGCGAGTTCCTAAAGCCGGAGCTGGAGTTCCTGGGGCACGTGGTTTCGGGAGAAGGCATTAAAATTGACCCTCGCAAGGTGGACGCAATCGCTAAGTGGGAACCACCGACCAACATCACCGAGCTGCAGAGTTTCCTGGGATTCGTGAATTACGTCCGCCGCTTCGTACCCAATATGGCGGGGGTAACCACACCCCTAACCGACCTCCTGCACAAGACAACCATTTTTCAGTGGGGGGAGAGAGAACAGTTGGCTTTCGACGACCTCAAAAACATTTTGAGTTCACCCCCTCTCCTCCGCCTCGCCGACCCATCTCGACCGTTCGAAGTCATCACGGACGCCAGCGATTTCGCCATCGGCGCCGTCCTTCTACAGGATTTCGGCAAAGGGCTGCAACCCATTGCGTACGAGTCACGCAAAATGCAGCCACCCGAGCGCAACTACCCGGTCCACGACAAGGAGATGCTGCCCTTCGTCCACGCGTTTCGAACCTGGCGCTGCTACTTAACGGGAGCCGACGTGACGATACGAACCGACCGCAAATCACTACAGTACATGCGAAGCCAACCGACGCTCAACCCGCGACAAATCAGGTGGCTGGACTACCTTGAATCCAACTTCACCTACACCATCACGTACAAGAAAGGCGCCAACAACATCGCCGACGCCCTGACCCGCCCATCAATGCAAACAGCAGTAGTACTTATCGCCCATTCCAACCCGCTATTATCGGGACTATTCACCCACGGCTACACGACCGACCGCTTCTTTAAGCGAAACCTACACCACCAGGCCACAACACAGCATGGGATTTATTACCTAAAAGCCGGTACGAACAGGGTTTGGGTCCCGTCATACCGACCCTTAAGAGAGTTGCTGACGCAGGAGGTTCATGACTCTAACCTCTCCGGGCATTTCGGCATCGACAAAACACTGAAGCTGCTGCAGCGGAATTATTACTGGCCCGACATGCTGTCGGACGTGCAGCGCTACGTGACAACCTGCCCGACCTGCCAAGCCATGAAGTCGTCCCGACAACGACCAGCTGGACTGTTGCAACCCCTCGAGCCACCTGGACGACCGTGGCAACAAGTGACGATGGATTTCGTCACGGGACTGCCAGCTGGCGCAAGCGACAACGACTCGGTTTTGGTCGTCGTCGACCGACTAACGAAAATGGCACATTTCGCACCATGTCGCACGACGATCACAGCCGAAGAAACTGCAAAGCTGTTCATCTCCACCGTCGTACGCCTACACGGGTTACCTTCGGCGATCATCAGCGATCGAGACCCGAAATTCACGTCGAAGTTCTGGCAGGAGACGTGGGCACAGTACGGCACACGCCTGCAGTTTTCGTCGTCTTACCACCCGCAAACTGACGGTCAGACAGAGAGAACCAATCAGACCATGGAGCAGCTGATACGGACCAACTGCCCCGACATGGCCAAATGGGAAGACTCACTTCCCATGCTGGAGTTCGCGTTTAACAACGCACCCTCCGCCACGACCAACCAATCGCCATTTTTTCCTAAATTACGGGACGGACCCCGTGGTACCCTCATCAACGACCCCTGACAACCCGGTCCCTCGGTCCCAGCAATTCGTCACGGAACTACAGGCAGCCCGTGACAAAGCAGCAGAATTTATCCGAAAAGCAAATACGGTCGCTAGCCGTAACGCTGATAAGCATCGAAGGGATTTACCCTTCCTCGACGGGCAGATAGTCCTTCTGGACACGAAGAACCTTCGACTGCCCCAACCAGCAAAACTTCGTCCCCGTTACGTGGGCCCGTTTCGCATTCTCAAAATGTTAACACCTGTCACGGTGAAACTACTACTGCCGGATGATTGGAAAATTCATGACGCATTCCACGTCAGCCTGCTGCGACATTTCGCACCACGGTCATCCGATATCGCACGACCCAGTATCGCTCCAAGTGTCCGCCCAGTGGCAGATCCGACACTCGAGCCATGGAAGATCCTCAACCACCGAGTCAATCTGACGGCCACGGGACGCCACGTCGTCTTCCTGCTTCGCTGGAAGGATCGCACGAGCGACGATGACACGTATGTTGCCGCGGACTCGCTACAAGGACACCCGATTCTGCAGGATTATTTGACTCGCCGGCGTGTCCCGGATATTCACCACCTTTCTTAAAAGGGGGGGTAGTGTAAGGAATTTTCCCAATTCCTTATTGAGTCACACTATACGCGTACAGCCCCAACTTTCGGAGTTCCAGGCTCGGTCCGCTGACCTCGCCCGCCGAACCATCAACGCATCGCCTTCGGGTCTTCCCAACCCCGAACCTGCTCCTGACCTTTCGCGGTCCCGCAACCTCGGCCTAGCTAGTTCTCGCTATATAAGTGCTAGGCTTCATTATTCAGTCAGTAGTTGTTATCACTTCCGCGTTATTGAATCATGCGCACTCTTCTTCATTACAACTCATAACAGGTAACCTCTGAGCGACTCGCAGAGTCGTATTCGTCGGCCAGTGTAAACGCGTTACTGTTACGTCCGTCCGTTTATCGAACGGTACAAGTCCGGACGATTTGGCAGGGCAATTAATGCAAAAAGTTCCATCGGCGGTCCGAACGTTAACGACGTCACATGAAATCTAACGAAGATCTACGAAATGTGTAACCACTAAAATGTCCGGACGATGGACCGTCCGGACTGGCAAAACTAGAAAATGTAACACGCCCTTATGTCGATGATATCGAGCCTCACTTGTCGGTGACGCAGTGAAGAAATGAGGGCTCGCCACATGTCTGTCAAGATTCACAGTGCCCCTCTTTTGGTTTTTTTTGTCGTGCGTGCCAGCTGGTTTCCTCCTTTCCCCCAACCCCAACCCAACACAGGACTGCCCTGCGCATCCGTCCACCCGCGCAAGGCACCAGCCCCCCTCAAGTCCCAAATTCCAATCCCAAGGCTATGAATTTATTTCTTGAGAATTTTTGCTCAGCAGCTCTCCTCACACCTCCTCGGGGCATTGTCACACATTCTGAACATTTCTCCTTTCCCAGAGTTTGTTCGGTGAAAGCTTGAATCGCAATGAACGGGAGCGATGCCTCGGGATCTGCCACCGCAGCAGCCGCAGGTGATACACCTGTACCGCCTGCCACGTCACCGGGGACCGACAGGCGCACTGTAGCGCTGGGTGCGCTGGCGGTGCTGCCCGACGAGGTGATCGACAACATTATCGGACGGCTGGGAACCAAGGATCTCATGGCCGCCGCTTGCGTCAGCAGGCAAGTCCCTTTCTCCGGCCGTCGTCAACCCCCGTTACAATCACTAGCCGCGCAACGAGGCGCTTAATCACGACCTGTCATTCCCGCAATACCGTCGCTCCCCTTCCCCCCCGTTCCGCTCCCCCCTCCCCCCGTGTATCGGCGCGCAGCGTGCTGTACGTGTTCTGCATGGAGGAGCCGACGTGGCTGGCGGCGTGCTTCCGCGAGTACAAGGGCGAGGTGCTGCGCTTCGACCGCTCGTGGCGCCAGACCGTCCTCAATAAGTGCGCCGCGGGAAACGGGGGAGGGAAAAAGGGGCGAAGGGAAGGAGGGAAGGTGGGGATTAAGCGCAGGGCTGCGGTAAGGGGTCGAATTGGGGACGGGAGGAGGGTGGGGCGTGCGGGGTGGAAGCGAGTGCAGGTATGATGGTTGCAGGAAGCGGGGCGCTCTTAGACCGACGGACGTATGGCTCCATCTCATCTCTCCACCAATCATGCGACTCCGTGCCTCGCCTCATTGCCGCCTCACTGCCGCCCATTGCTGCCTCGTGGCTTGTTGGATGGGAGTGGCATGGCATTGGTATGGCATGGTGTGGTGTGATGTGATGCATGGGGCGCATGTGATGCATGGCGTGCATGGGGCGCATGGGGCAGGCTATCGGAGGAGAAGGGAGTGGAGCGCCGAGATCTCAAGGAACCGCTTCACTTCAAAGGTACCGCGCTTGCCATGCACACATGCACACACACATGCAGGGTCGAATTAGAACACACACACACTTGTGCGCATGCAGGCATGCAGGCACGCACGCGCGCACGCATATTCGTGCTCTAGAAGGCGGGCACTGCAGAAGTAGCAGCCACACTATCCCCTCTCATGCGAGCCACTCCCACCCCCATTCGTATGCGCCCCTTATCAAGTTTCACCCCGCATATGCTTGTGCGCACGTGTGTGTGTGCGGGCGGGTTCGCAGATTTCCAGTCCATGTTTCTGTACCGGCGGTGGTACCGCTGCCACGTGAAGCTGGAGGCGTTCGAGGGCGACACGGGCCACGTGGAGCGCCGCGCTGGCCTCTCCCCGGAGGAGTTCCGCCTCTCATACGACGGCCGCCGACCCGTGCGTGGGGGGAGGGAGGGGGAGAGTGGGGGCGAGGGGGGAAGAACAGCGTGTTGCGTTGAAGCCGCTTACAGGAGATTCTATGCCCCGCGCTGTGCTCTGTGCCTTACACCATACACTTGCTGTGCTGCTGCCCATGCCCCACATTCGCGCACACACTCTCACGCATCCACACACACACACGCGCCCGCACATGCACGCACGTGCCCACACGTGCCCACACGTGCCCACAGGTGATCATGACGGACCTGACGGAGAACTGGAGGAGGGCCACGTCACAGTGGAGCATTGACAGCCTGGCGGAGGATCACGGTGACGTGGCGCTGAAGGTGTCGGTGGCCAATGGGCACACGGTGCGCATGAAGCTGAGCGACTACCGTGAATACGTGGCGGCCCAGCATGATGAGGAACCGCTCTACATCTTCGACCCCAAGGTGAGGCTTCTTCCAACCCAAGGCGAGAATCTCGAATCACTCCAAATTTTCCTTTACCCCGAATTATTCCTACTCTCCTCTCCCTGCTGCCATTCGTCACCACGATAACTCCACACTCCACCCCCCTTGACCCACCCTTTACCTTCTCCACCCCTCTGCTCCCACCCATCCCCCCACAACCCCCGCACTCCCCCTCAACCGCCAACTCACCCTGCCATCTCCCAGTTCGGAGAGCAAGCACCAGCACTGGTAGCAGACTACTCAGTGCCGCCGCACTTCAAGGAGGACGTGTTCGCCGCCATGCCCGCCCTGCAGCGCCCCATGTACCGCTGGCTCGTCGCTGGCCCGCAGCGCTCGGGCGCGGGGTGGCACGTGGACCCTGCGCTTACTAGCGCCTGGAACACGCTGCTCGCCGGGCGCAAACGATGGGCGCTCTACCCGCCCGGGAAGGTGCCGCCAGGTGTCACGCTGCGAGTGGATGATGACTCGGGCGATGTGGATTATGATGGGCCCACGTCGCTCAAGGTGAGCTGGGGGGTGGGGGGGGAGGGACTGCTCAGCCATTTCCGTACACTAGGGTAGTCAGTCTGTTCGTCCTCTCTCACCTCTCATCCACTCGCATCCCCTTTCAACCCCCATCGCCCGCCCTCATCCCCTCTTCGCACACCCCGACTCATGTCCCTTCCTCTTCTTGCCCCCGCCCTCCTTGCCCCTTGCCCGCTCACCCCCCTTCCCCCCCAGTGGTGGCAGGAGGAATACCCGCTGTTGCGCCCAGAGGCCAGGCCCATGGGGGTGGCGCAGCACTGACGCCGTGTTCCAGGCGCCTCAACAACCCTGCTCCTCCCCCACTCGCACCACCCCTCCCCTTTTCCCCCTGCCATTTCCAGTGGTGGCTAGAGGTGTACCCCCTCCTGCGCCCAGAGGACAAGCCTATGGCGCTGATGCAGCGCTGACGCCATGTCTGAGGCGCCTCAACAACCGTGCCCCTTCCCCACTTTCAATCCCCTCCCCCCCCCCTCCCCACCCCCCTCAATCCAGTGGTGGCTGGAGGTATACCCTCTCCTGCGCCCGGTGGACAAGCCCACGGAGGTGATGCAGCGCTGAGGCCTTGCCTGTGGCGCCTCAACAACCGTGTCCTCCCCCCTCTTTCACCCCCCCTCCTCCCCTCCTCTCCCTCCCCCCTGCAGTGGTGGCTGGAGGTGTACCCTCTCCTGCGCCCGGAGGACAAGCCCACGGAGGTGATGCAGCGGCCAGGAGAGACGATCTACGTGCCGTCGGGGTGGTGGCACAGCGTGCTCAACCTGGACCTCACCGTCGCCGTCACGCAGAACTTCGCCTCCTCCGCCAACTTTGATTGTGTGTGCCTTGACATGGTGCCCGGTAGGCATAGGGGTGTGGCGCGCGCTGGGAGGCTTGCGATCGAGGCGGGGGAGAAGTGGGACGAGCGACTCAAGGCGATGTATGGGGAAGGGGAGGAGGAGGAGGAGGAGGAGGAGGATGAGTGGGAGGAGATGGAGGATGGTGAGGAGGTGGATGGGAGTGAGGAAGGGGAAGGGGAAGGGGAGGGGGAGGGGGAGGGGGAAGAAGGGGAGAGCGAGGGGGAGGAGGGGGAGGGGGGCACGTGGAATGGCATGCAGGGGCGGCTGTCAGCGCTGGCAGCGCAGCAGTTTCTGAGCGAGGGGGGCAACGAGGGGTGGTCCATACCTGAGATCCGCATCCTGCTGCGCTCGCTCTGGCCCGCCCAGCCCAACCTTCAGGACCGTATTTGGAAGGTGCGCCTCGTTGCACTGCCGTGCTGCCATGCTGCCATTGTGCCATGCTGCCTGTGTGTCCATCTGTGCTCTCACCTCTACGCACACATCCTATCACTCGTCCCATGGCCCTGGTTTGCCACTCACCCTCCCTCCTCTGAGCGTGCAGAACGCGTGTCTGTGCATGGATGCTGCCACGTGGCACAGGCGTGTGGTCACAGTGTGCCAGGCACACGGTCTGCCCGCACCCAAGGGCCTGGACGCCCTCCCCCTCGGCTCCGGATCCAACGCTGTGAGCCCCCTCTCCCTTCCGCTTGCACGCCCACTCTCACTCCCGTTCACAGCCTTGTGTGCATGTGCCATCCCAGCTCAAATCACCTTCCCTGTTCCCCCATGGCCGTGCAGGTGTACATGGTGGGGCAGCACGTGGTGAAGCTCTATCTCCCCATGGGCTCTGATGACGAGTCTGCCACCACCTTCCTCGCCAAAGAGGTACCCACCGCACGCCCTGCCCTGCCCTGCCCTGCCCTGCCCTGCCCTGCCCTGCCCTGCCCTGCCTGCCTCCACCGGCTCACCTTGTTTCTATTGCGAGCTGCTTCTGCAATCCCGTTCCCCAATGCCCACCACGCTTCCTCCTCGCAGCTACCCTTCTCTTCCACCGCCGCCTGGACTCGTCACAATTATCTCTGCTGCTCTCCGCACCTCCCCACCTCCCTCTTCCCCCCCACAACACCCACCACCCCCCTTCCCTGATTCCAGCTGGCGTTCTACCGCCAGCTCCACGCGTCCCAGTCGCCCCTGCTGCCCTGCATTCCGCCCCTCGTGGCCTCGGGCCTGCTCTTCTCGTCAGGGGTTGTGGACCAGAGCGAGGAGGAGGGGGAGGCGAAGGGGCGGGGACGGAAGGACGGGGCGGGGGCAAAGAAAGACGCGCAGGCGAATGGGGTGGGGAGCAATGGGCGGAGTGCAGAGGGCGAGGGTGGAGAGGCGGGGGCGGAAGGGGCGGAAGGAGAGAAGAGGCAGGAGGGGTACCCGTTTGAAGTAAGTGTGGCGCCACAGGAGGAACAGCTAGTAGCGGCAGAGTGGGACGGACTGACAGAGCACCGGCCTGTCAACCCGTTTGAGGAGACGCAGGAGGCTGTGGGGCGAGGGCGAGTGGGGAAGAAGGGGAAGAGCGGCAAGGGGAAGGAGGAGGGGAGGGATAGGCGGACCCCGGCGTATAGACGGCGCGCCAAGAAGAAGGCGGAGGAGAGGAGAAGGCGCAGGGAGCTGGCTAAAGGGAAGAAAGGGAAGGGCGGTGGGGTGGGGGTGGGGGTGGGAGAGAAGGGGGAAGCAGAGCAAGAGGAAGGAGAGGAGTATGATGAGGAGGAGGAGGAGGAGGAGGAGGAAGAGGATGAGGAGGAGGGAGTGTGGCCGTACATCATTGTGGGGCTCTGTCCTGGGTGGCAGCTGGATGCTGTGTGCGTGGCGCACTGCTCATGCTCTCACATGCTCGCACTCACACACACACATGCTCACACTCGCACACACACAGACACACTTGCACCTCACACACTTATATGATCACATACACACATGCTCACATACTCACATGCTCACATACTCTCATGCTCACATGCTCACACACTCAAGCCCCAGACCTCTCCTAGTGAAATCAGATCATCACATGCACGTTGCTGTCCCCATCACAGCGCCCCTCTCCATACCTTCGCCCTTACCATGCCCGCATGGCCCCGCTCCTGTTCCTCCCTTAATCTCGTTCCTCGCTTTGCCCTCCCTCTCCCCACCCACCTCTTTCCCACCGTCTCTCTCCCCACCCACCTCTTTCCCACTGTCTCTCTCCCCACCCACCTCTTTCCCCCCCTGCTCTCCCTTCTTTGGCTCACCCCAGGGCGGATCTAGCAACGCCAGCGGACAGGCAGGCTCTGGCGGACTTCTTTGCCACGTGCCTCTCCCACCTGCACTCGCTGCCGCTGCCCGCCTCACCTCTCTCCCCCGCGCCCCGCAAGGCCAAGAGCAAGAGCAAGGAGGAGAAGGCAGGGGCGGAGGGCGCAGCAGGGGAGGCGGTTAAAGCGAATGGGACTGCAAAGGAGGGGGTGGGGAATGGGGCGGTGGAGAGCGGTGGGACGGGGGAGGAGGAGGTGGAGGAGGTGGTGGTGAGTGAGGAGTGGAGGCCGTTTGCAGAGCTGGTGCGCGAGCACAGAAAGTACATCAAGGAGCGACTGGAAGGCATGTGAGTGCCAGCAGGCCGTGTATCTGGCAGTATGGCGTTTGAGTGGACACACGACTGATGCTGATGCTCATTGCAGCCGTGCTGATGCCACTCCTTTCCCACTTTCTTGCGACTGTTCCTGCCCCATGCCATGTGCCCTCCATGCGTCTCACACATTTCCCTCCCTCGCTGTGCCCCCTCTCACGCCACCAGGGGCAGCCTCCCCCCGCACCTGGTGAAGCAGGCAGTGGCGTATCTGCCCAATGACCCCGCTCTGCTCTTCCAAGGCCTTGTCAGTTCCTTCTTCCCTTCTTCCCTCCTGCCACGCCCGCTTCCCTCCTATCTTTATTGTTGCTTTCTCCCACCTGCTTGCTACAACTGCCGCTGTGCTCACTCCTCTCCTTGCCTCTTTTGTTCTACCTTTTTTCTCCCTTATTCCCATTCAGTGCACCCAACTCATCACGTGCCCATTCGTTTTCCTCCCCGTGTGCACACACCACGTGCAGGAGCGCCCATCATGGCTGCACACGGACATCATGAGTGACAACGTGCTGCTCGCTGCCACCTCTCCTTGCCCATGCACCCATTAACCTCACTCCTCACTCCTCTCCTTGCCTCTTTTGCACCACCCTCCTTTCACCCACTCTTGTGCGCATGCCATCGCAGGAGCGCCCGTCATGGCTGCACACGGACATCATGAGTGACAACGTGCTGCTCGCTGCCGCCTCGCCTGCCGCCACGCCTCTCATCGAGGAGTACGTGGCGCGCGGGGAGGATGGCGCGGGGAAGAGCAACGGCGAGAAGCCAGGCGCAGGAGAGGGGGGTGGAGAGAAGGAGGTGACAGCGGAGGGGGAGCGGGTGCTGCAGCCGTCTTCCATCATCGACTTTGGCACCCTCATTCTCGGTGCGCTGCTCCTTCTCGCCTGCTCTGCATTCCAGGTGTTCAAGATGTTTGTTGGTGCTGAAACGCTCGCGCATGCGTTGTGAATCATCAACCCTTGCATGCTGCCCCCATCCCCACCCCACACCCCCGTGTGCACGGCACACCAGGTGACCCGCTGTACGACCTGGTGATGCTGCATGTGAGTGCACAGCGCTGCAACAAGGCCGACCTCGCCAGGCTGCTCACCACCTACAAGCCGCCACGGCCAGCGCAAGGAGCCGGAGCAAACTTCACCCAGTCCTATCGTGCCATGTGAGTGGTTGGATGGAAAAAGGCTCAGCTGGAATTCTTGACAGGGTTTTACCTGTACAGATTCGTGTGCAATCATTTTGACCATCTAGTTTCACTATCTATTGCTGTTCTCAGGTGCTACACTCTGCTGAACCAGAACGATGCGCTCAGCCGTGTGTTCCGCTATCGCAAGGAGCTCTCGGATGTGAAGACCTTGGAGGAAATCGCCACAGCAGTGTGGGGCCAGCTGGATGAGCTGGTTTAGTGATCTTATTGTACATCATTACATTTTACCGTTGTGGAACTATTTTGGTGGTGTTGCACATGAGATGGCACAGATACCAGATCTGGGTGTATCTAGCAAAGAGATTGGACGACCTGAATGGCTGATTCTGGTTTGTCTGGTTTATATACCATGGTGGCCAACAATGAGTATATTGCAAGACATACCGGTGTGATTTATTGATAGGAATTTCACAGGCGGTGTTAGAGTCTGGTGATATGTTCTTACCGGTAACTATTTTGTTATCTCCCTGTATTGTAGCTTCGCTAGAACCACTCTTCCAGAAATTCATATCAAAATGCATGGGCGGAAGCCAGCTGCACTATTCCCTGCTGTTACGAGTGCAATTGAGTGAACGAGCGAGAATTGCACTATCGAAGCAAGAGTCCAATGAGCGAAGGCATGAGCGAAGAATATATAGCGAAACTACAGTGGTAACGGTAATGTGTAAAAAGTGGGGTGCGCGACGGGCCTAGTGCCGAGGTTGGGAGATGTCGAGGCGGAGGTCCGGAGCGCGGGTTACCAACCGAACCGTGAGGTTGGGTCGCGTCGTGAACAGTGGCGGGAATGGTGTCGAAGCGAGTGTCGCGAGTGGTAACGGATTACTGTTGGGTGCTGCTGGCGGGAACAGTGGTGTACGCGCTGAGCAGGGACGCGAAGTAAGGAAAAGGGATTTTCCTTACACTACCCCCCTCCCCAAGGAGGCCCCTCTTACGAGAGCGCGTGTACATCTCGGAAGTTTCGGCTTCGCAGATACTCAGTGAGGACAGGGTGATTCTCAATTCTATCCAGAGGGACCCAGTTGTCTTCGGTGGGCGTGCGGTCCTTCCAGCGGATCAGGAATTCGATTATGCGGGCTCCCCGTGGGTCACGTACTCGATGGCTCAGTATTTTCTCAGGCGTGATGATTGGCTCAGTCGGTGGTCGTGTCATGCTGGCGGGGCGGTTGCGAGGCAGTTGGCTGGTGGATGGCACGTATGGGCGAAGCAAGCTGACGTGGAATGACGGGCTGACGTACCAGTCAGCGGGGAGGAGGAGATGGGCGGTGACGGGTGTGATCATGTGGCTGATGCGAAATGGCCCGCAATATCGGGGGCGGAGTTTTGGGGTGATGGGCAGGCGGAGGTTTTGAGTGTCGAGTAAAACTAGGTCGTCTGGCTGGTAAGTGACAGGTCGGCGGTGGCGGTCAGCGTTGCGTTTAGCGATGATGTTTGATTTTTTTATTGCTTCTGCTGCTCGGGTCCGTGCTGCTTGCAGTATTTCTGCGAACTGTTGCGAGCGTGGGACTGGGTTGTCGGGATTCGGGGTCATGGGCACTGTGGGGTCTTGTCCGTAGTTCAGGTAAAATGGTGACTGTTGGGTCGTGGCAGATGGCGAGTTGTTGTACGCGAATTCGATGAGTGGCAGTTGCTGTTCCCACGTGGTCGGGTCGTCGCACGTGGCCCGGATGAGCTGTTCCATGGTCTGATTTGTCCGTTCTGTCTGTCCGTCGGTTTCGGGGTGGTATGATGAACTAAATTGTAGTCGCGTGCCGAACTGCTGCCACAGGTTCCGCCAGAAGTTGCTGGTGAATTTCGTGTCTCTGTCGCTGATGATCGATGCTGGTATCCCGTGCAGTCGAACGACGGTGGAGATGAAGAGGCGGGCTGTTTCTTCGGCTGTGATTGTTTTTTTGCAGGCTGCGAAGTGTGCCATTTTCGTCAGTCGATCGACGACGACAAGGATCGCGTCATTCCCACTCGCTCCAGCCGGTAACCTCGTGACGAAGTCCATCGTCACCTGCTGCCAAGCACGCTCTGGGGGTGGTATCGGCTGCAACTGTCCTGCCGACCGCTTCCGTGATGACTTCATGATCTGGCAAGTGGGACACGATGCCACGTGTCGTTGAACGTCGGTCAACATTTCGGGCCAGTAATAATACCGCTGCAGCTGCTGCCGTGTTTTTTCTACCCCGAAATGTCCCGAGGTAACTCCGTCGTGTGCCTCCTGTAGCAGTAATTCCCGTAGCAGTGTGTACCCTGGTACCCAGATGCGGTCGGTCCCGGCTTTTACGTAATATACTCCCTTTGCTGCTGCGAACTGTTGCGAATTTCCTCCTGTGAAGAATGGATCCGTTTGGTACTCGTGGGTAAATAGGCCTGTCAGTAGTGGGCTGGTCTGGGCGAGTAGTATTGCATGGATCTGGGCAGTGGGGCGGGTCAATGCGTCGGCGATGTTCGATGCCCCTTTTTTGTAGGTGACTGTGTAATGGAAGTTTGACTCGAGGAAATCGAGCCAGCGAATCTGTCGTGGGTTGAGGTGGGGCTGTGCGCGGAGATACTGTAGTGATTTATGATCTGTCCGTACTGTCACGTCTGCGCCGGTCAAGTAACAGCGCCAAACCTTGAATGCATGCACGATCGCGAGCATTTCGCGGTCGTGTATCGGGTAATTCTTCTCGGGCGGATGTTGTTTTCGTGACTCGTATGCGATGGGCTGTAAACCGTTGCCGAAATCCTGTAGCAGGACGGCTCCAATGGCGATGTCGCTTGCGTCTGTAACTACTTCGAATGGGCGGTGTGGGTCAGCGATGCGCACTACGGGCGGTGAACAGAGAACATGTTTCAGGGCAGAGAAGGCAGCATGCTCTTTCTCCCCCCACGTAAAAGTGACCCCCTTCCGCAGTAAATCCGTTAGTGGGGCAGTTAACCGTGCCATATCGGGGACGAACCGACGCACATAATTAACGAACCCTAAAAAGCTCTGCAGCTCCGTGATGTTCGTCGGGGGGTGCCACACTTTTACCGTGTCCAGCTTCTTGGGGTCGATTTCAACTCCAGCCTCCGAAATAACGTGCCCCAAAAATTCTAACCTATCCTGGAAGAACTCGCACTTGGAACCCTTGGTCAGTAACCTGTGCTCGTCTAAAACCTTAAATACTGCTTCCAGATCTGCTAAGTGCTGCTGCTTATCCCGACTGTAAGCTAGGATGTCGTCGAGGTAAACTATCACGCATTTATCTAAGAGCGGCCTAAACGCCTCGTTCATGGTCATCTGAAAAGTCGCCGGTGCGTTGGTCAGCCCGAATGGCATCACGGTGTACTCGAATGACCCATACCTAGTTCTAAAGGCTGTTTTTACGCAGTCCGATGGTTCGACCCGAATCTGGTGGTAACCTCCCCGTAAATCTATTTTCGAAAAAACCCGTGCTGTTCGCAGCTGGTCGATCAGTTTGTCAGCGCGGGGAATGGGGTATCGCGACTTGACTGTTACCCGGTTCAGTGCTCTGTAATCGATGCACATGCGAAACCCCCCGTCTTTTTTTGGTGTGAACAGTATCGGTGCGGCGAACGGTGACGAGCTCGGTCGGATGAATTTTTTCTCTAACAAGTAGTCTAACTGCTTCCTCAGTTCGTCGAGCTCGGGCTGTGTCAGTCGGAACTGTCGCTGTACGGTTGGCTGTGCCCCGGGTTCTAACTCTATGCGGTGGTCGTGTGCTCGCTGAGGTGGCAGTCCCTCCGGTAAGTCGTCGGGAAAAATCCCCGGGTACCGTTTCAATAGCTCCTGCAGTTCGGGCGGTACCGCTGTCAGCAGTTTCTGAAAATCGCTCGGCTGCTCTGCTTCTCCTACCAATGCTATATCCATTGCGTACACGTCAGCTCCAGCGGCGACAGCCCGTTTCATCGTGATAGCGTTGACGTGGACCGTTGAAGACTCGGGCGACTGCCAGCGAGGTAGCACGATCCAGTTACCGCTACTTCGCACAGTGCAGCTACCCGTCGTCCAGTCGATTCGCGGGTTATACCGTCGCAGCCAATCACGTCCTAGTAAAATGTCGTGCCCATCCAATGTCGTCGCGAGCATTTCCTGTGTAAACCCAAAATTCCCCCCGCAGCGGACCTTTACTTTCTCCACCCTCTCCCGTATGGCCAGCGGCGTTCCGTCCACTAAGCGTGCATCTATTTCCGGTAAACACCGACTAAGTGTCAGTTGCAGCTTCCGTGCGGTTGCGGTATTAACTAAGCTGTGGCTTGCTCCTCCGTCTATAAAGATTTTCACTGCTGCTCCCTGTACTTTCCCGTGAATCAGTACTGGGCAATCCGTCACTGTACCCTCCTTATTCATCCGAGCCCGATCGATAGCATGAATCGGTACTGTGACTCGGTGAGGGTCGGTGTGGTTGGGCGAGCAGGCAGTCTCGTCAGTAGTTGGCCCGATTCCTACTGACTGCTGGCGTTTTCCTGCCTTAGAGACTCCCTCCCCTGCTCTGCTCCGCGGCGCCTCAGCTCCTCTGGGCACTCACTCTTACGATGGCCCGGCCTATTGCAAGCGAAGCAGCGCCCCTTAAACGGCACGGCAGCTGCGTTCGTCGCAACAGCGTGTACAGTGGCGTGCTCGATTGGTCCCCGAGGGCGATGTCCGTAGTAGGACCCCGGTCTCGGGCGGCGTAAAATGTCGATTTTCTCGGCGAGCGCGAGAATCTCGTTGAAATTCGAGAGTCCGCGTAGCATGATTTCGTGCGAGATGTCCGGCTTCAGCCCTCCGACGTAACAGTCCACCCGCTCCGCTTCGTGCATATAGCCGACTTGCTCGCATAATGCGAGAAAACCGCTCGTGTAGTCTTGGACCGATCCGAGCTGCCGCCAAGTACGCAGTTTCTGACGCGCCGAAATAGAAGCCGCGATCGGCTCGAAGCGCGCCCGAAGCCCTGCGCACCACGCATCCCACGTGCTGTATTGGGCGGTTTCGCAGAATGAACTCCAGGTGACAGCTGGGCCCGTGGGCCCTTCCTCTTGCGACGGTGGCTCGTAGGCGCGTGGCGACGTCACGATGACTCGCCACCAGTCCATGGCGGGGCCCCTCAGCAGCGAGACGACGTATCTGATCTTCGCTGCGTCCGACTCGACGTAGTTCGCGTCAAAGAAGACGTTCATCGTGAAAACCCACGATTGAACCGTCGGACCTCCACGTTGGCTCGGATCGAAACAGGGCGGACGCTGCGGCTTGAGTGGCATTGGTGCCATGATGTCGTGGTTGCCACTTGTTGCTGCAAACTCCACGTGCCGACGAGCTTCGCGAGGCCCACGCGGGCTTGGCGCGGCCCGATTTCTCTCCATGCCAGGCATCGATTGAGCGGCGCCATCACTGGCTGCGCCTGAGCGCTGTCCCACGCTGTCGTTTTGCGTCGGTGTGCCGGATGAGATGACGATTGGTTCTTCTGATTGCGCAGGTGCATTTGCGGGTGCTTGTGATGGAGCTGGTGCATTCACCGTTGATTGCTGGCGGGCGGAGTCACGTTCCGCCGTGAGTGTCGCGATTTCGAGTGCCGAATCTTCGAGTTGACGCACGAGACGGTCGAGCTGCTCCTGCGTCAATGTCGCAAGATTAATGTCGGCCATGGCGGGGGTGTCGGGCAAACACAGCGGGAGCCTCTGTCGTGGCCGTGCGTGCTTACGAGAGAGCACTTCGAGCGGCGGTGCTTGTTCGCTGAGAGACGTCTACCCCCCCCAAAAATTGAGATAGCGGGGAAGCGAAGGTGTGGGTGCGGTCCGAGAAGAGATCGTAGGCTCTGATACCAAGTGTTACGAGTGCAATTGAGTGAACGAGCGAGAATTGCACTATCGAAGCAAGAGTCCAATGAGCGAAGGCATGAGCGAAGAATATATAGCGAAACTACAGTGGTAACGGTAATGTGTAAAAAGTGGGGTGCGCGACGGGCCTAGTGCCGAGGTTGGGAGATGTCGAGGCGGAGGTCCGGAGCGCGGGTTACCAACCGAACCGTGAGGTTGGGTCGCGTCGTGAACGGTGGCGGGAATGGTGTCGAAGCGAGTGTCGCGAGTGGTAACGGATTACTGTTGGGTGCTGCTGGCGGGAAGAGTGGTGTACGCGCTGAGCAGGGACGCGAAGTAAGGAAAAGGGATTTTCCTTACACCTGCCCTGTTTCCCCCGTCGTTGTGTGCTGCTGTGGCGTGGGCCTGTAACGCCAGCTGCATGGGTGGCTCTGGCGTGGCACTGCACGCCACGCCATTTTCTGTTTCTATCTCGTGTTCTGCCGCTGCCCGCTGTCCCCACTTGCACCCACTACCTCCACCATGGCTAGCCCTGCCCTTGTGCTCGCACCCACGTCGCAGCCCTCGCCAGTGGCCCACTGCCCGTCCTCCGCGCGGTCGATGATACGATATTTGCCACCGCCTCTCGTGCCGCGAACTCGTCGCCATCCACGGAATAAGCAGACTACGCAGAATTTGCCCAATAGAAAAGCTCGGAGGAGCTTAGCTGGCAGAAAACGAGGATCGCCTTGTGCGCTACAGTGCAGCGCCGCACCCGCTGATTGGTCATAGAAAGGGAAGGCCGGAGCGATTCGTCCGTCCCGGCATGGTGACGCCTGACTCCCGCGAGCGCGAGTTGCGCGCACGAGGCGCGTGTCGTCGCCATAATCTCTCGCTCCGTGTGTAACATTGTTTATCGCTCTGTCTCGTGCCTTCCGCATTGCACCCTGCCGTCGCCCCCTACGCTAACACGCTTGAAGCTTGCCCGGGTCCGACTCGACAAGCCCAGCCCTCCAGCCGCCAAGCCGCCTACTACCGTCTGCTTCTCAGCTCAACGTAGCACGACACGCGCGAAGCCTCCCGCGCCATACGCCGCAACCCGCGCTCCCATCGCGTCGCACTTGATCTGCTTCCCACCGACCTCCCGGGCCCATCGCGCGCCACGGTTCGCGAGACTGCGGCACCGTCGCGAGACTGCGGCACCGTCGCAAGACTTGTCACACATCGCGAGGCGTGTCACACATCGCCTGCCGCATGGCCGCGTCTGCACCCACTGAAGCCGTTCCGCCAGATGCGCACCTCGTCGGGGCCGCTGAATGCGGGGACGAACCGTTGTTGCGCAGAGGGAAATGGACATGCGGCTTGAACGGTAGCTGCTTTCCAGTGTGTGTCGCTCGGCGCCCTCGCACCGCCCTGTTCAGTCCGCCTCTTGAGACCTCGTTCGTTGCACAACCGCCAGAATCACATCCGCCAGAATCACGTCCGCCAGAGTCACAACCGGCAGAATCACCGGGGCCACCAGCACCAGCGCCATCAACGAGCGTGGCAGGAGGGAGGCACGCGAGACGGACAGCGACAAAGGCGCTGGAGCGAATGGTGGTGGGCGACTTGGCTGTACGGCTGGCTGCGAGAGGCGGGGCAGGGAGCGACGCGGAGAGAGGCAGAGGGGCGGAGTGGGAGAGGCGCACAGAAACGCACTGTGAATCTGGCGACGAGGGGGTTGGACAACAGGGAGATGAGGGAAGGGGGAGTGGAGAGGGAAAGGAGGATGAGGAGGCAAAGTGTGGATTGATGAATGCGCGAGGCGACGGCGTCGTTGAGAGCACACACGCCACAGCAAATGCGGGAGCTGGTGAAAATCAGGGTGACGATATAACACTACCAAGGACAGCATCATGCGATGTGAGTGGCGCAGAGGTGGGGTCAAAATGCGCACAGAAAGCGTCAGAGGAGCCGTTGGGCAGGCCAGCTATTCCCAAGAGTGTCACGACCCCCAGTAGCGCGGCCCACTTCGCCCTGGGTGCACCTCTCTCGTGGGCTGTGCTGCCGGACTCCGTCTCCAGCTTCCTCCACAGCGCCACCCCTCTGCACCACAGCGGAAGCGACGCAGCAATGTTACTCGCGTCTGACCCAGCTTCTCATGGCGCTGTAACGCTCCCTGCTGCTGTGAGCCCTTGTGGATGGACTCATCCAGCCACCGAGGGCGCAGCGGAAGGGGCAGTGGCAGCGGCACAAGCGAGGCAGGATGCTGAGGTCAGAGGCAGCAGGCGCCCCGCTGCTATCTCCCGCCCGTTGTTAAAGCACCCAGAGGAAACAGAGGAGGGCGAGTGTGATGGCGGTGGACCGTTTAGCACAAGGTCTGAACGCCTCTACCCGCCCGCATGGGCCAGGTCGCCGCATTGGACGGGTAGAGCAAGGCATGAGGGACGGGAGGGAAAGGTTGGGATGCGAGAGAGAAAGACGCGGGGACAGGGTGGTTCGCAGGAGGAGGGGGGGATGTTGAAGATGCACACAGTGACTGGCGCGATCCTTGCAAGGGAGGCCAATGCCAGACAGGAGAGGCTTGCTGAGGCGCTCGGAGGGGTGAGAGGGAGACAGACAAAGCCCACCAGAGCAGGTGCGGAGGAGAAGGCAGAGGAAGGGAGGTGCAAGGTGGAAACAGCAGGGGCCAGGCACAAGCACAGGCATAGAAGGGGAGGGTCGGTAGATTTGGATGTGCGGACTCCTCTGAAGGAGCGAACATCGCGAAACCAGACGATCCAAGGCGGAAAATGCAACTTCGTGGAAGATGAGTTTTTGGGGATAGTGGAGGAATTTCTAAACAAGCCTAAGGCTAAAACCGTGCATCCAAAAGGTGCTTTTCTGCTGCAAAAGTAGTGTTGCCTTTTGTGTTGTATGTTGCTCTGTCTGCTCCACAGTGGCTGAGATGTACAGTAGAATAGATATGCAATTATCTCCATGAGAACTCCAGTCCTAGTCATTCCAGCTAGCGCAGCTGAGACCATCTTGTCACGAAGCAGTCAACCTGCTAAGCCGGTCCAGAATGGTGGGCGCAACAATGTTCGTCTCCTCGCAACAGCTGTACATCAACCTGTCCAGCACCAATAGGTAGCGTACCGTACATCAATAACTCAGCTAGCACAGCTGAGAGCACCATCTCCTCAAGCAAGAGTTCACCCGCTGAGCCCGTCCAGAGTGACGGGCACAACAACTTCCTCGTTTCCTCTCAGCAGCTGTACATCAACCTGCGCAGACACAAGTGCCAGAAGCTCATGTCAGTAACACATGCATTGCAGAGAGGAGCGAGAGTCTGGCAATGGCATCAATACAAGTGTATCACACACATCCACATATCCAGTCACCACAAGTACATGCTTCGGTAGCGGACATGAGCACACTCACGGTCTGGCCAACTTGGCACTTGTCGAGGATCTTGTAAAGGTCGGAGCCGGAGTAGATGGGCTTGCCGTCAATGGCTGTGATGATGTCCCCCAGCATTAGCCGCCCAAAGCTGTCTCGCGATGTGGGGCGCAGGCCCTGAGCACAACATACAGGAGAGGAGGTCAAAGAGAGGGCTGATTAAGTGATGCGCTGGATTGAACTGAGCTGCATGAATAAGGTTTGAAGAACGAGAAAGCTTCCTGCTAGCAATGTGTTCGGGAAAAACGATGCATGGACTCACAGCCTTGGCAGCGGCGCCATTGGGGTTGACTTCGAGCACGAGCACTCCCGAGTTGCCCAGCTGATCCACCAGCTGCTCCGGTGCAAAGGCCAGGTTGAGTGCCGGCCGTGTCACCTGCCCGTACACTATGATCTGCTCCACAATGCCACTCACCTGCCACGCACATGCCATGAGTCATCATGAGCGATGTGCAAAGGATGTGTCGTAAAGCGTGAGTGGAATGTGCTGTGGACATGTGCTGTGAGACCCAAGCATGGGGAGGATGGGACCTGAGAGGAGGCTGAGGTGGGGCAAGTGGGGTTTATCTTCACACATTTCGTATCCTAGAACTCTAGATTACTTACTGTGTCTACAGGAATAGCAAATCCAACGCCTGAGGATCCGCCGGATGGCGAATAAATAGCGGTGTTGATGCCGATGAGAGTGCCGCTGGAGTCGAGGAGAGGCCCTCCGCTGTTGCCGGGGTTGATGGCAGCGTCAGTCTGAATCACGTCCTGAATGGGCCGCCGCGTCACTGACGTTATTTCACGCTGCAATCCACTGGAAAAGAAGTGGTTGGGTGTGGGAGAAAATGGACGTTTACGATTGCATGGTTGGAGGAGAGGAGGATGTATAGCAAGAGTATATGCAGAGCGATGAGGAAGTGAGAGTGAAAGGAAACAGGAAGACGAGTGGAAAAAGACTGTACCTGATGACTCCTGTTGTGAGTGTGTGGTCCAGTCCGAACTAAGGCAGGACGAAAGCACAAAAGGAAAGGGAAGGAGAAAAGGGAGACAAAGGATGTTTACTAAGGAAATACAGAGTGTAGATAAAGGGGAGAAGCCACATTGACAGAATATGACAGGCGGACAGAGTAGAGGGAGCAACAATGATGCGAAGAAGGATGGAAGATGAGTTCAACTTCAAGAGGGGTAGGCAACAGGTTGACGGATGGGAGGAGCAGAACTCACGGGGTTGCCGATGGCGAAGACCTTCTGGCCGACCAGCAGGTCCGAGGAGGAGCCTACAGGCAGCGGTCTCAGCTTCTCAGGGGGCGCATCAATGTGCAGCACTGCCACGTCCTTGTTGGGATCCGCTCCCACCACTGTCGCCTCGTACACTGATTGGTCGGATAAGGTCACCCTGATAGGGACGATGTTGGGGTGGGGAAAGAGGAACGAAAAGGATAGAGCTGTGGTGGAGGTCTGTCAGTCTCTATCCATTGCCACATTCCAGATTGGATGTGCAACGATTGTCAAGTCAACCCATATGCGTCTGCATGATTTTTTCTTGTCCTTAGACGATACCTGAGGTCAGTGGCGCGCCTGATGACGTGGAAGTTGGTAACCACATGGCCTTCCGTGTCCCATAAGAACCCTGACCCTGTCCCCTGAGGCACTTGCATGACGTCCAGAGTAAACGCGTCCTTCCTGCAACGACAGTCGCATGCATACAACGACACACACACGTTTTCCCATGCACAGTCAGTCACACACACATGGTCACATCACACTCACACAGAGATGGTCATGTACAGACCAACCCATACAAGCACACGAGCATGAACGCATTGAAACAGCACGTGCATGCATAATCATTTGAGATATGGACACGGATATGCATTTGGTGAGAACCACCTCAGTCGAGTTCACGAGCACAAGTTCAGTGATACAAGTTCAAATTGCCATGCGATGCCAATTCCTGACCGTTTGCAAGACCTATGTTTCATTGTGAGTTCTCCAGACACCTTAAATCCTCGTCGATTAAGCGGACATCCACGTACCTAGTGGCGAGGTTCGTGATGTACACGACGGACGCGGTGTTGTCATTGAACAGCTTCACAGTCGCCAGCTCATCTGCCATAAGCTTACGCGGAGGTGCCACCACTGCACCAGCGTATGCTGGCATGGCGGATGACAGGACTGTAGCAGTGATAGCGACAGACGCTGCAAGCCGTCCGAATTGATCGCATGCTTCGCGAATACTATGCGATGGGTTTGCGAACAGCTTTGAAAAACATTCTCCTAAGCGACTCCTCATCAAGTCCAATGGCTCCTTTAACTCTTGACCTGGTGGTGCTCTAGAAGGAACATCACGCGCTAAGGACCCACTCCTCTCGTGTTGTGCAGGCTCATTTTGACCCGCCGAGGCAGCTGTGACTAGAGCCCTTCTGTGAGAGGCTACTGAGACGACACGAGGAAGGCACGGCCCTGGACGGAGGAAAGAGGAGGCAAATCCATGGCTTCGTAAGCTTGCCATAGATGCTATATTCTTAGCCTTGACGAAATGCGTGGATTGGGGTGCGACATCGGCAAGTGGTCGGCTTTTGGCGGAACAGATAGAATGCGAGACTCCCGGCGATGAGTGCACGCGAAGCGTGTGCACAGGCTGAAGAGCCAAAGCCACCTAATTACTAGCTGCGACTCTTCGACAAGGAACACGAAAGCAGCAAGTTTGAGAGAACAAGTGGGAATGGTGGTGTTCGCCAGCACCTTTGAAAGCAAAAACGACGGGATCAGGAAGGTCAGTCCCGCCTTCCTGATCCCATCAGTTAGGGTTCGTCAAGCTCCGTCAGCCTGGTCAGCCCGAAAAATTCCTGCCGAAGCTAGGATGCCGTCCGACCCAAATGCAATCTTCGTTGCCTGGCGAACGCCCTCGTTTTTCTCAATTTTCGGTTGGAATCATGGCATTCGGAAATGGGGATGTGATTTCCTCCCCTGGCAAACGTCCCGTCTCATGCCATCCCATGGCAATCCACCATTTCACGGTGGATTGCCGTGGGTTGGCGATGTAATTGGCTGTCAGAGGGTAACCACAACCAGAGGGAGAAGGTAGGGAGGCAGGTTCCATATGCGGTTGTAAAGTTTCCCATTTCGGGGCCCGAACTTTCGCGAGTGGCATTTCGCCCAAACCTCTTCGGAGGGTTCCGGCCCCGCTTCCTGATGCCGTTGCCAGTCCGATGCCGGCCTTTTTCTTGCAATCTCACATGTGCTGGCGAACACCGCCAATGTGAATGAATGGAAGGGAAATTTGGAATATGGAAATGAGCCGTGTTGTGCAACTGGTTTGCCAGGCAAACACATTTCCTGCCAGGCTCGGCTTACAGCAAGGCCTCCCTGACACGGCAACCACAACCATAATGAAGGCTCCACGAATTACCGAGGCAAAAAGAGGGGGGGTTTGTGAACAGCTGGCACATCCACCGCAAGCATTTCGAAGTCCACGTCACTCCCTCATGTTCCCTCATTCGCTGTCCCCGTTCAGTGTGTCACTCTAAGCCGGCAGTTTACAAGTTATAAGGCGACAGCGAGCTCCACAGCACATTCAGAGAATGAGGTTGTCTAAATTTTCGTTTTTGGCTATCAACCATAGCGTTAGCTGGGGGTTGCGCTGCTGGCCACTTCCTGATCACGTGATTTATTTCTTTCTCAAAGCACGTGGGTATTTGAAGCTCTTGATTGGTAGAACCATCGGTTTCCAAGGCTCTTCCTGGAATACCACCCTTGCTATTCACTCCTAAAGAGGTCTTATTACACCGGCTCGTCGCTTCGATCCGATGCCAAAGCGGCGTGTCGAAGGCGAAATAACGGTTTCGTACGATCCTGGACCAAGCAGCTCGGGCAGTAGGAGCCCTGTCGACAGTCCACAGTCTGCGTGTAGCAGCGGCAGTCGGAGCAATCTACGACGCGATAACAGCTGGAATGACAGGGAACCGCTGCTTCCGGTGCACACAAAGCAGGCGACGAACCAGCAGAGGACTCCTTATGGGTCGTTCTTGCGGAAACGTGGGTCGCAAGGCGACATGGAGCAGAAACCAGCCAAGCTGCCGTTGGTTGATACATCGTGAGTCAATAGTTCCTCTAATCTGCTCTCTTATGAAGCAGGTACTTAGCCTCGCGTTCTCTCTCTCTCTCGGCCGCCTCTCACCCCGCTTGTTGTTCTGACAGCATCCTTCGCTTTGTGCGTACAGGGGTAGCTTGAATGTGGAACGGCGTGGAGTTCCCAAGCTGACAGCGTATTGGAGTGATCTATTTCACACGCTGATCAACGTACGGAAGTCCCCATGCTGCGGTTATCCCAGTCGCTCGCTGCTGATTGCTGCATGTTCCTGATTCTGCTGGATCACACTTTATAGCAGTTGCACTCCAAAATTCACTGAATCGTTACTCTTTCACCTGACGTGTGATCAGCTGTCATCATATCTGTTGTTTGCAGATCCCTAACGTCCGCTTCTACCCGTTACTTCTGCTTGGCTACTCGCTGCTGTTTGGAGGGTTTGCTGTCCCCTATTACTATCAGGTGGGCATCAGCTCTTGGACCGTCTCTTTACATCACAAGATTATCTTTCCCTCTCGTGTTAATTCATAGCTTGTAGTGCCCAGGTTCCATTGAAGCAGCAGCCTGGTTGACTCTCTTTTGATGGATGTGTGGAGTGTGCATCTATGTGACCAGTCTGTGCAGTATAACTGCATCCCGGGGGTTAAGAATTACTGGCATGCTTTATGGTTCAGGTAGGACAATAGCTGCTGCAATGCGCTTTTCGTCCTGAGCTGTGACTGACATCCTCTTCGTTCTTGTCTGTGGACTCGCTGTGGCAACATGTATACACCTCAAACTTAATCTGCAACACTTTTTGCTCTTTGGAATCAATCAGTGTTCAGTCCGCCATGACCATTGGTAAGTAGTGTTGTGTCACTTGCTTCCCATTTTCAACATGGTGTTATCTTTTGCTTCCAGCCTTTGGCAGACCCCACCCACCCCTCCTGTTTTTTACCTTCCTGCTATGCTGAATCATTTCTGTGTGCAGGGTTTGGGGGAGATCTGGTCCCTGATCCTAACTGCTTCACACTGAACCTCCTTATCGCCCTCCAATCACTTGCTGCTCTGATTGTCGCCTATGCCTTGCTGGGGATTGTCTACACTCGGTAAGTGGAGAGCAGGAGGCAAATGTTTAGTAGAGAGATTTTGTTGTAAGTAGTAAGTTTTTAGGCTATATGCAGACAAGCATATCACAGACACGCTCACCGCTTGTCAGGCAACAATGATGTGATATGTTCGCTTTGTCATTCTTGCAGGTTTGCCCTTCCCTCCCGTCGAGCTTCATCACTCGTGTTCAGCCAATACATGGTGCTCAACGAGGTGATGATTGTTGCTGCTGCTCTTCTAGTGCATCAGAGGCTGCCATGGCTTTACTTTCCTTGTCTTGACACTCTGCTGCTACTGTATTGCTTTGGCTTCAATTTGTGCCATGGCAGGAAGACGGAGTGCCTCGCCTTTCATTCCGAGTTGCTAATGTTCGCAAGCACCAACTCATAGAGGTAAGCACCAACTCATAGAGGTAAGCACCAACTCATAGAGGTAAGCACCAACTCATAGAGGTAAGCACCAACTCATAGAGGTAAGCACCAACTCATAGAGGTAAGCACCAACTCATAGAATTAAGCACCAACTCATAGAGGTAGGCACCTACTCATAGAGGTAGCACCAACTGGAACAGCATGATCAGGTGTTTTGGGCTTGCTGACTGTTAATTGTTGAAACATCAATCTTTTTCTTGCAGGCGCATGCACAGCTGCTGGTGGCAATCAACAATATCATGAGTGCGGAAAATGAGGCGCTCTTCAAATTCTCCAATCTTCCTGTTAGTCTCATTGTACCTTTGAAGAATCTCGCTGCACATTCATGTTTTGGCTAAATGGCATCTCCTCTCGGACCTCCTGGTGCCAGACTGCCATTTTTTCATATTTTGTAATAGTAGCACGCTGTGCGTGTCACTTTGAACGTTACTATAACTCGTCTTCCATCCTTTCCGCGTGTCCTTGCCTTGCAGATCCTTGGTGGGGGCTTCGTCTTTCTTGCTCTCCCGTGCATCATTACTCACGCAATTACGAAGCACAGCCCACTGCATGGCATGTCCCTTGCTGTAAGTCCCGTATCCCATCTCATTTCACATCCCAGATCTATAAGTCTTTGCTGCTGCTTCTTTCTATGTTCGTCCTTTCTGCTTGCCTGTGGTCCACATGAATTGGAGCATGTTGTACAAGATTGCCTTCTCATGTCACTTTTATTCCAACAACTCTCTTTCACCCCTGAAAATTCCCATCCCGCATGTACTGCCCCACATGGGTGTGATTGTAGATGATGGAGCGCGCTGACATTGAGTTCCTTGTGCTTATAGAGGGCGTGGATGCTCCCACATCAGCTAAACTGCAAGGTGCTTATGACCCACTGTGTAGTACCTCGTTTACAGCATTTGTGCATGCGTCTGCACAGCTTTCTTGTCTTCTTCGTCAGCTTCTGTGTTCGCACCCTGAAGCACTTTTCTGGTTGCCCAGTTTACTACTGCACTGTGTCCTTAATGTTCCTCCCGTGCGCACCTGTGTCTTCAGCCCGACATTCCTACTCGCCTTGTGACATCAAGTTCAACCACCGCTTCAGGTGAGCTGGGAGCGCTCTCCTCTTCATTACGGCCACACACTCTCTTCATCACTATCTTTTGATTTTCCAATTGTCTTTTGTAGTTCCTGTGAAATTGCTGAGGGTTGTTTCTTCGCTTGCTCATCCTTGTTATGTACTCATCTCGTTCATTCATTGTGGCAGCACCATGGTCAGGCGGTCACCAAGTGGAATCCGACGCGTGGTGAGCTGCCATATCTGTTGTTCCAATCGTTCTGGCCCTGATCTCCTGTTCGTTCCTTCTGTCTATCCCCCAAGCATCTACACTCCTCCTCGTTCTTTCGCTCCACACACACTCACACACATGTGCACAGAGTACCTACTGGTCTTACTTGCTACTTGCAACGTTTCATTAGTTTGTTCACTCCACTTCCACAGTCCCAGCACCTAATCAAACTTGTGTCCCCCACTGCTCGTGCAGGACTTCACCAAGTTTCACGACGTCCAGCCTGTCCCAGCTACTCTTCGCCGCCCCCACTTCCTCCCCCACGCTCCCTCCTGGGAGAATCTCCGCAACCTCTCCTCCCTCTCCTCTCTCCCCAGCGTTCTCCGCCACCCCACTGCTGTCTCAACCGACAAATTAGGTGCCATTATGGGCCGAAAGGATGCCCCTCACCCTTTCCCAGCCCCTGACGCTGCTTCTGCCTCTCAAGTCTCCTTGGCTTATCCTCCCTCCGTTTCCGCTGCTGCTGCTGCTGCCGCTGCCGGTGACTCCACGGCTCCTGTTGCAGCTGACACGATTCGAAAGAACTCAAGCTTCATGAACATTCTTTCTCTTGGGTTTGGGCCTGGGTTAGGCTGGGGAGGTGGGGTATGGGGGAGTGGAGTGTGGGGTGGTGGAGTGTTGTGGAGCGGAGGAGCAGGCACAGGAGCAGATGAAGGGTCAAGAGGAACAGTAGCAGCAGGAAGAGGGAGTTTATCAGCCACTGGGAACACGGCTAGTGATGCGGTCCGTGGAGGCAGTGTGGATGCAAGCACGTCTGGTGTTGCTGCTGAAGACTGGGGAAGAGTCCGTGAATGCAGAGCTACAAGTGACTCAGCAGCTGTTGGGGGAGGAGCAGGAGGAGGGCGAAGTGGTGGGCAGGGTCACAAAGGCGGAGCGATGTTCCTGCCTCTGGCCGGCATGGAGCATGAATTGTCCATGGCCTCCCTCCCTCCAGTTTTTGAAGGCAGCTCCGGCAGCAGCAGCCCAGCCAGTGTTCCTCCAGCTGTTATATCAAACTCAGGTGTTTTCAACAGATCAGGTGTGTGGAATGCTGCTCATGTAGGCACATGGTCCATGGAAGCAACAGCAGAGGCTGCAGCGAGTGGAGCTGTGGTGTTAGCTCCTGTAGCAATCGCAGCCGCATCAACAGCAGTCATAGCACGAGATGAAGATGCAGCAGCCACGGTAGGAACAGCTGCAGGATCAGCGGCACAAGCTCATGCGTTCGAAGGGAGGAAGCAGATGAGGCGTATGGTTAAACGGGGGAGCACGGAGAGATGGGACCGGATTGGTGGTGGGATGACAACGGAACAAGGGCGACTTAGCAGGCGTGTATCATTTGAGGTATCACCTGTCGCCGAATTGGTTGGCGAGGGAGGGGCACAGCAAGGGGCTGAGCCGACAGCAGGGAGGGAATGTGCAAGCGTGGCTCCCACTGCAGCAGTGCTGGATGGGGGGTGGTCTAGAAGGCATGAAGACAGCAAGGAATTGACTCAAAGAGCAGACAGGCAAGAAATTGAGGAAATGGGTGCTGAAACTCCCAACAAGAAGGGGCGGAGGGAGCAGAGGGATTCAGGTGGAAGGAGGCATGGGAGGACCTTCAGTGAACCGCCCATTCCTGTGCCCAGCAGAAAACGAAACAGTATTTCTAGCAGCAGCAGCATGAGTGGAGGCATTGGAGTTGGTGGCAGGAGGAGCAGTGGTGCAGGCAAGCAGGAGAGAAGTTCCGGTGCCTCAGGCCTGCCAGGCTGCTGGACAGATCCAAGTCCGCTGCTGCTGATGAACTCCTTCAGTGTGCGATCGGCATCACACATGCTGGAAATGGATGCACTCCACAGGGTGAGTGCATGTTTCATTGTCAATTAGCTGGCAAAGGACACTGTTGTGCTCACTGTTTAGCTTTTGATTCATATAGCGTCTCCTATTTCTCTCGTCCTCGCATTTCAGATTGCTGTGGCAGAGAAGAGGGAGCAGCAGTGGCGATCACTTGTTGTGGACCTTGCCATCAAGGTGCAGAGCAGCAAAGCACTCCATGCGCCTGATGTTGATTGCCATCCACTCCTCAATAGAGCCAAGGAGTTTCTAGAAAAGGCTGCGGAAGAAGATGATGTTATAGGTTCTTCTGGCTAGGCAATGATACTGCAGTGTCATGGGCTGGAAAATGAAAGTGTTGATCAGTATTGCTTTTGGCCTGTGTGCATAGTGTAAATAGTTCGATCTTCCATGTGCATATCCTTGATCAAGAAGGTTGCAGAACGATGCATTAATTCTGCCCTATGCTTATCGCATCGAAGCAATGTCGAAGCACTTATCGTGTTTCAAGGTCCAGTCATCAATGCGATTTGGTTGCCTGTATTTGCAGTCTTCCCGTCCAGGTTCTCTTGTTATGATCTTCTCCTGCTCACCTTCACTTTCAAAATCTGTGTGCATCCTGCACTTCTAGCAGTATTGCGTCCTTCACTTCTAGCAGTATTGCGTCCTACACTTCTAGCAGTATTGCATCCGTCACCTCTTACAATATGGCGTCCTTCACCTCTAGCGCTTTATCCGCACCCGCCCGTTTGCTTGGAGTGGATGGTTCTCCCAATTTGTCGACATCTCTTTCGTCTGCACGCAGCTCCAATCGAGTGTCCGTTTCGCTTGAGGTTCTGTGCCGCTCCTTCAGCCCTCGGCTTAAGGAATTGCCACGTTCTAAGCCCTTGAAACCCTGCAGGAGCAGTTGCGTTGCGCCTGCCACAATTCTGAGCGAAGTTTCGAAGAGCAATGTGGATTCAATTCCTGTCCTTTCGCAAACAGAGGTAGGTATTTCTCAGCACAATGTCAAATTTCCCTTCTCACGACTTTTCTCACAGTAAAACGCGTTTATCAGGTGGCGAAGAGGCTTGCTGGCCACAAGCATCCTAATCAACAAAACTATCGCGCGTTTTACTCGAGTGTGATCGGTGGAATCACGAAGGACCCAGCAGCTATGGTAATTCCTATTGACGATCACATGGCTCACAGAGGCCACGCTGTTTTTGACACCGCCATTATTTGCTCAGGGTAAGTTGCGCAAATAATTTTGGGTCTCCTGATGTTTATACCCATTGCAGTCTTCAAGTTTCAAATTCTGGTCATGTTTTTCCATGTGCAGGGTTTTATATGAGCTTGATGAGCATGTTGACCGTTTTATGAAGTCAGCTCGTGCGGCAAGAATTGAACACTCATATTCTCGGGAAGAGCTTAAAGCTATTATCATCCGGACTGTCGCTGGTTAGTAACTGCCCCCTCACGTATGCACTTGACGTACCGTAGCCGCAAGTCCTTATCAAGCGATGTGCGTCACGAGCATTTTATGTCCATTCAATACCTGTGCAGTCAGCGGAGTTAGGGACGGCAGTACTCGATACTGGCTCTCAGTTGGACCTGGTGGTTTCACTTTATCCACTAAAGAGTAGGCGCATTGCGATGTGTCTTTGTAGCATTCCAAGGGTTGCTGGTCAGTCAATAATACCGTCATCCGCACTTGCAGGTGTCCAAGATGTACCTTTTACGTCATGGTAGTTGCGGATAATAAGTTCACAAATCTGGAGGCTCGAGTTGACGGGGTTACAGTGGTCAGTTACTGTTCCTTGCTCTTACTGCCTTTTCCTTCAGTGGACAATTGGTGTCTGAGCTCAGTGTGCTCGTTTGGTAACTTGCAGGCTACGTCAAGTGTTCCAATGAAAGCGCCAATGTTTTCAACCATGAAGAATGTAAATTACATGCCTAATACTCTGGTGAAGAAGGAGGCTGAAGAGGTATGTGCAAACTTTTTAGCAGATTTTGCCCCATACTGTGGACGGGAACGCTATGTTAGCCTGTGTGTTTGAAATGTGCAGAGGGGTGTGTTTGAAGGCATTTGGATTGATGAGAATGGCAACGTTGGAGAAGGTCCCAGCATGAATGTTGCCGTAAGTCTAGGCAACGTCTTCTGGAGAGAGATGACACTGCATGGCTGATAACATTATATTTAACGTCCAGTGGTTTGCTGTTCTACTGGCAGTTTGTTAATGACCGAAACGAGTTTCTTGTTCCTGAGTTCAGCCGGGTGAGTCTGATTCTGTGCTCTTTAGTTACTTATTTGCCCTTCGGCTTTTGGCTGCGGGTGCTAAATCGTTGTAGTGTGCTGCAGGTATTGGCAGGGTGTACAATGAAGCGAGTTTTGGCACTCGCAGAAGAACTGTTGGAAAAAGATTCAGTTCCGAGAATAAGCAGGATTAGCCACCGGCCAGTTTCAGAGTCTGAAGCACGACAGTGCAAGGAGATGATGCTTGTGGGCAGCGGGGTGTTGGTGACCCCTGTGATTCGATGGGATGACCAAGTCATTGCAAGCGGTAAGGTTTCAACGAAGTTGTGTTGCTCCAGGGTCATAATGATTACTGCTGACACTTGTTTCGTTCTTCTTCCACAATTCAGGTTCTCCAGGGGCAATTACCATGGCTTTGCGGAAGCTGCTAGCAGCGGACCTACATGGCGGTTATTCTCATATCCAGGTCAACTATGTGTAAGGGGGACGGGTTTAACTGTGTAATCGTTATTGCAAGCGCAATAACCCCTGGTGTTTGGGCGATTTTTCATAGTGGGCGTGGTCACTTAAGATGCTGTTGAATAGTTTGGTCGAAGTGTCAAGTGCAGGTACGGTAACATATATTGCTGTTTCTTGATGTTCACGCATTAAATGGTACATACATTGACCCATCGCGGCTGAGTGCGCCTCCGTGTCTACTAACTTGTAAAGTTTCTAGAAGATCAAGAGATAGTAGTGGGTTGATTTGGATGAAATAGTATAGCTGTGACTGAATCTATGACTGCTAGATATATTTAAGTGAAGCGGCTTTCAGCTAAGGTGAGAACCTAATTCAAACATGAACAACACTTGTAATTGACACAGACATACTGATACCGGAACAGAATCGAAACCGATTTCTCTCTGAGAGGTGCTGACAGGTAAAGTGGCCACGTGGCGCTGAGTAATTTGCAGTCGAAGGCGCTGCCAGACTGTGCTCCCACGACAATGTCTGACTACCCTTCCCGTCTGTTTTGCACACCCCTGCTTTTCACGGCACGGGCGGAGGGCAGCAGGAGGCAACGAGTCAGTTGTCAGGCTCGGACATCCCAGAGATTGTCAGGAATCATGGATGTTTGAATTCTTGATGCGTCCTGTCTGTCTTTGGATGGCTTGATGGACTTTACCGCGTTTATGGCGCGTGTCTAGGAAGTATTGAATCGTCCATATCGGACCCCTTATTTGCCATTGGACATGCGGAACAACGGAATAGCAGCTTAGAGAGCTGGCCAATATCACGATCCAGTGCGTGCAGATAATATCGTCGTCCTTTTGAAGTTCGTGAACTAAAAGAAATCAGGGTAGTTTCCGTCAGTCAGAAGCACATACCAGTGAAGGATATCAGTGTCGCGCTTCTCAGTATCGCACCTAGTATAGCACACCAGCAGTACGGTAAGCAGCCATGGACGACCCGAGTCCTAGCCGAGTGAAGCAGCTCGCGTCTCGATTCGAGCCGCAGCTGTCCAAGGTGCAGCGTATCGCCTCCATGTTCGAATGCGAGCCGCCATCGCCGTCCACCACAATCTCCCTATCACGCCGCGTCGGCGGCAACAGCACCGCCAAAATTCAATACAAGCGAGTCCAATCGGACCGTCCAAGTCCAACCGGCGATCCCCAGCAGTCCGTCAGACGACAGCCAATCCCCTCCCCGAGAACAGTCGAAACTGCTGGGGACCCTAGCGGGGAATTTGTCGGCGGCGGAGAGCAGTTGACGGAGGAGCAGTTGGCGGAGGAGGGGTTGGACGGGATGAGCATGGAGGAGATGGAAGCGCTGTGCGAGATCATGGCGCTCGAGGAGTCGCGCGCCCGCGCGGAGCGCATGGAAGCGCTGGGCTACGAGGTCGCGGGCGGGGAGGGGCGCGAGGAATACCGCAAGGAGGGGGATGGTGGGGAGGGCGGATGGTGGCAGGTGGGGTACAGCGACGTGCGCGCGGGTGGAGAGGGTAGCGGTGGTGGGGAAGCGGAAGGCGGGGGGACAGGAGGTGGGGAAGAGGTTGCAGTGGTTATTGGGGATGACGAAGAGGGTGACAATAAGGAGGGGGGCTCGGTGGGCTCCTTGATTCGGTCCATCGAGGGACTACCCAAGCAGAGCAAGCAGCAACCTCAGCCCATCTCCCCAGAAAAATCTTCAGGCAAATCGCGCAAGTCGTCAGGCGGAAAGAAGAGCAGGGAGAAGCGCAGAGGCGAGTCGGGCGGTGCGGACACCGTCGCGGGCGCGATTGAGCGGTTCAGCGGCAGCGGAAAAGACCCCGGGCGAGTCTCAACGTCCCGAATGACGGCGTCCACGTCAGAACCGTCGCTCGCTCTCGCTGCTGCTGGCGCGACCGCGGGGAATCGGCGCTATGGCATGGCAAATGGCGACACTGCTTCACCTCTGGAAGACAGGGCGGTGGGAATGGCGAGTGGTGGAGCAGCTCGGGGCTCTGCGGGACTGAGTGGGGAGTTCCCCTTAGAGCTATCGTCCAGTCCGTCTGTGTCTGTTGTCGATGCTGAGCTGTCAAGGAAGAAGACTGAGGTGGCGCGATATGAAACTGAGCTGGCACGGCGCCGTGCTGAGCTGAACCGACTGAGAGTTGAGCTGGCGAGCGTGAGCGTGGAGAAGGTGCAAGCGGAAATCGCGCTGACTCGGCTAAAACAAGAAGTAGAGGACTGGTCGTATGTTCCCGTGGAAGGTACAGGGCAGGGAGGAAACGAAGCGGATGAGGCACGGGAAGCAGACGAAAACGGTGCGTCTGATGTAAAGAAAGATGGGGACGGAGGAAGCAGCGAGGAGACTTCCTCTTCATCTCAGTTGAAGGCGCAACTGGGGAAGGTGAGGCTAGAGAACGAACGACTGAAGCGGCGAGAGAAGAGCCTCACTGCTGACGTGGAATACATCGAAACCATGCTGGCTCAGGAGAAAGGCGAGTCAGCAGCGCTGCGGCGTGAGCTGGCGGAGGTCAAGCAGCAGCGGAAAGATCTCGACAAGGAGCTCTCAGCTGCCCAGAAAGAATTATCCTCCCTCAGGCGATCAGCAGCAGTGGCGGAACGGCGGGCAGCAGCAGAGGAAGCAGACGCGGCGCTGCTGCGGCAGCAGCTGCAGAAGGCACAGGCGGCGGAGATGGGGCTACTAGAGCAGCTGCAGCTGGCGACGAAGGAGGCCATGGGGCTGCGCAAGACGCTGGTGTGGAGCCGGGAGACGCGTGAGGACGCGGAGGAGTGGGAGCGCGGGCTGCAGGGCACGCTGGCGGAGCAGGTGCAGCGCAATGGCGAGCTGGAGGTGAAGGGCGGCGAGATGATGACGCGGCTGCTGGTGCTGGAGAAGGAACTCGCAGAGGAGCAGCAAAGGCGTAGTGCTGCTGAATTTCAGGTGGGCGCTGGCTGGCGTGATCGAAATTGTTGTATATGAAGTATGTGTTTCGCCCTGGTTTGTCCTCCTCGATCCTGCCTCGTTGCACTTACCTCCCCCTGTTTTGTGCTCTTGACTGGCAGGCGCGGGATGCAGTGGCAGCAAAGGAGTTGCTGGAGGAAGAGGTGATGCTGTTGAGGCACACCCGAGGGGCAATGAAAGATGCGTTGTTACAAGGGGGGGGCGATTGTGGGGAGAGAAGGGCAAGCAGCAGAGCAGAGGACATGGTGCCAAGCGTTGGGAGTGTGAAGGTGGCGTCTTCTGATGGGCTCAAGATGGAGGTGCCTGCTCGAGTGTGGGACATTCTCGACCAGGTGACATCTCATGTGTTACCCTCCCTTCCCCCCTCCCCTACACGCCTCCTCATCCCCCCCCTGAGCTGTCCACAACCCACCCCCCCCCCACCACCACCTTTCACCGCACCACTCTCGTTTCCCCCCATGCAGCACCCCAGTTGGCTTCAACTCCTCCGGTATCTGGTCCTGTGCGCTCTCACAGACCATCATGTGTGCCTGCGTGCTGTGGGTGCAGGTGGAGGAGACCAAGGCAAGGGGCATGGCGGAGAGGGACGAGTTGACGCGCCTGCACTGGCTGACGGCCTGTGTGCGTGGCGAGCTGCACAAGGCCAGATTCGCTGCCATGCAAGCTGCTTCCTCCACCAACCCCTCTTCCACCACCAATGCCACCGCTGCTGCCATGAGCACCGCCTCTGCCGGCTCTTCCCCTGCTCCTCCTCTGGTGCCTGCTGCAGGCCTCGCCAAGCCACTGGGCAAGGCTGTCTCGAAGAAGCTATCGCTCGTGCTTGACTTGGATCAGCATGCTGCTGCCTCTGCCGCTGCAGCACCACCAGACCCCGCAGCTGACAGTGCTGCCTCAGCAGCCTCAGGTGCCTCAAGCACCACGTTTTCCACCACTGCCAGCACGCCCCGCACTCCCCCCCACTCCACCACCGCCGCCAGTGCATCCGCGTCTGCCTCAGCTGGCAGCAAGTTTGTGCGCTGGTTCTCCCACCGCTCCTCCGACAGACCAGCACATAGCAGCGCCGCCACCGGTGCTGCTGCAGGGCCGGCTGGCTCAATGGCTGCGTCAGCTGCAGTGGTAGCAGAAGAAGAGGGAAGTGCCTCTCCTCTGGCACCTGATTCAGTGCCTTGGGTGGCCACAGACGAGTCTGGGCCCTGCAATGAAACGCCCTCACTCCTGCCTGCCCAATCAGCTCCCTCCACTCCTGCTCCTGCTTCTGCTACGGCTGCCCCTGCTACTGCGGCTGCGGCTGCTACCACACCATCTGGCAGGTGAGACGCTTGTCGCTGATTCCAATCTGTGCAGGATTGGTACCCTGGCTTGTACCTCTTCGCTGTTGACTTCTCTTGAATCAGCCATATTACCTGTAGTGTTTCTCTGAGCGAAGAATCGTCCTACTTTCTCGCCCATCTAGTCATTGACCATCGCCCCCTTACCCCGCTTCCCCACCCCCTTCCCAAACCCCCATACGCAGGAAGCATCATTTGCTTTCCTTCAGGCGAATGACCTCCCACAAATGAGATGCTCTTTAAATTGGCGCACCATGTTGTCACGTCACCCTCTTCATGGTACCCACCACCAATCACTGTTGTGGTTACTGCATGTGTCCACTAGCAAGTGAATAGTAGTATCTGCTGGTTTTGTAAGTTATTATGGGTGTTCCTTGCTGAACGGCCAAATCAGCAAGACGGGCTTTGTAGTATCTCGGAGCTCAGGCAGTTGTGTCAATTTTGATTGTTTTTTACCGTATCGCTTCAGCTGGCTACACTGCAGGCTGTGGCACACCCTATGTTTTTTGCATTTATTTCAACTAGCGCACACTTACTATGGTATTCTTTTCTACCCTCGGCACAAACTACAATGCCACATCCAACCCCATCGTGTAGTGAGCTTCGCGAAACGGGATCTCTTCAACAACGAAGCGCGACTGTTCGCACGTTCCCCCCTTTCTGCTGTTTGGCGATGGATAGCTGGTCGTGTCTGATCGTCAAACGGCCAGAGCGATCCGGTGAAATCGCGTTTTCCTCCCATCAGTTTCTTGTACGACACCAAACTCCAAGGTCCGTGACTGTTTTCCGGAAGGAATTGAGTGTCACTCAGTTCGCGAAAGAGGGAAATTCCAGTGCGATGACAATTTACATCTGCCCAACGAATTGAGGTGTCGAGTCTCAAGCGACTCCACCGGCCGACAGACCGCGATTCGGAAAAACACGACCCGAGGATAAGCAAAATGCGCCAAACTGATTCCTGAATTTCGGCTCACCATCATCACCAATGGTCCCTCCCTGTCCCCGCCCACCCTCCACCTCCACAAATTCGCCCCTCTATCCCCCCCCTACCATCGCCTGCCTCTAGTGTTGCAAGCACCGTCGAGTGACATCACTTGTATCAGCCCAGCGACCGACCGGCACCAAAAGTGAACACACTGCATTGTTTCTTCGTAGAAATCCGGGGCTTGAATTTAGGGTCTGGTGCTGCCACTCGTAATTGTTTCCTTCTACCCTCGAAGCTCCGCGCTTTGGGCATTAGCTCCGTGTAGCGACGACTCACGTAATACCATCGAGTCAGGCATTCTCGCACGCCAAACATTCCTACGACGCGGGCGACCATTGCATGCTGCGTCGATCACACCGCTCGGACCAGCCTACAGCGTCGTATCTGCACGGCTTCTAGAAGGTGCCACCCGTGTAGCGTGCAGCGAGCATATGAGATTCGTATCCGCAATGGATTCGCGGCGTACACGGAGTCGCTTAATTCCGAGACCGTCTCATCTCCCCACCACCATGCTCTCGCTCCTTGTCCTCGTCGCCTCTTCCTCCCTTCTCCCCCTTCCGGCTCGGTCGTCGAGTGAACTCCTTCGGTCCCGTGCGAGCGACGAGTGGGCAGATGCCGCTGTGCGGTGGCTCATGCGACAAGCGAACAGCTCTGGCGACGGTATCGTACGTCGCTCACTAGCCGGGAAACGAGCAACAGCAGGTTGCGACTATCGACGAGGGAGGTAGGATCCGCGTGATGTTTCTGTCGCGCTTACTCTCCTCTTATCTCTCTCCCCTACCTTCCCGCACCCCGTTATCTCCCCCCACCCCGTTGACACCCCCCACCCCGTAATTTGCCCCCACTGCATCCCTTCCTTCTCCCACCTTTCGTCAATCTCCGCCCCTCGCTTCCTCCTGCCTTCCCCCCACTCTCCGATCCTGGCTGTTTTGAAGAGCCTCGTCCGGCCCCTCAGCATCTGGCTTTCTCCCCATAAATTTCTCCGCACCCATGTCAGGCACGCCGCAACCCACCGATGTGTCCTTATCCTCTCAAATCCCCCGCGCAACCCCCACCTGTCCCACTGTCCGCCCCTCCTTAACCGCTCTCCGCGCGCAGGTGGACGCCCACGTCCTCCATCCCCAACTACAAGCCGCCCTACGCCAGCGGCTGCTCCGCGGGATTCTCGTGTGACACTAACGGGCGCAACCCCGCCGGATACGTGTGGGTGCCCGCGCCGCCTTGCTCCTACGACCAATGGAGGTACGATTGATGGAGGAAACTTGCTCAACTCGCCCCGTGCTTCCTCCTCGCCCACTCCTTCGCCGTCCTCTCGCTCACTAGACTGTCTGTGTTGAGAAGCACACCCCGTCGACGTGCTTCCCGGCTCCCTCCCGTGCGTCAGATTCAATCCCAAGACGTTTCTCGAGACCATGCGGAACAAGGTCGTCGCGTTTGTGGGTGACTCGCTAAGCGACAACCTGCACGCGTCCGTCCACTGCATCCTCTCCGCATACACAAAAATTGAGGTGCGCGTTCGCGAACGTCGGAAGTGAATCCCCTCGTCAGAGCAAGAATCGGCCGCATTATCCCCGTTTCAACGAATCACTAGCGATCCGATCCTGAGTAGACTGAATTCGGAATTAAGCCCCGTTGCGTATGCGCCCTCGCCCCCATCCTCGTGGGCCCAAGCCAACCCCACGAACCCACTCCACCCCCATCCAACCCCATCCAACCCCCGCCATCCCCCCGCCATCCCCCCGCCATCCCCACCACCAGTTCAAGAAGTCGTGGCTAGGTGGCGCGAGGCCGGTGGGGTCGCTGCACGCGGCGCAGTACAACTTCACGCTGCTCTCCATCAACAGCGGCTACATCGTGCAGAGCCCCCGATACGTGAGTCGCGCGCCACGTGAGTTGGCCCCCATTTGCGAGTCAGAGCCCCATCGGCGAATCCATCTTCTCTTGAGCACACCTCCCTCCCTGACGTATCTTCTCCCTCTCCACCTTCCCCCTCCCTGCTGCCCCCTTCCCTGCTTCCTTCTCCGTGCCTCACCCCTCCGTTCTCCCCCCCCCACCATGCGTTCCCCCTCCATTCTTCTCCCCCGTGCTTTCTTCCTCCGTGCTTCCCCCCTGGCTGCTTTCGCCTTCCTGTTCTTCCCCTCCTGCTCACCGTGTGCCTGTTTTCTCTTGGCCACTTCCCCTCTGGCCGCTTCTCCCCGGGCGGCAGTACAAGGACCAGACGCAGCCGTACGTGGTGAATCCCAAGTGGGCGGGCATCCTGCCCTACACGCACTCTATCATTTTCAGCGCTGGCCATTGGTTCTTCCACCCGGTACGCCCCATGCTCTCTGGTTCTTCCACCCGGTACGCCCCATGCTCTCTGGTTCTTCCACCCGGTATGCCCCATGCTCTCTGCTTTCCCCATTCGGTATGCCCCATGCTCTCGCTTCCCCCATTCGGTATGCCCTACGCTCTCTGTTTCCCCCATTCGGTATGCCCCACGCTCTCTGTTTCCCCCATTCAAAAAGTGACGCCTGTAAGCGCAGCGTGATCCCACTCGTTCTCCCTTCGCATCTCCTTCCACTCATTCATCCCATCTACCTCACCCTATCCCATCCCATTGTGGGATTCCATTCCACTTATATCATGACTCACCAATCCCATCCATCCCACTCTGTTCCCTTCCATACCCTGCTCTCAGCCGAGCTCAAAGCTCGGTTCCAACCCCAATTGGCAGCCCATGGGGGCATACCGCAAGGCCATGGGCGTCCTATATGACTACTTTGAGAAAACACCCTACAGTGGCCTCCCCATATTCATGACCTTTTCCCCCATTCATGCCGGGAATGCATGCGCCACCGCCAATGCCCCTTTTGCCAACGAGACCGACGGCGTTGTGCATCTCAATGGCTACACCATGCCAGCTATGAAAAAGCAAGTGTCGATTTTCAAGCGATCGAAGAAGATCCGGGTTGCGCAGATCACTTATATGAGCGCTATGCGCCCCGATGCGCACTTGCGAAATAAGAGAAAGGACTGCAGCCACTGGTGCTTGCCAGGGGTCCCTGATGCATGGGCTGATGTGGTTTACAACATGATGATGAATTATTACTAGTATGTGAGTTAGCTGGCAGGGGGTGGAAGTGTTGTGAAGATTGTGGGGAGTTTGTGGGGATGTTTGTGATACAAGTCCAGTAGCCAATAGCTGCAAGGACGTTAGGAATGGAGTTTGCAATAAATATTGAGTTTTGCCCCTTTTAGGATCAAAGAATGTATGAAATTGCACAAAACTTGCTATATTTCGCGGAACTATTGCTGCAACCGGAACAATCTGTCCTTGCGATCTGCAATCCTGTCCCGACCCGAAGTGACAGAAGTAGCTCCGCTGAATTTCGATCGACTTTTTGGTACAAATCTAGACTGGCTCGGTAGATACGAAACGAGACTGGCATGTTCTCGCACCATTAGGCCTCCTTCCCCGTTTTTTCGCCACTGCTGCCGCCGCAGTAGCAATGGCGCGCAAAGAGCGGGCGAGTGCGTCCTCGGCTTTAGCTGACGTGGCGTGGATGGCGGGCGTGGCGACGTGCGTGAAGCTGCTGCTGGTGCCGGCGTATCGCAGCACGGACTTCGAGGTGCACCGCAATTGGCTCGCCATCACGCACTCGCTGCCGATCTCGCAGGTGCGCGCGTCGGAGTCGTCGGAATTGTCGGAGTCGTCGGAGTCGTCGGAATCCATGCGACTCATTCCGAAGTTTAGGTGCCGCGCGTCAGGTGCCGCTTTCGCCAACTCTATAATCCAGCAACCCATTCCGCGAACTGTGCTTCCGATCGAGGAATCTCACCTCCCAGTTGAATCACGACCAGATTTAAAGGTTCAAATGCTCCACGCGTCACCAGGCTTAGAAAGCTCCGTTCCTTCGTTCCCCGGACACACACTCTGATCACCCAAATCCGCTCCTTCAACTCTCCCCGGCTCTCACGAGCCCCTTTCTCCTTCGGTTCCCTTGTAAATTTCTCTCCTTGTTCTGTTACAATCGGTGGCAGTGGTACGTGGACGCGACGAGCCCATGGACGTTGGACTACCCGCCGCTCTTCGCCTTCTTCGAGCGCTGCCTCGCGCTGCTCGCGTGCCGCGTCGACCCGCTCATGACCCACCTCGTTAACGGCCTCGAGCACGCCAGCTACGCCACCGTGCTGTTCCAGGTGTGCAGTGCCACACCCCGTGTCATCACATTGTTGTTTCAAGGCACACCCAAACGTCACGTCACAACATGCAATACATCTCATGAGACAAAATCCAACCTGATGCATCTCACAATCTCCAAACCAATCCTCCCGAACGTTCCCCCCAGCGCGTGTCAGTGATGGGCACGGACTGCCTGCTGGCCGTGGCAGCGTGGCGCTGCACGCACGGCCTGCCCTCGCGGGCGCACCGCAACGTGGCAGCGGGGGCGGTGATGCTGTCAGCGGGGCTGCTGCTGGTGGATCACATGCACTTCCAGTACAATGGCATGCTGCTCGCCCTCATGCTGCTCTCCCTCTCGCTCCTCGCTGTGAGTCCCTCACGTCATGACTCTGTGTGGGTTGATTCTGAGAATTCTCATAATCAAACCACAACAGAAAGGGGTGGGGCGGTGGTGTTATCAGCAGGGCTGCTGCTGGTGAATCACATGCACTTCCAGTACAATGGCATGCTGCTCGCTCTGCTGCTGCTCTCGCTCTCCCTTCTCGCTGTACGTCTCCCACATCATGGCTCCGCATCATGAGCCGCTGCCGCTGCTGCTTTCACTCGATCAGTAGATCGTTACTCACGGATGCTTGATGTAACTTTCCTGCACTCATGGCTCCGTGTATCGCGTGGCATTGCAGGAAGGCCGGCACGTGTGGGCGTCACTCACCTTTGCATGTCTCTGCTGCTTCAAGCACCTCTTTGCCGTCGCTGGTCCCTTCTTCCTCATCTTCCTCCTCCGCCACCACTGCTTCCCTCCTCCTCCCGCCGCCGCCGCACCGCACACCACCGCACGCAACAGCTCCAAACCGTCCAGACGCATTTCCTCTGGCGCAAAACAGCAACCTGCTTCAGCCTCGGCGACAGGCAGCTCCATCTCCCTCCTCGCCTCGCTCACCCGTATAGTCACACTGGGCGCAGTGGTCCTCACGGTGCTGCTCGTCTCCTTCGCCCCCTTCATAGTCACAAAGCAGATGCCCAACCTGCTCGCCCGTCTGTTCCCCTTCGGTCGTGGCCTCATGCACGCGTACTGGGCGCCCAACTTCTGGGCTCTCTACACCCTCGCAGACAAGCTCCTCGCTGCTGCAGCTTCGGCAGCAGGCTCGTTCACAGGCTCGGCAGGAGGTCCGGGAGTGGGAGGGAAGGGCGGGTGGACCCGGGGGTTGGTGGGCGATGCAGTGGGGTTCAGTGTGGTGCCACAGGTGACGCCGCTGGCGTCGCTGCTGCTGGTGCTGACTGCCATGGCCCCCGTGCTGCTGCATATATGGCTCCGACCCTTCGCCTACATCTGTAGTGATGACACTGATGCTGCTGATAGGGATGGTGCAGACAGTAATGGTGGTGAGGGAGATGGTGGCAACAAGGGTGGGAGGGAGGGTAGGGGGAGTGAGCTCTATGGCATGCCCACAGCGGAGAGGCGGCGGTGGAGCATACAGGCCATAGCAGCGGCGCTGGCGCATGTGTTTCTGAGTGCGTTCCTGCTGGGCTGGCACGTGCATGAGAAGGCGGTGCTGCACTTCCTGCTGCCGCTCGCCCTCCTCGCCTCCTCCTCCCCCGCATGGGCCTCTGAGTTCCTCATTCTCGCCACCTGTGAGTGCATGATCATAGCCCTTCCGTTCCTCTCTCACATTTCAGCCCGTCGTGATCTCTCTCACCCACTTCCGCTCTTGCCTTCCTTTGCCTGGCGTGGCCTTGCCATGCCTGTCTTGACGTGCCTGTCCTTGCCCTGCCTGGGTGTGCCGTGCCTCTGTCCTCTCGCCCATCTCTATGTTGTGTGTCTGCCTGCCATCCTCACTCTTATCCCCTCGCTGCCCCCTGCAACCTCCCCCATCCCTCCAGTGTCACACTACGCTCTCCTCCCCCTCCTCTTCACACTCCCCGAGTACCCAATCAAGATCCTCCTCCTCTCACTCTTCTCCCTCGCCCTCCTCCTCTCCTCCCTCCGCCTCTTCTCCCCCACTCTCAACCGCCAACCCACTACCTCAACGCACCAACCACCACCTCATAAAATCTCTTCAGATCTACGGCTCCCCAAGTTGCAGTATCCATCTTGGTTGCACAGGTTACGAGTGGTACATGCTCTGGGTGTTTTACCCTTGGAAATGCTGTGCCAGCTGCTGTACCACCACCCACGGCTGCATGCGCGCTTCCCTTTCCTCCCGCTGCTCCTCACTTCTGTGTACTGTGCACTGGGCATCACTGTAGCCTGGACTGTACAGTTGTATGCTATTGTCAGTTCATGACCCCTTATATTGTCCACATCATTTTGCAGTCTAATTTGCACGCTTTCATTGTACATTTCAATAATCTCCTTTGCATTGCAGGGTGTAATTGCATGCGAAGTGAGCACGAGCGTGATCACGAGCATCGTGATCAGGAGCATCGTGATCAGGAGCATCGTGATCACGAGCATCGTGATCAGGAGCATCGTGATCAGGAGCATCGTGATCACGAGCATCGTGATCAGGAGCATCGTGATCACGAGCATCGTGATCAGGAGCATCGTGATCACGAGCATCGTGATCAGGAGCATCGTGATCAGGAGCATCGCGATCAGGAGCATCGCGATCAGGAGCATCGTGATCAGGAGCATCGCGATCACGAGCATCGTGATCAGGAGCATCGTGATCAGGAGCATCGTGATCAGGAGCATCGGGATCAGGAGCATCGCGATCAGGAGCATCGCGATCAGGAGCATCGCGATCAGGAGCATCGCGATCACGAGCATCGTGATCAGGAGCATCGTGATCAGGAGCATCGTGATCAGGAGCATCGTGATCAGGAGCATCGTGATCAGGAGCATCGTGATCAGGAGCATCGTGATCAGGAGCATCGTGATCACGAGCATCGTGATCACGAGCATCGTGATCACGAGCATCGTGATCAGGAGCATCGTGATCAGGAGCATCGTGATCAGGAGCATCGTGATCAGGAGCATCGTGATCAGGAGCATCGTGATCAGGAGCATCGTGATCACGAGCATCGTGATCAGGAGCATCGTGATCACGAGCATGGTGTCAAATGTTGAACATTGATATGATAGGCTATAGTGAGTTGCACTCTAGGGGGTACAGCTTCTAGGGTTGCTCATTTGTACCCCATTCGTTTCTATTCCAACGATTCCGTTGTTCGCTAAATTTGAGATTGTATCAGAGGTCTGGGGCCCTGCCCCGACGCAGGGGTCTGGGAGGGAGCGCTACTTTCTGGTGGTCGTCGACGACTTCTCCAGGTACACCACAGTGTTTCCTCTTGCGAAGAAGTCCGAGGTGACTGCTACGCTGATCAGGTGGCTTCTAGCCACTGAGGGCACTCGTGGTCGTCGAGTCAGTTGTCTTCACTCCGACCGTGGGGGCGAGTTTCGCTCCGGCATTCTCGGCGGATTCTGCGGCGAACAGGGCATCACCCAGTCCTGGACGCTGCCAGAGTCCCCACAGCAGAATGGGGTTGCTAAGCGCCGCATAGGCTTGGTCATGGACATCGCCCGCACGTCCATGATTCATGCCCGTGCGCCCCATTTTCTGTGGCCTCACGCGGTTCGCTACGCCGCACACCAGCTGAACCTCCAGCCGCGTGTCTCGCGGCCCGAGGCTTCACCGACCAGTCTCTGGACTGGATCCCCTGGTGTTGGGTCGGCCTTTCGAGTCTGGGGCTGCCTTGCACTTGTTCGCGACACCTCCGCGGACAAGCTCTCGGCACGCGCCGTCCCCTGTGTCTTCCTTGGTTTCCCAGTGGACTCTGCTGACTGGCCCTTTTACCACCCTCCCCTCCACCAGTTCCTAGATTCCCGTGACGTCCGGTTTGACGAGTCCGTGTCCTACTACACCCGGTACCCCTGTCGAGGTCTCCCGGTACCCCCTCCCCCTCTCTTCCTCGCACCCTCTCCTCCTCCTGCTCCCGCTCCTCCGGTACCCCCGCCCCCCCCTGGTCCTGCCCCGTCTGGTGTGTCCCACGCTACCCCTCTCCCCTCGGTCGCGCGTCAGGTAGCGTCTCCCTCCCCGCAGTCCTCCTCACAGTCCCCTCAGCAGCCTTCGGCACTTCCGCGACAGGTTACTGTAGACTCGGTTGGTGTTGGAGCTGGAGGTGCAGCCGCTGGCGGTGCTCGGTCTGGGGGTGCTCGGTCGCGGGGTACTGGAGCTGGAGGTGCTGGCGCAGGTGACGCTAGCTCTGGGGGTGCTGGAACTGGAGGTGCTGGCGCAGGTGGCGCTAGCTCTGGGGGTGCTGGAGCTGGAGGTGCCGGCACTGGAGGTGCTGGTTCTGGGGGTGCTGGAGTTGGGGGTGCTGGCACTAGCGGTGCTAGTTCTGGGGGTGCTGGAGTTGGAGGTCCTAGCACTGGCGGTACTGGTTCTGGGGGTGCTGAGTCTGAGGAGACTGACGCTGGAGACCCTGGTTCTGCGGAGTCCACCCCGCCCCCCCACCGCCACGACACGCGTCTCCAGGCTGCCCGTCGGCGTGAGCGTGAGGAGCAGGAGCGGTTGGAGAGGGAGCGGCAGGAGCTGCGGGTGCTGGACCTTCTGGAGCAGCAGCGGCAGCAGCAGCAGCAGCAGCAGCAGCAGCAGCAGCAGCAGCAGCAGCAGCAGCAGCAGCAGCAGCAGCAGCAGCAGCCGCAGCCGCAGCCGCAGCCAGCCACAGCCGCAGCAGCAGCAGCAGCCGCAGCCGCAGCCGCAGCGGCCGCAGCCGCCACCGCAGCTTCCTCTAGAGCGGCGGTTGTTCCCACCTGTGAGTGGCTTGCGGGCCCTTGGCCTTTCCTCCTCTCCTCCTGTCCGCTCCCAGTCTCCTCCTGTGTTTGTTCCTCCGTTGCCTCCTCCTGACGACCGTCCGGCGGTCTGGTCTTCTCCTCCTCCTCAGTCTCCTCCTCCCTCTGTCCGTCGCGACTTGATCACTCGTTGTCCTCCGCGTGCTTGTCACTCGTCCCCTGTTACTGACCTCCACACTGCCCTCCTTTGTTCGTCTCGTCGTCGTTCTCCTTCTCCTGTGTCCGTTCTCCCGTCTCCTCCTCCGTCCTCTCTACCTGCCCTCCCCACTCCTATCTCTGACTACTACCGCGCTGTTCGTCCTGTTGCCGCACGTGTCCTCACCACTCTTGTCACCGACCCTCGTTTCCCTCCGTCGTCTGTCTCGGCTCTCACTGCCGCTGTCGCTGAGTTTGCTGCCGCCAGCCGCCTTGACTACGCCACCCGTGTGGTGCCAGCTCCTCCCTACCGTCCTCTGTCCGTCGGGGGTGGGTTTGCCCTTGGCTGTGACGTCCTAGAGGACAGAGAGTCTGAGCTGGAGTACTGGGCAGCCGCTTCTCCCTCTGTGTGTGCCATGCTGCTCTCCCCTGAGGGAGACCCCGACGCCCTTGACATACCGACTCCTCGCACTTACCGCGAGGCAGTGTCAGGGGCGTGGGCCTCTCAGTGGAAAGCGGCTATGGACTCAGAGTTGGCGTCTTGGAGATCCACAGGCACCTACGTCGACGCAGTTCCCCCTCCCAGGGCGAACGTAGTCGATGGCATGTGGCTCTTCAAGGTGAAGCGGCCGCCTGGAGCACCGCCGGTGTTCAAGGCGCGCTACGTGGCTAGGGGTTTCAGTCAGCGTGAGGGAGTTGACTTCTTCCAGACCTTCGCCCCGACCCCGAAGATGACTACTCTTCGGGTGTTACTCCACATAGCAGCGCAGCGAGACTACGAGCTGCACTCCCTCGACTTCTCCACTGCGTTCCTCCAGGGCCGACTGCACGAGGAGATCTGGCTGCGCCGTCCTCCTGGCTTCACTGACACCTTCCCACTTGGGACCCAGTGGAGCCTGAGGCGACCAGTCTACGGTCTCCGCCAGTCGCCCCGTGAGTGGCACGACACTCTTCGCTCCACGCTTTGTGACCTTGGGTTCAGCCCGTCCTCCGCCGACCCGTCGCTGTTTGTTCGAGCGGGTTCTACTCCTTTCTTTATCCTTGTCTACGTCGACGACTTGGTGTTTGCTACAGCAGACAGAGCAGCCCTGGCTCAGGTGAAGTCCGAACTGCAGAAGAGACACAAGTGCACTGACCTGGGTGAGGTGCAGCGCTACCTTGGCCTACAGATCACCCGGGACAGAGCCGCTCGCACCATCACACTGACTCAGTCACACATGGTGCAGCAGGTCCTTCGGCGGTTCCACTTCCAGTTCTCCACCACACAGCCCACTCCTCTTGCTGTTGACCACAGACTCACGGGCCCCTTTCCTGACGAGCCCTTTGAGTCCAGTGGACCCTACGCAGAGCTGGTGGGCTGCCTCATGTACCTGATGACTTGTACTCGACCGGACCTCGCCTTTCCACTCAGCATCCTTTCTCGCTTTGTTGCGACTGGGAGACACCGCCCTGTCCACTGGACAGCTGCTGTGAGGGTGGCGAAGTACCTGGCGACTACATCAGGCTTGGGGCTTGTGCTTGGAGGGACTCAGCCAGTGGCGTTGACTGGTCACTGCGACTCTTCCTACGCTGACGACGTGGAGACTCAGCGTTCGACTCAGGGTTACTGCTTCAGTCTGGGAGCTGGTGCTGCGTCGTGGAGGTCTACACGGTCGTCGTCTGTGGCTACTTCCAGTGCAGAGGCAGAGATCTACGCTGGTGCCATGGCGGCACAGGAGCTTCGCTGGTTGACCTTCTTGCTCGCTGACCTTGGTGAGCGGCCTCGCTCTGCACCGACCTTGTACGCTGACAACAAGGCCATGATCCTCCTGTGTCGAGAGCCTCGACTGGAGAGCAGAGTGAAGCATATTGACGTGAGGTACTTCCTCCTGCGAGAGCTGCAGCGACGCGGTCAGGCACGCTTGGACTTTGTGGCCTCAGAGGCCAACACTGCAGACGTCTTCACCAAGGCCTTGGCGCTTGGTGACCACCACAGGTTCTGTGTGCAGTTGGGGCTTGTTGAGGTAGGCCCTCGGTTGGTGTAGTCCTGTTGCTTGCTCTGCTTGTTGTGCTTTGTATTTATATCCTAGTGAACTCTTGAACTGGCCTTGTGGCCGCTTGCTTGCGCTCGGAATTTGTGTGGTGTCCTTGAGATCCACCCTGAGCTTGCCTTGGTTCTTGGTTTGACTGGTCTTGTGACCGTTTGTTCTCCTTGCTTGCTTTGATGCCCCTCACTTAGCCTATGGGGGTGTGTCAAATGTTGAACATTGATATGATAGGCTATAGTGAGTTGCACTCTAGGGGGTACAGCTTCTAGGGTTGCTCATTTGTACCCCATTCGTTTCTATTCCAACGATTCCGTTGTTCGCTAACTTTGAGACATGGTGATCAGGAGCATCGTGATCAGGAGCATCGTGATCAGGAGCATCGTGATAACGAGCATCGTGATCACCAGCATCGTGATCAGGAGCATCGTGATCAGGAGCATCGTGATCAGGAGAATCGTGATCAGGAGCATCGTGATCAGGAGCATCGTGATCACGAGAATCGTGATCACGAGCATCGTGATCAGGAGCATCGTGATCACGAGCATCGTGATCACGAGCATCGTGATCAGGAGCATCGTAATCACGAGCATCGTGATCACGAGCATCGTGATCAGGAGCATCGTGATCAGGAGCATCGTGATCACGAGCATCGTGATCAGGAGAATCGTGATCAGGAGCATCGTGATCAGGAGCATCGTGATCACGAGCATCGTGATCACGAGCATCGTGATCACGAGCATCGTGATCAGGAGCATCGTGATCACGAGTATCGTGATCAGGAGCATCGTGATCAGGAGCATCGTGATCAGGAGCATCGTGATCACGAGCATCGTGATCAGGAGCATCGTGATCAGGAGAATCGTGATCAGGAGCATTGTGAGCGCACATCGTGAGCACGAGCACCGCGAGGAAGAGCATCCTGAGGAGGAGCATCGTGAGCAAATATGCATTCACTAGAATATACGGTAATAGCCACAATGCGGAAAACTGAATCCATTTTCCTTCTCGTCTTCTACCACCGTTAGACACATACATGACTACTATACACTAAATCTACACCACACAACTACACTTTCCGTATCCGTCTGGCAATCTTCTCGAGCAGTTTGTGCACCACTCTGGGGTCCTTGACCTTGGGCTTGCCGCCCTTCTTGCCATCCGCCTTGCGCCCGTCCGAGAAGAGCAGATAGTAGTCCAGCTGGCACGCGTCCGCCAGGTGGTGGAAGGTCGGATCCGCCTCCTCCTCTGGCCGGATCTCCACCACCGCCCCTCCTGAAATAAAGGGAGGGGGAGGTTGCAGATTGGGGAGAGAAGGGGAGGGGAGTGAAAACATATTACCCAACGTGAACTCTACATAATTCAGAATCGCACTCACAGCAGCCAGGAGCAAGCAGCAAACAACTTATTGTAACAAATCAGTCCCCTCGCCTAGTACTCACCAGCGGGCATGAAGACCATGTCAGCCAGCACGTTATCATGCGCCGCCACCAGCAGTCTCGCTCTGTTAAACAGCTCCTTGCGCTTGCCAAAGGGCAGCGACCCGTCCCGGTACGTGACAATGCGGTCCTGCGGCAGCCACTTGAGCAGCTGCTGCGTGAGCTTGAGCGTCTGCACCAGCGGCTTCCACTCGTCGCGCATCGCCACCACTACGATCCACTCGCTGCCCGCTGATAGGTCCTCGCCCTTGCGCCTCCGGTACGTTGGCTTGAACTCTGCCAAGAGGGGGGAGGCGGCGAGTGGAGGAGGGGGGAGGAGGGAATGTGGGTATCAGAGAGTATGGAGAACCGTGGGGCTGAGGTCTGGGGATGGTGGGAGGGGAGATGTGAAGGCGTGGCAGCAGATGGCACGGCAGCAGATGGCATGGCAGCGCATCACAGCAATGCGTGGGGTGGAGGAGCCGGTGAGAGGGAGTAGGGGGGCGTACCGTGGCGGTAGATGGGGAGGCCGGGCTTGGGCAGCAGGTTGCGGTGGCGCAGGTACGACCACATGGCCCTGCTGGGCCGCCCACACCGCTGCTTTAGTGGCTGCGCGCACACAAGGGCAGAGAAAGAGGATAACGGAGTATGCAGTGAGCACAGGGGTGGCGGGGGAAAATGCGGTGCTCTGAGGTGCTTTTTAGGGTGCACTGAGGTGTTCCAAGGTGCTCTGAGGTGCTGTGAGGTGTTCTAAGGTGCCCTGAGGTGCCCTGAGGTGCCCTGAGGTGCCCTGAGGTGCCCTGAGGTGCTCTGAGGTGCCCTGAGGTGCTCTGAGGTGCCCTGAGGTGCTCTGAGGTGCTCTGAGGTGCTCTGAGGTGCTCTGAGGTGCTCTGAGGTGCCCTGAGGTGCTCTGAGGTGCTCTGAGGTGCTCTGAGGTGCTCTGAGGTGCCCTGAGGTGCTCTGAGTTGCTCTACTCTGCTCCACAGGGCGGCACTCACGAGAATGAGGCGGTGAGCAAAGAACAGCTCGCCCTCTTTGAGAATCTGAGGGTTCATTCTCTCCAGCCGCACCCCCACCAGCTCCCAGTGCCCCAGCCCCGTCGCCTGCTCCATCTGGTTCTTCACATGCCGGTCCCGCAACCCCAGCGCCACCGGCACTCCCTCCCCCTTGAGCAGTGGCAGCACCGTGTCGAGAGTCACTATGGACGGCACCAGGTCTAGCATGTAGGCTCGCGCGGACCACCCGAACCAGTCGACGAGGGAGATGAGGGAGGGGAAGGAGGAGACTTGGGTGTTGCCGGGGGTGTAGTGGAAGGGTGAGTCGGCGGCGCAGGCGTTGTGGTCAAAGAGGTGTGTGGCGTTGAACACCTGCCCCGCCACGTTGATGTACACGTTGTGTAGCAGCAGCACCTGGTGGGGGTGCCAGTGAAAAGGGACATGTGGGGAATGGGTGAGAAGAAGTGGGAGGGGTTAGTTGCGGCTGTGTGGCGTTGAACACCTGGCCCGCTACTCCTACACGTTGTGCAGGAGTAGCACCTGGGAGGGGGCGCAGGTGTGGGAAGGGAGATTGGGGGGAGAAGGGGAGGGGAAGGAGCAGATACAGGTGTGTGGCATTTGAACACCTGACCTGCCACGTTCACATACACGTTGTGCAAGAGCTCCACCTGGTGGGGTGAGGGGAAAGAGGGGAAGAGGGAGGGGTTAGGTGCGGTTGCTCGGAGTGTGGAGGTTGGGAGGGATGGGGAGAGGGCACGAGGGTAACGAGCTGCAGATATGTGCGGTTGAGCGGCCAGGCGCCTATGGGGGGGCAGGGGGGGCGAAAGGACGTACAGACGTACACGTTGTATGAATAGAGTGGCTGGGTTGTGCAGGTGGTTGGGAGGGAGGAGGGGCGGGTGAAGGGAGGGTGCGGATGGTAGGTAGAGAGGCGAGTGCACAAGGCTCCCTGGCCGGCCCGTTGACGCAACACATAGTGTGGCTCTAGCCCCTCGCACCACGTTGGGCAGCGAGTTAGGGTGGGGGTTGAGAAATGGGGACAAGGGATTGGTGGAGGAGGGGGACAGGGCACAAGGGAGTGTGGGAGCGGCAGATAGAGAGCGCAAGGATGGGGAGAGGGGGATGGGTTTGGTGGGGGTGAGATACATTTATCTATAACTGATCCCTGGGTGGTTCTGAAACCAGACTGACCCCTAGATCCTCAATAGTGAGGCAATCCCTGAGCCCGCCCTGAACCCTGTACCCTGAATCAAGGTTTCTCTGCCACTCACCTCTCCGTTCCTCCAGTTAAATCGAAAGACCACTAGCCCGCCCGACCACAGTTCAGCACATTTGTTGTTGTATAGGCTGTTGTGTGTTCTCATGGAGTGTCTGACTTGTTCAATGGCATTGACTGGATTCACATCGTCGATTGATTCATCTGTATTGTCTAACTTGCCTCTCTCAGGCCTCCCTGCTTCAAACCCAGGACAACTCCCCCCCCCCCCCCCTCCCCTCCCCCCCACCTCCCCCTCCTCCCCCCCCCCCACCAATTTCTCTTTTCCACCCCCCAGTCCTTCACCCGGGACGCACCTGCGCGGACCACGGCTCGTGGGGCTGCTTGTCGGCTTCCTGCATGCACCCGGCGTCCGTCGCATTCGCGCAATTCGCCGGTAGCGACGCTGGCGAACGTAACACGTCTTCGATCGGGCTTCGCCAGCACGACGCGATGCCCGGGAAGCCCTCGTAACCGTACTCGAACGTCGGGCACTCCGAACCGCGACTCGCCTCGAAAGGCGGATCGACCTTCCCCGGGTTGTTTTCCTGGAACCGCGTCGCGTCTAAGTACACCCGCTGCAGGTTCTTCTTATCGATGTTAACCTTTAGCACTTTGCGCTTCGGCTTCGCTATTGTCAGATCCGGATACTTGCCGTTGAGCGGCGCCCACCGCGCTAAAGGCGCTTTCACTCGTCGCTTTTTCCGTTTCGTCGTTGCGGGTTTCGTTACAGCGGCGGGTTGCGTCACGCTGACGATCACGTTAGCGGCAGGTCGCGGCTTCTCGATGATCGCGTCTGACTTCTTATCTCCCGTTGACAACCCATCGCCCCGCAAACCCGCAGATTTGACAAGCGGTGCATCGTCTGCTGATCTACGCGCCGCACTCCGCGCCTCATTCCTCGTCGCATCTTCCATCGCGTCGGCCGCCGCCTTGCCCTGCTCGCTGGTGGTTTCTTGCGTGTTCTGCGCCGCAGTCAACGCTCCCAAGTCCTCTGAATCTACCGTCCCCGCAAGATCCGCTTCCTCCCCCTGCCCGTCCGTTCCTGATAGCGATATTTGCGGCACCGGTTCCTCGTTGGCCAACGGATCGCTCGCAAATACATCTATAGATGTCGCCCCCGCGGCTCCCGTACCAAGGAGGTCTCTAACGAGTGGCTTGTCCCCGCCGCCGGCTATTTTCGCGCGTCGACTGAGGGCGTTTAACGACGACGCGATGGCTTCGGAGCGCGAGGAGAGGATCCAGAAGAGGACGGCGGCGGCGAGGAAGAGCAGCATGAAGCGCATGCAGCTGCCGCCGCCCACGCTCGCCACCGTGCTCGGCTTCCGCTGCACCCTCTGCGGCGCTCGCCGCTTCGGCTTCATGCTGCCGTGCCGGATCAATGGCTCGGATTGAACGAATGGAAAACCAGCAAACTAATTTGCAGGTCTTGATGTCGATAGTATTGAATGGTTGAGAGCTGGGCGCTCCAATTGCAACTACGGGTGATGTTGATGGATGTTGGGCGGACAAGCATACAGAACTATCAACAAAGGATGACGGATTTGAAATGTGTAGCGACGATTACTTGGAATCTTGAAGAATTTGAATCTACGGCATGGCTGCCTCTCGCTGGTTTTCACATGTCCCGGCCACCTGACCAGCTGGGCCAATGATGTGCCTTTCCCTCAACGACTTTCGACCACCAATCATACGAATTCCTTGCCTGTGCCCTTGGTTCGGCCTTGATTTGATAAACTGGTTTGGCTTTGGTTGGCCTGTTCATTCTGGTCAGGTTTCAGCTGATGTGCCGCAAGGCAGCCTGCAAGGAGGCTGTGCAGTGTGGTATGGAGCGCAGGTTCGGTACGAAGTGGCCTTCAGGGGGGGGCTTGGGCAGGTGGAACCGATTCTCCTGTCAATAACGCATGAATCACAGGTGTGTGTGCTGTGCAGGTGCCGCAGGTGCCCATGCCGACCAGCGAGGCGCGGAAAATTATAGCCACGTGGAAGATCTGGGAGAAATTTATTGGCTGCACAGAAACCACCTAGGAATGTCTTCGTTATCGTTTACAGCTGTTTTTTCCTTTTGGTGCTACTCCGTTCCGCTACGATGCCATTGTACGTTTACAGCTGCGTTTGTGAATGGAGGCGATATTGGTTACCAACGTCGCTTGAGACGCTGCCGCGACAGTCAAGACGAACCGCCGCCGTCATCTCATCGCGCGTCGCTACATTGGTTGGACCAGAAAGTAAACCCGTGTCGCGTGTTTTTTCGTTTCGTTTTCTCCATGCCTGGAGCGCTCTTCGCTATGCGTTCATTCGGGTTGGCATTGACACTTGAACTAGACTTTTCCTAGCTGAGGCCTCTTGGAAACAGGTGCATATAGCGACCTTGTAACGAATAAGGGCCGCAATAACCATAACGACATGGCGGGCTAATAGCGCAGCCAGGGCTCGCCTTATCGAAGCCAGTGGTAGGGATGGTTCGTCGAAGCGTCGCAGGGCAGTCGCTAAGCGTCGCTCTCTTCGTCGCATTATCGGTCGTTCAGCCCATCCCGGCGGGCGTCGCGGTGAGCCCGCTAGGCCTCTCCACCATTCAGCGCCACTCGCGGCTGGTCGCGCGCTCGCGGTCGCATGGCGGATGCAACTACCTGAAGGGAAGGTACAACCGGACAGGGTCTGCCTCGGGAAATGGCGGAGAATGAGTCGAGTCACCTTGAGCGCAGGAAGCCAAGGTTGTGGCGTTAGCGGTAGCTTTGCGTGCGGGAGGAATGTTGTGAGGCAGATCGAGCCGGTAGCACGGCCACGAGGTCCGAATATATCCAGTGGAAATACATCGAGGGACCTTGTTGTGGGTTACCCGAGGTATCCTGCATTGGGGGCGAATTGGGTCCAATCGCAATTTTTTAGATTGGACCCAATTCGCCCCCAATGCAGAGATGGTAGAGCAACCTTGTTAGGACCCAATTCGCCCCCAATGCAGAGATGGTAGAGCAACCTTGTTAGGACCCAATTCGCCCCTAATGCAGAGATGGTAGAGCAACCTTGTTAGGACCCAATTCGCCCCCAGTTTGGGCGAATTGGGAACAATCGAGGTAGAGCAACCTTGTTAGGAACCCCACATTGTCGCTGGTGATGCTTTATCTTCCCTGCGTACATAAAATACCCTGCCTTGGTGCACCTTCAATGCACGCTTGGCCCTGGTGGTCCTTGTTCATTCTCCCTGACCCTGTTTGGCCTCCTTGTTGACTCCCGTTGACTCTGTTTGACCGCAGCTGGGTGGACACGTCAACCATACCGGGCTACAGGCCGCCCTACAGCGCCAGCTGCTCCCAGTTCAGCTGTGATGGCGTGGCCGACGGGCGCCAGAGCCCCGCTAGTTTCGTGTGGCAGCCCTTCCCGCCCTGCTCCTACCAGCTCTGGCGGTACGGCATCGCACCCCTGCCTGCTCTCCTGTTCCTGGCTGTGCTCGTCCCCTCTCCATTCCAACGTACACATACTATGCGCTGTTAACCCCCCCGCGTCTCTCTTTACGCTCACGCCCACACCTCCTCAACTCCTGTTTCCCTCGCCCCCATGCCATGGCCAATAGGATGCAGCCACGTGTACTGCTGGAGAGGTACCGCAACAGCATGATTGCATTCGTGGGCGACTCTTTGAACGACAATCTAGTGGCCTCCTTTCGCTGCACCCTCGCTGCTGTCACGCCCTTCCAGGTGCGCCCTGCCCTTCCAGGTGCGCCCTGCCCTTCCAGGTGCGCCCTGCCCTTCCAGGTGCGCCCTGCCCTTCCAGGTGCGCCCTGCCCTTCCAGGTGCGCCCTGCCCTTCCAGGTGCGCCCTGCCCTTCCAGGTGCGCCCTGCCCTTCCAGGTGCGATCCCTGCTGCCCACTGTCCATGCATGGGCCAGCGCCTTGAGCGCAGGTGCCGCTGCACAGGTGACGCACCTGTCTGCTGGTTGCTCCACCATCCCATTTCCTGCCCACTCCGCACCGTCCCACCCCTCACTCCCCCCTCTCCTCTTCCCTCTCCTCCCCTTCCCCCCTCTTCTATCCCCCTCATCTCCCGTCCCCGGTCCCGTGCGCTGGCAGCAAGTGCGGGTGAGGGTGGGGGGGAGGCGGTACCGCAACGCAGTGGAGCTGCCGGCATACAACCTCACCCTCCTCACCATCGCCAGTGGCAAGCTCACCCGCCTCGTCAACTCGGTACGAATGGGTTCCATGTGGTGCTTCCCGGTGCCAGCCCACTCACCCATCCCTCCCCCCACTGCTCCCGTATTCATCACTTCAGCGTCACCCTACCCACTCGCACTTGTTCTCAACTTCCCAACCCCTCCATCCCCGGCTTCCTTCCGTCTCTCCCTCTCCCCTCCTCCCTCCACAGTCCCCTCTTCAACCACCTCCCCCACCTTGCAACTCCCCCCCTCTTCCTCCCACTATAAACCCCCATTCTCCGCCTCTCTCTCCCCCTCGCCCCCCCCCCGTGCAAGCAGAGTTCAGCGAGGGTGAGGGTGGACGGGCAGTGGGCGGCCGTACTGCCGCTCACAGCAGCCATCGTATTCACGGCTGGCCACCGCTTCTTCCACCAGGTCCAACATCCATGCCATCCATGCCATCCATGCCATCCATGCCATCCATGTCATCCATGCCATCCATGCCATCCATGCCATCCATGCCATCCATGCCATCCATGCCATGCTCTGCAACCAGACTTGAAAGAGTTTTCAGGGCTCTGTGCCTCATGACATTCATGCCATCCCCTGTCCCAAGCATCTGTTCCTTCTGATTCGTCTCCCAATCCCATTCCATCTCTCTCAACCCTGGTAACCACCCCTCACAGAACTACATGTCGCCGGTACTGAAGCTGCGCAAGTCCCTCAAGGCAGTGCGTGACTATATCGAGCGCACCAACTACCCTGGCGTCCCCCTCTTTGTCTCCTACTCTCCGGCACACGACCGCACCCAGTGCAAAACGGCAGGCACCCCTCTCAACAACATCACCGCCGCAGTCCAAGGGGGTGATATGCGTGCCATGGCGGTTCTAAAGGAGCAGCGGAAGCTGCTTGCAAGGTCTCGGATGCGGCTGGTGGAGATAACTTACATGAGCATGCTGCGACCAGATGCGCATTTAAATAGAGGGGCGAGTGGCAGGAGAAAGGACTGCAGCCATTGGTGCCTGCCTGGTGTCCCTGATGCCTGGTCTGATGCCATCTACTCCATGCTTGTATCTTAATGCTGCCCGATGCTTGGTCCGATGCTTGGACCGACGGCATTTGAACAGAGGGGTGAGTGAGTGGCAGGAGGAAGGACTGCAGCCATTGGTGCCTGCCTGGCGTGCCGGATGCTTGGTCTGACGCCATCTACTCCATGCTTGTTGCATAGTGCTCTGCTCTGCTGCATGTGCTGCATTGCATGCTTGTGTAACATCAGGTGCTGCTGCATCTGTTGTGCAGTCCTTCATTCATGTGTTACCGCCTTCATTCAGGCCTGGAGAGTGGTCCGAGTAGGGGTGACCCCCCAACGCAGTGCTACACGCATATTCTACACCAGTGTTACACGCATATTCTACACCATTTCAAGCACCTATGCTCTGCTCCTACCATATGTGCCACAGTTTTCATTTCATCTAGCTTCGGCCTTTGGTCCATCCACCCATAACTCCTAGCAGTCACTCCAGCCGCCCCAGAAGGTGTGAGACGATGAGGTTACTCCACGTGTCAGGCACACCGGGTAGGCACCAGTGGCTGCAGTCGAGCTTCCCCAGCTGTGGAACGGGTGGTTGGGGAAGGAGGGGATTAGTGGGCCTTGGGCTTCAAGCAAAGCCTTATTGGGGTTGCTGTGCCCTGCTAAGGGGATGAGATGGGCTGGCCATGATTTGAGAATTGAGAAGGGACCGGTCACCCGTGATGTATCATGCAGTATGAAATGGTGATTTACACCCCTAAGATTATCGATCAGTTCCCGGCACATACACTCGCACACTCACCCCAGAGTTCCTCCTTAAATGCGCATCAGGCCGGAACCGACTCATTTTAGTCACATCCACCAGCCGCAGCCTGGACTCCTGCAGCGCCCTCCTCTGCGCGCTGAGAGCAGGCATGGTGCTCTCTGTAGTCACACTCGCTAGAGCAGCATCAGGCCTGGAGGCAGGGAGAGGGGCTGTGGCTGCAGCACAGGACTTTCTAGTGTGGGCGGGGGAGAAGGAGAGTGCTAGAGCGCGGCCGGTGTAATTGGAGTGGTGCAGATGGTCGCGAGTGAGGGTGAATGTGGACTGCATTTGATCCAACGGTGGAGGTTGCATCTCGTGGAAGAACCAGTGGCCAGCGGTGAAGATGGCGGCTCGGGTGAGTGGCAGCACCCGAGTCCACCGAGGGTTGGGGTAGGTGTGGTTATCCGGGGACTGGCAGGGGGCATGGGGAGGGGAGGGGGGGGGATTCAGTACTTTGAATGTCCATGCGCGCACATGTGATACGATGGTGCGGCTGCAGTTGCAGTGCTGACTCAAACACCATCTCACGGTGATGTTGGTGGGACACGGCACTCGAAAGCATCACTCAGAAGGCACTAAGGCTCAAGCACAGTGCCTGCCTTCTGAGAGATCTCGGAGGAAACATCAACAGGGGCGTTGCTCTCACGGCAGGAAGGAAACACGAATACCAGCTGTCACAGGAGCGAGCAGCAGGAGGCGCACCGTGTGAGGGTTGTTGACGAGGTAGCCGGTGCGGATGCTGACGAGCGTCACGTTGTACCGCGTGAAGCGCACGCACACGTGCTTCCACCCCCCTATCTGCATCCTCACCGCCTGCACTCGCCACAGGGAGGGACGCCAAGCGGAAGGCATGTATGAGACGCCTCAGAAATTCGGCTTCTTGGCCACATGTGTTTTGTGGCCCCCTGGCTGTTATGCCAGGCTGGCCTGCTGGGCTGTGGCACGAGATACACGGCTGGTCAGGTCAGGCTGGAGTGTGGGGTCTCGTATCGGCTTGACTGACCTTGTACGGAGAGGCCTGAGAGAGAATGCATTTCATGGATTCCAACACCGTCTCGCTAAAAGAATCCCCGATAAAAGCTATGATGGAAACCTGGTACACTGATAGCAGCTTGTCAGGTTGAGATCTGTCGCCGGGCGTGCGAGTAAGGGGGGAGAAAGGCAAGCGAAGTTTGGCGTGGTTTTCAGGAAAGCTGAGCGACCGTTGCTGGACTCGCAACACAAGTGACACACGTGGGAATGAGAAGTTTTGCAACGACTGATTAGGCTGCTCGTATGGGTGCTGCCGCCCGCAAGCGCAAAAGAGTTTCTAGCGCTACTTCTTTTCACTGTAAGGATCACCCCGTTATAAGCACATCTCGCGGCGGATGGTCCCAGCACACTCACCGCCAGAGCTGCTGGGAGCAGGGCGGGTCGGGTAGCCACGTGTAAGCAGCGGGGTGCTTCTGGCCCGGCAGCAGCTGCGGGCGTGCCGCCGGCCGTGCCGGCGATGGTGCAGCGCGCGTACGACCAGTACGCGGACGACAACGGCGATGGTGCAGCGCACGTACGACCAGTACGCGGACGACCAGTACGCGGACGACAACGGCGTCATGACGAGCAAGGCGCTGCTTAAGTTCTTCCAGGAGTTCCAGCAGGACAAGGTGCGCGCCTGCTGGGGGGGACAAGGTGCGCGCCTGCTGGGGGGGACAAGGTGCGCGCCTGCTGGGGGGGACAAGGTGCGCTCCTGGTGGGGTGAAAAGCTGCGCGGGTGCGGGGGGGCAAGGTGCGCGGGTGGGAATGAGGTGCGCGCAGGGGAGTAGGTGCGCCGGGGGGGAGTTGGCGCGGTGCTCGCTGACGCTGTGCTCGCTGACGCTGGGCGGCAGGCGCATGAAGGCGCAGGCGGAGCCCAACGCGGACCAGTTCCTCCACGTCTTTTGAGAATTCTGGAGCGACTTTTGAGAAGTTCCTCCTCGTGCTGCTCGCCCCTCTGCTCACGCCCGCCCTCGCCCACCGGGTACTGCGCGCTGGGGGGCGGGTAAACGTGGGAACTGGGAGCGGGTGGCGGAGGGTGAGGATGACCTGATCATGTGAGGCGGGTCAGGGCAGCGTGGGTGAATGTGTGCAGGGGTAGAGGCAGGATGCGGCTCCAGGGGACTCACGATCAATGACCGCTCCCCTTCGCCTTCTGCCCCTCATTTCCTCTTTCCCCTCTCCTTCCCCCTCCTTCCTCCCCCCTCCCCACCTCCGTTGGTCGGTGCGGTGGGGTACGGTGCAGGTGAGTGCGGACATGCGGTTACCAATATCGCACTACTACATATACACGGGGCACAACGCGTACCTGAAGGGCAACCAGCTGACGAGCGACAGCTCTGTGAAGCCCATCGTGACCAGCCCACGGGGCCCAACTCGTACCTGCAGCGCTGCGGCGTGGTGTGCGCGTCATCGAGCTCGACCTCTGGCCCTCCTCCGACGAGTCTGAAATCCTCGTCATGCATGGCGGGTGAGAGAAAGGGAGCATGGCGGGTGAGTCATGCATGGCGGGTGAGTCATGCATGGCGGGTGAGTCATGCACGGGGGGTGAGTCATGCACGGGGGGTGAGTCATGCACGGGGGGTGAGTCATGCACGGGGGGTGAGTCATGCACGGGGGGTGAGTCATGCACGGGGGGTGAGTCATGCACGGGGGGTGAGTCATGCACGGGGGGTGAGTCATGCACGGGGGGTGAGTCATGCACGGGGGGTGAGTCATGCACGGGGGGTGAGTCATGCACGGGGGGTGAGTCATGCACGGGGGGTGAGTCATGCACGGGGGGTGAGTCATGCACGGGGGGTGAGTCATGCACGGGGGGTGAGTCATGCACGGGGGGTGAGTCATGCACGGGGGGTGAGTCATGCACGGGGGGTGAGTCATGCACGGGGGGTGAGTCATGCACGGGGGGTGAGTCATGCACGGGGGGTGAGTCATGCACGGGGAGTCATGCACGGGGGTGAGTCATGCACGGGGGGTGAGTCATGCACGGGGGGTGAGTCATGCACGGGGGGTGAGTCATGCACGGGGGGTGAGTCATGCACGGGGGGTGAGTCATGCACGGGGGGTGAGTCATGCACGGGGGGTGAGTCATGCACGGGGGGTGAGTCATGCACGGGGGGTGAGTCATGCACGGGGGGTGAGTCATGCACGGGGGGTGAGTCATGCACGGGGGGTGAGTCATGCACGGGGGGTGAGTCATGCACGGGGGGTGAGTCATGCACGGGGGGTGAGTCATGCACGGGGGTGAGTCATGCACGGGGGGTGAGTCATGCACGGGGGGTGAGTCATGCACGGGGGGTGAGTCATGCATGGGGGGTGAGTCATGCACGGGGGGTGAGTCATGCATGGGGGGTGAGTCATGCACGGGGGGTGAGTCATGCAGAGTTGTTTTCTGGCGGGCTTATAAAAGGTCGTGACGGTTGTGTATAGAATAAGCGAGATTTCAGTGCGGTGGCGGATCCACACTGCATTATTGATCATGCAAATAAGAGGGAAGTGACGCGTTCCCTTTCGAATTTGCAGGGTGGAATGACGATGGGGGCGCATTCGGGGATTGGCTGGGGATTGGTGTCAGCGCGTTGAGAATCGACAGTGTTAATAGATGTGAATTGATACACCACACGAAGTAGTGTTTGCATACACAGAATAAGGTAACCCACCCATACTGGCTGCAGCCATTCATGAATATACTTATTAGAAGTGTCAACAGGGAGAGCCTGGCTGTTCATACGGTATATCCATTGCAAGAGCGTGAACAGAAGACGGTCCTTTCTCCATATATTCCTCCCTGCTTAACACCCATGCTGATAAGAAAGAGCTCGTCTGCACTCCAAAAGGCACACAAAAGAGAGAAATAAAAAGAGAGAAGAAACATTTATTTAGGGTACACATACGGTTGCAACGCAGTGATACAATAACGGCCAGTAGCACTCACAGTGGCTACGGTCCTGCCGCCCATCCATGCGCCATACGGCCCCACCGCCTTCACAGAGAGTTTGTCAGCGAGGGGTGGAGGAAGCAGACGCTGCAACTCCACATGAAGCCGCTCTGTGGGGATGGGACCAACGGAAGAGGGGGGACGAAAAATAAGGAGCCGTTGAGCAGAAGAGGACGGAAAAGGGGATATTAGGCTTGCAAAGGAGGGATAAGAAAGAAATGTGTGACTACATATGTAGCCATAACGTCCAAATTGGGGGCTCTATCAAGGAGCACCTCACACAGCCCCCACCTGCTATCCCTGGCAGCACAGACGTGCCTCCCGCCAGCACCACGGTGCCGATTGCCTCCGCCACATCCTCACTTGCCAGTGGCGCAGGTTCCCGAACTTCCCGCTCCCACACTCCCCCACCCGTCCCTGCTGCCCCGTCCCCACTTCCCATCCCCCTCGTCGCACTTTCACCCCCACGCCCCTCCCCAGGCGCTGCTTCCCCCTCCTCCGCCCTCTCCCCCACCTCTGCAGCCGCTGCGGCGCCTCCCGCGTGGCCGTGCCTGGCCTTCAAAAACGCCTTCACCCTTTTAATACACTCCAATAAGCACAGCGCCACTGTCAGCTGTATGCCCCCGCAGCCACTGGTGGGGGGAAGGGGAGGGGACACGGGGAGTTTGAGAGGGTGTAAAGGACACATGAGTGGGGATGGAGACAGAAAAATGAGGGAAATCAACGGGAATGGCAACAAGTGAGAATTCGGTTGTAACAGACGGAGCATGTTGGCAGCAAGGAGAGGAGCAAGAATGCGAGCACAGGATAAAACAGCGGGACCACATTGACCAAATTGACCAAATTGACCACATTGACCACATTGACCACACTGACCACACTGATGTCATTGATCACGTTGACCACATTGAGTACACTGACCACACTGATGTCATTGATCACGTTCACCAGGGAGGACCCACAGGCCGCAGAGGTGAGGCTGGAAGAGCACTTCAGGGGCGAGAAACCTCTCCCTGCCGAGCGTGAAGGCGCCCTCCCCCGGCACCTCACACGTGCCCCACACCCCCCTCTCCTCGCCCCTCATGGCCGCCTCAAAGTCGCGCGCCACAAAGCACAGCGACTGCTTGGTGTGGAGGGGGGGAGGGTTGGGGTGACAAGCGGGATGGAGTGGGGTGCGGAATGAAGACGTGCAGTAAGAAATTGCACGAGGCTGCAAGCCACGAGGAACTGGGGGGGGCAACGGGAGGAATTACAAAGAAAATAATGAGTTGTGTATGCAAGGCCAATGATTTTGTGGGACAAACCTCCATGATGGTGCGCACAGTGGACATGGACAGACTCCCCCCCCTCCCCTCGTGCAGTAACTGGGTGAGGTGCCCTGTCACTCGCATGGCGCCCAGCGGCAGGCAGTAGAAGGGCAGCAGGCTGCATGCGGTGCGACCGCGGATGACTGGCAGTATTGTGGTGCTGTTGAGACCAATGTTCACCACCACGCCTGATGCTGCCCCCGCTGCCAACAGGGCTAGGGTGGCCTGTGGAGGGTGGCCAAGGCGAAGGGGGAGGGGGGAAGGGCTTTTGAGTCGAATTAAAGAAAGGCAGTAGAAGGGCAGTAGGTGGCAGGCAGAGCGGCCGCGCACGATGGGTACCACTGTGGTGCTGTGAAAACCAATGCTCACCACCACGCCTGATGCTGCCCCCGCTGCCAACAGGGTGGAGGTGGCTTCGGGGGGTGGGCGCGGGGAAGGGACAGGGAAGGAGCATTGTGATGATACAGATGAAGCAGGGAACAGAGAGAGATGGGGGAGGGAAAGTCGGCGCGATGAAAGAATCGAAAATAGAATAGGGTTACCTGATTGAAGTAGGCATGTGTGGTAACAGTGGGGATACCTGGTTGAGGTAGGCATGTGTGGTATTTGCGGGCTTATTTACCTGGTCAACAAGGCAGATGGAGGGCACGCGAAAGGCTTTGAAGAGCACGGCACATGTCATCCCCCTCACACGCCGCCTCCTCTCCTGTGCCTCTCGCGTCTCTGTGCGTGCAGAGGGGAGACGAGCACGGGGAGAAGGAGGGAGAGCGAGCTCGGTGAGGGGAGGGTGTCACGTTGAGAGTTATAGCGTAGTGACGTGCAACCAGCAAGAATACTGTTGTGTGGGAGGATGTTTGTATGCAACAGAGAATCGCCTGACAGGGAGCAACAGCGCACCGCCTGGCAGGAACCAACAGACAATCTCCTGGCAGGTGGCAAGAGAGAGTCACCTGACAGGTGGCAAGAGAGAGTCACAATGCAGGTAGCAACAGAGAGCCTGACAGGTGGCAAGAGAGAGTCACAATGCAGGTAGCAACAGAGAGCCTGACAGGTGGCAGCAGAGAGTGACCTGGCAGGAAGGCGAGAGGTTCGGAGACGACAACAGGGTGGTTGGAGGGAATGGCTTTCATGCTGTGAGGGAGCATGGTGAGGGTTGGGGGTGATGCAGGGACGACGATAAAGGGAAAGGCGGAATGCAGGAACGCCAGAAAGGAGGTAAGAGCGGAATGGGGAAGTAGAGGGATTAAGGAAAGGGGGAAAAGCAAGAGAGGAAGACGAAAACAAGGGACGAACGAAAGGGGAAAGTAAGGAAAACAATGAAGGGTGTGAGCTCCAGTCAGTGAGCTACAGTCGTCAGTGAGCTCCAGTCAGTGACCTCCAGTCAGTGAGCATGCACGTCGACACCACTTGAAAGGCATGCTGACACATCTAGCATGCGTGCGGACGTCACCTTGTGTAGATAGAGGAGAAGAGGGCTCTCAGGCGGGAGAGGGAAGGTGCCTCGATGTTTCCAGACTCCTGGTGCGGAGGGTGGTGGTGGTGGCATGGCAGCACACACAGGAGGGTGGGCGATTGGGGAAGGACACGTCACACGTGTGAGCGCAATGGCGTTACTGGCAGGAAACAAAAAGTAGAGCAAACTTGACGAAGCGGAAATTCAACTTTCGAAACGCACCGACTGACCCGAAAGGTGGCAATGCGTCCTGAAGGCGATGCCTCGCTGCTCATGCCGAACTTGCAGTACCCCGACCCGCCTGCACTCCCCCCCTCCCCACACACACATACAATCGATGTCAGGGTAGCAGAGTTCATAGAGAGGCGTGAAAAGGCGTGGAGAGGCGTGGAGAGGTGTGGAGAGGCGTGGAGAGGCGTGGAGAGGCTGGGAATGTGGGTGAAATGAGAGCATGGGAAATGCGGCTTTAACAGCGCACTATCGACAACGAGAGCGGGTGGCAGCTGGGCGCGCAGGCGGTAGATGGCACACCACGGCAGAGCGGACGGAGTTTCGCCGTCATTTGGCCTGCTGGGTGCACGGGGGAGTGTCGGACGGGACAGGCGATGGCACGAGGAGCAGCAGAGCAGGTGCGGTCTGTCCTCCGGAGTTAATGCGTGTGGCATTCGTGCTGCCTGGGCTGACACTGCACACCGCTCTTGTTTCACCTCACGCGCTTAGCCACTTAGTAAGGATATCAAGTCACACAGTATAGCATCTCATACATAGTGTAGCAATCACACTCTACGGCTTTTGGAATTCTCAATCTCACATCGATTGCTCTCTCGCCGAGCCTCAGCTGCTCTCGTGCCCGAGCCTCACCTGCTGCCTCGGCCGAGCCTGAGCTGCGTTTCAGCGAACACCACCATCGGCCATCCCTCGGGATCCTCGGATCGCAGCAGGTCCTCCCACAGCGAATCAGAGCTTGCCAAGTGGCGCCATCTCCGGCTAACAGCTGCGGCGGAGGCGAGGGCTCTTCCGGAAAGGAAAGATAAGACTATAGCGAGTACGTCGGATGGAAGCTCGTCTAGGGACCGAGAATCGGAATTATTGATTGGGTTGTTGCTGGTTGGAGGATTGCTTGGAATGACGCAGCTGTTTTGGTAGATGTGGGTTGATAAGTTGCTCGCGAGGTCATCGTGTCTGCGAGCATTTACTATTGCGTCAACATCGAGATTCTCGGCAGCAGCGGCCATTGCTGCTACGCCTATGTGACGCCTGCGTTTGCGCAGCGAGCTTCAGCACTGAATGACGGACATCGTTGGGAACAATGGCTCGATAAAGACTGCAAGGATGTGGGAGACTGAGTGATGCATTCTAAGCTACAATATAGAATCTAAAACATATGTTAGTGCTCAGAACCATAAGGAACTCGATTATCCTTAGTAAGATATAACATGTGACTGGTTGCTACATGCGAAAACTGTTCCCACTAAATTATTTTGAAGACAACCAGCACACATGTATATGGGCTACAGCCATTCATGAAAACGCTGTAGCAATTTTACAGATCATCATATGTATAACGTTATGTTACACTCTCCATCAAGGCTTGGGGAATATTCTTACAGCAGGGAGAGCCTGGCTGTTCATGTTATGCGTATCCATGGCAAGGGCGTGAACAGAAGACGGTCCTTTCTCCATATACTCCTCTCTGCTTAGCGCCCATGCTGATAAGAAGGAGCTCGTCTGCACTCCAAACAGCATGGAAACCAAAAAAATGATTGAACATATTTATCGGACACAAATGTGGTCGTAACGAAGCAATGCAGTTATAATCATTAGCACTCACAGTGGCTACGGTCCTGCCGCCCATCCATGTGCCATACGGCCCCACCGCCTTCACAGAGAGTTGGTCAGCGAGGGGCGGGGGAAGCAGGCGCTGCAACTCCACATGAAGCCGCTCTGTGGGGATGGGATGGGACCAACGGGGGTGAATCAATGGGAGCAGACCAGGCGCAGAAGAGGACAGCAAAGGAAAAACAGGTTAGCAGAGCAGATACAGGAAGGCTTTCAAAGATACGTCATCGTATAGCCTCTTCTCATTCCCACTTGGAGGCTCTACGAGGGAGCACAGCCCCCACCTGCTATCCCTGGCAGCGCAGACGTGCCTCCCGCCACCACCACCGTGCCGATCGCCTCCGCCACATCCTCACTTGACAGCGGCGCAGGCACTCGCCCCCACACCCCCCCACCCGCCCCTGCTGCCCCTTCCCCACTTCCCATTTCCCCCGTGGCACCTTCCACCCCACGCCCCTCCGCAGGCACTCGCTCCCCTTTCTCCTTCTCCTCCTCTCCTTTCTCCTTCTCCTCCTCTGCAGCCGGTGCCTCTCCCGTGTGGCTGTGCCGGGCCTTCCAGTCCTGCTGCGCCTGAAACGCCTTCACCCGCGCGGCACACTCCACTATGCACTGCGCCACTGCCTGCTGTATGCCCCTGCCGCCGCTGGTGGGGGGAAGGGGTGGGGGTGGGGGTGGGAGGGGGTTTGAGACGGCGGAAAGGACGCATGAGTGGGGAGGGAGACCTAATGAGTGAGGGGAAATCAACGGGAAGGAAAACAAGTGACGATGCAATCATCATAGAGGGAGCACACACAGCAGCAGGGAGAGAGGAGCAAAACTTTTACCGCAGCATGAAACAACACATTGACAGCATTGACTGCATTGACCCTGTGTTGACTGCAGTGACTACAGATCACGCACAGGCCGCAGAGGTGAGGCTGGAAGAGCACTTCAGGGGCGAGAAACCTCTCCCTGCCGAGCGTGAAGGCGCCCTCCCCCGGCACCTCACACGTGCCCCGCACCCCCCTCTCCTCGCCCCTCATTGCCGCCTCAAAGTCGCGCGCCACAAAGCACAGCGACTGCGGGCAGGGAGGGGGTTGGGGTAAAACGCATGATGCAGTGGGGTGCTGAAAGTTATTGCGAGAGCCTGTGAGCCGTGAGAAACTGAGGGCAGGGACGCGAGGAATGATAAGAAGAGGAGCCAGTAACACACCTAGGCAGGCGCCTCCAGTAACACACCTAGGCAGGCGCCTCCAGTAACACACCTAGGCAGGCGCCTCCAGTAACACACCTAGCCCAATGATTGTGTGGGACTCACCTCTTTGATGGTGCGCACTGTGAACATGGACTGACACACGATTCCCGCATCGTGCAGCAACTGGCTGAGGTGCCCCGTGACTCGCATGGCGCCCAGCGGCAGGCAGTAGAAGGGCAGCAGGCTGCATGCGGTGCGGGCGCGCATGATGGGCAGTATTGTGGTGCTGCGGAAGCCAATGTTCACCACCACGCCTGATGCTGCCCCCGCTGCCAATAGTGCCAAGGTGGCCTGGAAGGAACAGGGTGGAGGGGGGGAGCGAGGGCCATGGTGACGACACCGATGAGGCGTGGAAGGGAGATGAAATGGTGGAGGGGGAGTGGAGATGACGACTGAGAGGACTTTGAAAGGAGTAGCTGGTTGAAGAGAACATATCGGGTAACAGTGTGGTTAACTTGGTGGAATGGGGTTACCTGGTCGACAAGGCAGATGGAGGGCACGCGCAGGGCGCTGAAGAGCACGGCACATGTCACCTCCCTCAGGTGCCGCCTCCCCTCCTGTGCCTCACGCGTTTCTGTGCGTGCGGAGGGGAGACGGGCACAGGGAGGGCAGGAGGGCGGGCAAGGTGAGGGCAGGATGCCACGTTGAGAATGCAGGCATGATGAACTGCAGGTTAGCAACACTGCTGCGCTGTAGCAACAGAGAACCACTTGGAAGGAAACAACAATTAACGGCTGGCAGGTGGCACGAGAGAGTCACCTGGCAGGAAGGCGAGAGGTTCGGAGACGACAACAGGGTGGTTGGATGGAATGGCTCGCATGCTGCAAGGGCGGATGGTGAAAGATGAAGCGTGGACGACAGAGAGGGGAAAATGAGGGACGCATGAACGCAGAACAAGGAACAGGAGCGATGAAGGGACGAAAAGGTGAAGGAAAGCAGGGCGGAAACGGAAAGGAATGGGAATAGAACGGAAGTGAAAAAAGTGTGAGATTAAGGTTGTGGCATCATCCAGCATATGTGTTGACGTCACCTGGCATAGATAGAGGAAAAGAGGGCTCGCAGGCGGGCAAGGGAAGGTGCCTCGATGTTTCCAAACTCCTGGTGGGGGTGGCAGCACCCAGAGCAGGGTGGGAGAGCGATAAGTGTGAGAGGAACGGTGTCACTGGCAGGAAAAGAAAATAAGAGTTGAACTATAAGAATCGGAACGAAAGGTAGCTCCCAGGTCGAAAGGCAGAAGTGCCTTCGACATTTCTCAAAAAAGCCTATCACTGACCAGAAAGGTGGCGATGCGTCCGGATGGCGATCCGTCGCTGCTCATGCCGAACTTGCAGTACCCCGACCCGCCTGCACTCCCACACGCACACACACTTATGGTACGACGATGTCAGGAGATACCAGAGGTGTAGAGAGGCGTGGAGAGGCGTGGAGAGGTGTGGAGAGGTGTGGAGTGGCGTGGAGAGGCTGCAAATGTGCAAAGGATCAGAGGAGGGAGAATGCAGCGGGGGCAGCGCACCATCGACAACGACAGCGGGCGGCAGCTGGGCGCGCAGGCGGTAGATGGCACACCACGGCAGGGCGCTCCTGCTGCCACCGCACTGCCTCAGCAGCATCTGCTGCCGCTCGCGGCACCTCGTCATTCCCGAGGGTCTGCCCTGGGTGTCGCCGTCATTTGGCCTGCTGGGTGCATGGGGGAGTGTGGGGACGGGACAGGCAATTGCACGAGGAGCAGCAGAGCAGGTGCGGTCTGTCCTGCGGGGTTGGTGCGTCTGGCATTCGTGCTCCCTAGGCTTACACTGCACACCGCGCCCCCGTTTCGCCGCACCCACTTTGCCGCTCAGAACAGATAGCAGGACACCCCAAATTTGAGGGCTTTGTGGATTTCCCCATGTCACCTCACCTGCTCCCTCACCCGAGCCTCACCTGCTCCCTCGCCCGAGCCTCAGTTGTGTTTCAGCGAACACCACCATCGGCCATCCCTCGGGATCTTCGGAACGCAGCAGGTCCTCCCACAGCGAATCAGAGCTTGCCAAGTGGCGCCATTTCCGGCTAACAGCAGCGGCGGCCACGAGGGTTTCGCGGGAAAGGAAGGAGAAGATTATTAGGAGTACGTCGGAAGGAAGCTCGTCTAGAGACCGAGAATCGGAATTTTTGAATGGGTTGTTGCTGGTAAGAGGCATACTTGGAATGATGCTGTTGTTTTGGTAAATGTGGGTTGATATGTTTCTCATGAGGTCATCGTGTCTGCGAGCATTTATAGCGTCAGTATCGAGATTCTCGCCAGCAGCGGCCATTGCTGCTACGCTGATGTGAATCCTGCGTTTGCGTGGCGAGCTTCAGCACTAAATGACGGACATCATTTGAGACACATGGCTCGATAAAGACTGCAAGGGTGGGAGACTGAACGGTGCATTCTAGAAGCTGCGACATAGAGTCTAGGACAAATGTTAGGGAAGCTCGCAGTACCGAAGGGACTCGATTATTCAATCACACATAGTTTGACGGCCTCACATTCACTACTGTAACATGTAAATATTCTAGCTGGAATTTAATTGAAGGAAGTATAAATGAGGGTCGCGCATCACCTCACAGTGTTTAGCGGGAATGACACTAACAGGAATCCAGCTGTGATTTCTGGGCCATGAAAATGAAGACATTGTAATCCAATGAAATGCTGTCCTGCTGATGGTTCAAATAATTTGACATTGTTCCCCCAACCAAACATGGCCACCTTTTTTCGGGTAAACTCCGAATCAAAACACGAAATCGACAAACGTACATTGTGTCTATCCAAAGAGGTGGTGTGCACAGTGGGTAAACATTCTATCCGGCACTGGAAACACTGCCCCGGCATCGGTAAAAAATGATGTATCATAGGCCTGGTAGCCACTGGTCAGCCATGACAAAAATCTCCATTGACGTCCTGGCCCCAGACGCGACAACAGTGGAATCCACTTTGCCAGCTGGCTAGCCTGACGTGGTTTGGTGGAGGTTCGAATTGTCGGAAGTGGCTGATTGAGATCTAACTGTGGCAGTGCACTTGGGAACGCGCTCCGGCTAAAGCCGACCAGGCGAACCTGGTGGGGCGACGAACGTGATAGGCCCGGCGATGTCGCAAGAATCGCATGGTTCGCTAGTCTGAGGGCGGGTCCAACTTTGTACACTGCCGTTTTTTTTCGTAAAATTTACGTCAATGCACTCGTCAACATTGACTGTACCCCTGGGCGTACTTTGTGCGTTTCCTGACCAGTTCCGAGTGTACAATTCGGACTTCTGACAAGGTACAGTATCGAGGCGAAGTACAGTACCTCGGAAAGGGTTACTGAGTATTGCGAGATATTGGCGCGAGGTTTTCAGCACCTGTGGCGGGGGCCGAATTCAATGACGAAACAATTTGACGAAAGCCCAACGTTACTGTTTACCTTGGTTGACGCGAAACGAGCTGGGAGACGAATTGATGGTGAACATTTGGATGTCTTCCACACGTCCCGGGAAACGATTCCGAATTGGTAGCATTTATGTACAGTCTCGCGTCAAATGAACATCTGTACGTTAGAAGTTCTGTTACATACTAAAATAGGGTAACTGAGCTGAAAATAAAGCGTACATGTACAAAGTTGGACCCGCCCTGAGAGCTCTACAGCTGTACTGTACAGGTTGCTCGAATTTGGCTGGCCTGGTCCGGCTGGTTGATTGATTCATGCACACAAGTTGATGCACCAATACCACACCAGACTGAAGCGTTCTTAACACCTACAAAACTCACTGTATCGTACGTACAAGGCCGGGTCACTGTTGTGTTTGAGGCCCGTGTTGCTTGTTCGTCATCAAAATTTCGCTTTCGTTCGGATGTCAGGGGGGGCGCACGTCAGTCATAGCGTCGAACTGGTGTGTTAGGATGGCGGGGAAGGGGGATGTGTGGCGGAGTAAGGTTTTCTTCAATCAAGCAATGCTGGAACACAAGTCAGAACAGAACCAGTGTTCAAGGCAAAGCGAATCAGACTCGAAATAAACCTAGCTTCAGATGAGCTGGACAAAAATGGCGACTGCTGGGGAATGCACAATCGAAGCATGTTCCCTCGTTGCAAATGACTAGCTCTGCCCTGGCAATCGTGCTGTGCCCTCTCGAACGTGTCTTCGTAGTCGCCACTTTTGGCGACTGTCACTGGCGACGTCCAGCGACTGTCACTGGCGACGCCCCACGTAGCAAACTCTGGTGATTGAACGGCAGCGCTCCGTTTGCTCCCATTACCCCTTTGAGAGGAAAGTATTCTCATATTTACCCGGTAGAGCACCGAAGCCATGCCCACCAGCTTCTCCGGCGCGCCAGATGCGGTGGGGGAGGTCTGGAAAGCCGACTGGTACATCCCCCACTGCTACAAGATCCCCGCATTGGCGCAACTCAACCACCTCCTGGCGCAAATCCCCCGCGCGCCCACGCGGAACGACGTCTGGCACGCGGGGGCCGGCTTCGCAGACCTCCGGCGTTTTCACCGCGACCTGGGGGAGGTTGTATCTGAGGCAGAGCTTGCCCAGAAGCAGCTCGGTATCTTCCTCCAAGCCGTGCAGACGACCGCGACGGGGCTCCAGAAGGAGATTGGCAAGCGCTTATCGGCGGAGAATCCATCCGTCTTTCGTAAATGGATTCAGAAGCTTCCTGGCTTCAACGACACGGTGCTTGCGGGGGGTGCAGGCGGGGGGTTGGGGCATGACGGTTCGCACAGCAGGAGCAACAGTAATAGTAGCGGAGGCGCCGGAAGCGGCGGGAACGGCAATGCGGCCGGCGGGAAGCTGACGGACGGCATCAATGGGTAGTCGCCGGCGAATAAGGTCAGCAGCGAGTCGCCAGGCGACAACAGCGCGCCGTCGCTGCAGCCGTCGAAAGCCACCCTTGCGAATCGCATGCGATCGAAATCCATGAACGTGACGTCGTCGGGGTCGCTGTTTCGATCGCCGGACGACAGCGGCGTCGCCAAGCCGCTAGGCTCGGAAATCTCCCCCATCTTCGCCTCGACAGGTCTGGCCACACCTGGTAGTAATGGCTCTGGCGCAGGCTCGGGAGCGGGCGGCTCGGCGACGCGGAAAATGTTCACCCGCGCATTTTCCGTGCGCGAGCGGCCATCTGCCGTGTCGGGGGGGGACGGCGGCGGGAACAGCGCCGGAAGCGGCGGCGGAGGCGGAGGGGGTTTCCTAGACGCGTGCGGGTTCAGTCCTGTGTTACTGCGCGCAAGGAATGCGGGGAGAGTCGGGCCTGTGGGGGAACACGAAGGGGAGGGGGCGGGTGACACACCCGTCATGGGGCTCGGTGGGGGAAACGGGGGGAATGGGGGGAACGGCGGAGTGAACGGAGGGGGAAACGGGGGAAACGGAGGGCGCGACGGAGGCAATGGCGGGGGGAAGGTGGGCGGAGTGGCAGTGTGGGCAGCACCGAGTGGAATTGGAAACGACAATGCCGCGTTCCCTGTAATCACCGAAGCTCAGCAACAGCACATGCCACAGGGGCCGCTTGTGGCATCCTCGCCGCTACATCCGCCGCGCCAGCCGGCCTCAGAACGCCACTCGGGACCGCTGCAACAAGGCACGGTCCAGTCATCAGATTCGGCCGCGGACGTGGCGCCGAAAGGACCAGTAGAAAAACAGGCGAGTGCGAAACCGAGCGGTTCGTCTAGTAAGGTCGGAATCGGCGGGCTGTTGTTCAGAAGCCGAAGCTCCAAAAGCGCCAGCCACCGCTGGACGCAGTCGCAGCAGCAGCTGCAGCAGAGGGTAGCGGAAGAGGAGGAGGAAGGCGAGGAGCAGGAGCAGGAGCAGGAGCAGGAGCAGGAGAGGGGGCATTGGAGCCCATCCGGTGGCCGTAGGCTCGAGGGTGGTGCTACAGGGAAGGGAACAGCGTCTAGGAGGGTGGGGGGGCCAAGGCTCACGAAGAGCCGCTCAGAGAAGGCGCCTAGCAGTGGTGGGGGAGCGGCGAGGGGAGGGGCGCGGGGGGGAAAGAGTGGGCACGAGCGGCTGCAGGAGATTCTGAGCAGCGTGGGCAGCGGGTGGGGCGGACTGCCTTTAACCGCATCACTGAGTGGCGGCAGTGTTAGCTCTAGCGGCAGCGCCTTGCGTGGAGGCAGTCTGGTGGCTCGGAGCGCCACAGTGAGTGGGGTGGGACCGGCGTTGGGTGGCATAATGAGGCCGGCTGGTGGTTTTCCTGTGAGTGGCAGCATGAGCAGCATGAGTGTAAGTGTGAGTGGCAGTGCAGGAGTCAGTCCACGGGGCCAGGGCAGCGAAGGCTTTGCCTTCTCCCACCTGACCCAAGCACACACACTCTCTCTTGCATCCCAATCCCAAGACTCTTCTTCCAGTGATTATGCTATGTCTCCGTATGGGGGGAGTGACAGAGGGGTGCAGGCAGAGAGGGGAAGGGAGCAGGAAGGAGGAGGTGGGGTGTTGCAAAGCAGCAGGGTGCTGCTGTCGCCAGCCAAGGCAGCACAGGAGGAGAAGCTGCTGGAGATGCTGCGATCTACACCGCCCGTTCGCTGGGACAAGCCGGGACAGGCTGGAAACTACACCAATCAGACCCAGAGTTAGCAGCATCTGATGACTGTGGTTTGAAGAAGCACACAATATCTGTATGGATGAGTTGGTTTCGCAGGTTCTGCCATTGAAAGCAAGGAGCCAAATCTGTTCCAGCACCAAGATAGTGTGGAGCAGGTGCAACAGCCAATGAAATTGATCGGGTCCTAGAGCAATAACTTTACTGGCTTGTGACTTAGAGATTCACTATGCACATTGATTTTGTGTCTGTATGATATGTTCCATACGCGGGCTTTACCAAAGAATGACATCATGTGCTGAAATTGCAACATGTGCATTTGAAGGTGTTTGGTTTGGGTTGGATGAACAATCAGTTCTAAAGGTGGTGGTGTGAGGAATGGATTCTAAAACGTTATGAATGATGCTGTGATGTGGAGGGAAGTAGTAAGGTACGATACCGGTATATTGACCTGGAAGAGGAATGTGGCAGGTTTTAGTGAACTTGAATAGCTATCAATAGAATCGAGCACATTACTGTACAAGCGTTATTTATGAGCCTGTTTCTAGAAATTCTGTCTGGACCTATTTCCGCGATGCCCAAAAATCCCTCCGAAGCCAGCCCCAACCGACCTGTTTACACCTGCATACCGCACCACATCCCCACAATTTCCCATTCCTAGCCTCGCGTTGGCCCTGCCGCTAGGCGATTTTCTCAATTTCGCAGGCTACTTGTGTCCTATCTTCTTTCTCTCACGACCCTTTTCCCTAATTTCTCTTGGCTAGGGACGTCCTGCCAGGATGAGTCACAGGAAGTTCGAGCATCCGCGCCATGGTTCTCTCGGCTTCTTGCCCCGGAAGCGGTGCAAGCGCTCACGCGGGAAAGGTAGTCTCCTGACTGATAATCCATAGGAAGCTAATCCGCGTTCACAGTTCCAACATTAATGTTTCCTGTTCAGTTGGTCCCTCGGTTAGTGTAGACCAGGTTCACGCACGCACCAGTGCAGAGTTACCGTTGGGTCGCTGATTTCGTTTACTGAAGCTGTCGTGTGCTCCGTATGTGCGTGCGTGGCGTTGTCCGTGTTGCGTGTTGGCAGTGAAGGCGTTCCCCAAGGATGACCCCACCAAGGCTCCCCACCTGACGGCGTTCCTGGGCTACAAGGCGGGCATGACTCACATCGTCCGCGAGGTCGAGAAGCCCGGATCCAGTACGTCGCCTTGCTTCGCTTCTAGTATAGTTCGTCGCAATGTTGCTCTCAGATTAGGGTTGAATCCGCACCTCCCCTCGACTGTCCCTAAATCGTGTGTTACCGCACTCCCTCCTTAGCTGCTACTTCATGTTCGATGTGCTCTCAGTTTATGCTTGCATGTGATGGTCCGAACGTCCCCTCTCAACAGGGCTGCACAAGAAGGAGGCTGCTGAGGCCGTCACCATTGTCGAGACCCCCCCCATGATCGTCTGCGGTCTGGTCGCGTACGTCAAGACCGCGCACGGCCCGCGCACCCTCACGCACGTGTACGCCGGGCATCTGAGCGACAACGTCCGTCGGCGGTGGTACAAGAACTGGCACAAGTCGAAGAAAAAGGCGTTCACCAAGTACGCGAAGAAGTTCAGCACTGACGAGGGCAAGAAGGAGATCGAGGAGGAGCTGGAGCGCATGAAGAAGCACGCGTCGATCATCCGCGTTATGGCGCACACCGAGGTGCACAAGCTCAAGGGAATCAAGCAGAAGAAGTCGCATCTGATGGAGATCCAGATCAACGGCGGTACCATCGAGGAGAAGGTGGACTGGGGTTACAAGCTGTTCGAGAAGGCCGTGCCCATCGATGCCGTGTTCCGCAAGGACGAGATGATTGACGTCATCGCCATCACCAAGGGTCACGGTAACGAGGGTGTGGTGCACCGGTGGGGTGTTACCCGCCTGCCTCGCAAGACCCATCGTGGTCTTCGCAAGGTCGCTTGTATCGGAGCGTGGCATCCGGCTCGTGTGCCGTACACCGTGGCGCGCGCCGGTCAGAACGGTTACCATCACCGCACGGAGCTCAACAAGAAGATCTACAAGATCGGGAAGAAGGGCGACGAGACCCACAAGGCCAGCACGGAGTACGATCGTACCGACAAGGAAATCACCCCCATGGGAGGCTTCGCGCAGTACGGTGTGGTGGGCGAGGACTACATCATGATCAAGGGGTGCTGCCCTGGTGTGCGCAAGCGCGTGCTGACGCTGCGCCGGTCGCTGCTGAAGCAGACGTCGCGCAACGCGCTGGAGGAGGTGAAGCTCAAGTTCATCGACACGTCCTCCAAGTTCGGCCACGGTCGCTTCCAGACGTCCGACGAGAAGGCCAAGTACTTCGGCCGCACCAAGGCGTAGAGAGGTTGCTGCGGGCATGGGGCTTGTGTGGAGGTATGCACCGTGCCTTTTCGTTTGTGATGCATTTGTGTTCTCCATCGGCTTTCTTGCTGGTCGTTCTGTGCCTTTTTGTTGAATCTTTACATTCTATGATTGTCCCAGGAGCATCTAGTTCTGTTATTTTTGCTGCTTTGAAGTTTCCTGTTCTCATGATGGGAGGGGCTTGTGGCTCCTCCGAGCGTCCTGCCTTGTCTTTGTGTCGTCTCTGGTTGATTTTGCGTGTGTTGGGAAGGCAGGGCCGCGAAGATGCTTGATGCGTCATGGCACGTGGCTTGGGCCGCTGGTACTGTGCCCAGCGGCTGAAGGAGAGCAAGCCCTACCATTGCCATGCCTTCCACTGGGTGGGATGGAATGGGCTTGCTTCTCTGGGCGCCCTGCACCACTGCCATGCCCTCTGCCTTCCCTTAGTGTCTTCACGAGGCAGTGTTGGCTAAGGGTGGTATTTGGTTCTTTTGGAAAATTTGCGAACATAAATGTTTGGTATTAATGATTCGATCAAAGTTCCCATGATCATTCTGTGTCTTAGTAGCCTAGTTGTGTACATTTTCTATTAATCTTCAAATAAATTCTGAAGCAACTCATCCTTGTTAATTTGGTCTGTGGGGCCAGCAGTTTGCTGCCAGCCCTTGTTGGTTCAAAAATTATGCCGCCCATATGTCTTGATATCCATACGGCACAAGGTGTAGGGTACACCTCGTGTGGCATGTTTGCCAGTCGGCCCTTTTATGACCCCGTTATTGTCACGCAGCCACTTATAGGCAGTTAAATGAGTGCGTATCTTTTCGCTTAGTGGGACGAGCTCCTCCCACTGGCTTACTGCATCCCTCACCTCCAGCCACGTCAGAAACATCGACTGGCATTGTTTCACAAACTAATACGGGACCTCATTGTTGCCACGCGATGCATTTATCATCAAGCGAGCTAGAGACCTGTCATAACCGCTTAGAGCAAACGCGTAAGAGTCGATTCTGAGAAAACGCGCAAGAGTCGATTCTGAGCAAACGCGCAAGAGTCGATTCTGAGCAAACGCGCAAGATTCGATTCTGAGCAAACGCGTCGTCGCCATGAATCCATGTCAAGCTGAGGAACCGAGCCCTGTTGACGCTTCCTTAGCGCCACGTAGGATTGTGATCGACGACGTGCTCAGCCCGCATGAGTGCGAGGTGGGTGGGAAGCGCTTACCCGTCTCTCACGCGTACCTACTGTTGCACCGTAACGAGATTTCAGCTGATCCTGTTTCGTCTTCCATCATTCCAAACGAGCCATGCGTCTCTTACCCGCATGCGTTTCCGCCAATCACCATCCAAGAGCTCGCGAGCTTCCATGCCAGCAGCCGCGCGGTGGGATACCGACCCCTGTAACAAGCACCTTCTCCGGACTCAAAAGCTCCTGACGGCGCGCCCCCTTTGTCTTCCAATCCAGGAGCTGGCGTTCATTCACGCCAGCAGCAGCACGGTGGGGTACCGACCGCATGTGCGCTCCACCACGCTCGCCCATCTCATTGCCACCAACGGCGCTCCACTCATGCTCCCCATCCTCCCCATTCGAGGTTCGCTTGTACCAGTCACTGCAGAATGAGATGGCTTGTGTCGGCCTTCCATGGTCGCCACATCGCTTGTCTCTTGTGTGAGTCTCAAATGTTCGTCTTGTTGTGCTGTCTTGCACAATGATGGCCGAGCATGACTGTGCTGTGTTACGAGCATAACCTGTATCTATGCCACGTATGACTGCACTGCCCTACAAGTGTTATTGCCATCTGACAAGTTGGTCAGTTGTGCGTGCATGCATGGCAGATCGCATCCGAGACAAGGTGGAGGAGGCGTTTGGCATGCAGCTGGGGCTGCTGGTGGAGTTCACGGGGATCATCAGCTGGCTGCCTGGCGCCACCATTGGCTGGCATGCTGATGACAACAGGCCCTACCTCAAGCAACGCAAATTCGCTGTAAAACACGCCCCTTTTGCTCATCACAACCACCCCTCGCGTCCTTTAGCATATTGGGTTTTGCTTTGACGTGTCTGCTACCGTGCCTGTTGGGCTGGGCTATTTTCAAACAGTCCCTGTGCTCCGTTTGGGTCTTCTTCGCTACTGCTCTACTGTGATGGAACTCGTGTGTGCGTCCTGTTTGTGCCTCGAAACCCACATGTTCATTCTCATGCGTCGCAGGCAGTGTGTTATCTGAACGAGTATGACAAGGACTTCGATGGAGGCCTTTTCAGGTTTCGACAGGGTCATCCTCACACTGTCACTCCCAAGCCCGGGGTGAGTGCATTGCAAGAAGAGTGCTTGTAGTGATATGGATACCCACTGCCTGACATGCATACTCCACATGCGATCATACAATCCTCCATGTTATGCGGCCGTGGACCCGTGCCAGGTCTGCTTCTTATGTCAATCTGTATTTTCATCCCGTGCCTCATCTCTCTTATGGCCGCAGCGACTGGTGGCATACTCGGCTTCAGGGGAGAATGAGCATTGCCTTGATCCTGTAAGATGGGGACGCTGATAACTGAGGGGAAGGGGGAGGCACAAGGAGGGGAACAGGCATCCATGTCAAAGGCACGTCAAAGACCAGCAATATGCATATTATACACATAATATTAAACTCCTGATTCATGCTTCAGTTCCACGGAACTTAAACATGTATCAATGCATCTCTTAATTGTCTGGAAACAAAAATAACTTCTTGACGTTTTCTTGATTTTTGGCAGGTGATTCGGGGTCAACGCCTCACCCTAACTCTCTGGTTCACACTCAACCCGTCACACAGCGAAGACCCCTCCCTCCTCACCCTCCTCTCTCGCATCCCCCTCTCCCTCCGCCCTCCCTTCCCTCGCATTACCCTCAACCTCCCTCTCATGGGGGATGTGGGACCTGGAAAGGCCCCGGAAGCTGGCAAGAATGCCAAGGTGGAAGCCATATCTGAGGACAGGGGCATTAGGGATGTGGTATGTGGGGCGAACCAGCAGCAGTTGGCATTTGATGAGGTTGGGAAAACAGGTTTGGGGGCACCAGAGGGGAATGAGAAAGAGGGGAGCAGAGAGGATGGAGGGATGGAAAGGTCAAAGAGGAGGCGTGTGTGCAGAACGATGTGCTCGCCCTGTGGCTGTGAGGGTGTGACGTATGTGCATGTTGACAGGGAGGAGGGGAATGAGGCAGTGCTGGTGCCCGTACCGCTTGTGGCGTCTGATTCTCTGTATCTTGTGCAGAAGGAAGGGCAGGGGAAACTGGGAGAGTGGGAGGATGGTGAAGTGGAAGGAGGAGAACCGCAGGAAGGGAGCGAGGCTGGAAAAGAGGGGCAGAGAGAGGAAGAGGTTGATATACGGATACAGGAGCTGGCCAGTATGGGATGGAAGGCTGTTCCATTTCTGCGGACCAATGGCAACGCCATGATGCAGTTACCTCCTGGAAGTGATGACGCACCATTACTGGAGGCAGAGTCCGAGTGGGTGGTGTTAATACCTAGTCCAGGTCACAGTCTGAGAAGAGACGGAACAAGTCCCTGCCTTCCTTGTTCTGTTTCAGGATCAGGAAGGAAAGAAAATGAGCCAGGAGGGATGGAGGAGAAGGATATGGCAGAGGGGAAGGAGAGGCAGGAACATGAGGCTGGAACGAGTCTAGAATGCAGTGATGGGAGTGACTACCGTGGGGGATGTGATGGCAGAGGGGGAGGAGAGCGAGGGGACTCTGTTGGGGAAAAAGAATGCGTGCTGGCGTCACCGGTTGTGTTCTACAATATTCTGCATGCTTTACAGGTATGCTGTTCTTGAGAGAGGGAATGTGTGTGTGTGTGGAAGGGGAAGGGGAGGGGGAAGGGGAGGGGGAAGGGGAGGGCGGGATGCAAGGGTGGGACTGGGAGGGTAGGGGGGGAAAGGGGGGAAGGGAGGGGAAGGGGTGGTTGGGGACTGAGAAAAGGATCTGGTTGAGTGAGGAGGAGTTCAGCAGTTCGGCAGAGCCGTTTTTTCCTCCCGTTTTCCTTGTTGGGCGTGTGCAGGTGGTGGCCTTCCACAAGTGGCAGAATAATCGGAAGGCGAAAGCAAGCAACTGCCACAACTGTGGCAGATGCGAACAATGTCAAAAGAATTCTCAATGTAGACCGAACAATTCCCGGACATTGTTGGTAGATGCAAAGGAGGCGTGGAGAAGGTACATAAGGGGTCTCACCAGCAGTTTCCAAGAATCTTTACCCAAATGGCAGGCCCTTCAACTTCTGTATGACTGCCTGTAATCTTGCTGCTCATACACTCTTCAACCAGCTTTATAAAAAGCAGCAGTCCATTCCTCCATAAGCAATCCTTTATCACGTCGGATTGACATGCTCCTTTGTTGACGACATTGTACTGCTGCTACTTACACAACTAAGGACCAGTCGCTCGCGTATCCTCTTTCTGAAGCGCCTTCGAGATGGACGAAGAGCATGGCCGATTTCTGCCTTTGAGATTCGTTCTTCCGCTTACGCTTGTACAGCTTGCTCACAGTGGCCCGCGACCTGGGCGGAATGTTTGTTTCCCGATGACTGATTCCAGGCTTGCTATTGGCAGGAAGTCGTCACGGAGTTCTTCAGACATGTGTACGCAGCGGACGCGCGCTCGCAGGTTCGTTCCTGGCCTTATTTCGTGCTCGTGTCGCGGGTTCCGCCTTTCAGATTTCGCAGAATGTGACGTCACGGACACCACCGTATGGCAGGCCCAACCGCCAGGTTCAACCTCAGGGCAAGAGGGCGAGGATAGGACCAGCCTTGATCGTATAGCTGCTCCGTTTGATTTGCCTCAAGGACTCGTGAGAAGCTCAGGAGACGCAGACACAGCCTCGCTGGAGGACGATTTCGGCCTTGCGAATCCGCCTGCTGGGTCGGCTGAAGCAAGTGATGAGCGGAGGGAGGTCGCTGAGGGTGGTGGTCAAGCAGCAGGGCAACAGAAGAAACGAAAGAGACAGTCCGCTGCGGGTCTGGGAGCAGGAGCCGTTGCTCTCCCCGGTAGGCATCTCTACCATCTGCCTGCAACTTCCTGCAATGCTGTGCTGGTGTTAGTTGATGCGTGAAGCATGGCATCAGGTGGGATGACCATTATACATACAGAACTTACCTCTACAGACTACTCTGCCCTGCCTTTCCCTAATCGTCTTGGCAGTAACCAAACCAGCTCAACGGCTTTGTTGTGGTCTTCTTCGGCTATTTGTTCAGGGTGAGCTGCATGTCCCTTACCCAGGGGTGCATCCATGCACTCCCCATACCGTACCACTCTCTCATTATGAAGCTCATGATTGTCCATCTGGCTTGTACTTTTTGGTACCGCAGAAGCAGTCGGCCGGGCAACAGAGCAGGCAGAGGTGGAAGGTTCCACTGAGATTGAACTCATCTTGAAAGGATTCTTCCAAAGCTGCTCTTGGACTTCTGAGTGCACATGTCAAGCTCCAATTTATGAAGTAGTTTCAAGTGGCAGATCTCAGCTTCAGGTTTGTATTTACCAGTCTCAGCAAAACGAATTGAATCCCAATCCATAGTGGACATGAAGTGACAGCAGCAAGCCTGACAGTTACTCTCAGCGTTCATATGAACAGCCTGCATACAACAATGATCTTATCGTGACAACAATCTTCTAAGCATAAATGCTGCATGCATTCTAGTATATCCTGTCAAGTGACCATCGCATTCCAGAAGCAGTAAGGAAACTTAATGCTTCACTGTTGTCACAAGACCAAGAAGCATCCCAGTAACCTGCAAATCAGCTCAACAAAACGGTGATTATTTCAGCAGGAACAAAGATGCGAGGACAGAAAGAAGTCAAATAAATGGCACATTAATCAAGGAAAAAAATATGAGATCTCACATCTTTCGACACAATGCCCGCTTCCTTAGTCAGCTGATCAATCTTCTGCCTCGTTTGCACATCAAGCCGCTTCACAGTCGCTTCCGAGTCGCCTGACGTCTACGGTCACAGACAAACAATCGTGTATCAGAGACGCGCTAACTGATCGAAAGCAGGCGCCTGCATACATCAACCGACCTCTGTACAGACACAATGGGTCAATGCAACGCTACGGCGAAGTAACACTTACCCCGGCCTTTTTCTTCCTGTACTCCTCCTCACGCTGAGCGCGGTAAGCAGCGGCTTCCCTCTCCGCTTCCTCCTTCGCTTGCCTTAACCTGGCAGTTTTGGCTGGAAGATTAAATAATAAACAAAATGGCAGTGGGGAAAATAGTCCGTGATCTGAAACCGAGGGAGACCAGGTAAAGATCCTATCTGACAGGGGGACTATTGTCTACTCGTTGCATCGTGAGTGAAAAGCTCCGAACCGCAGAAGCTAGCGGCTCACCTGCACGAGCTGCAGCTACGACCTTCTGGGCTTCCTGCTCTGCCGCTAAAAGAAGCTGAATACCTCCTTCCCGAGACGAAGAGCCATCCATGGCACCGGATCTACGGTAATGAGAATGACCACGCACGGAGGAGCTGGTGCCTCCTTTAGTGAAGCAAGCAATGCAGGAATGTCTGCTGAGCTGATCACAGAAGCTAGGGTAACGCGGACTGCCAGTCAGAATGCCAGGAACAGCAGCGAAAGCACATACAACTCGAACGTAAACGGAAAAGAGTAAATTTCGAGAAGAGCGGGCAAGAGCGGGCTGGGCAACGGAAAGAATAAATTTCGATAATGCCGAGATTCGTAAACATTTCGCATCAGTGTGCAGTAACAATAATGGTTGTCCATAAAGGCAAGAACCATCTTCCATTTTGCAAGCCAGGACAATGAAACCCGCAACTCAAGTGGTTGTTATTAGTACTAGAAAACCGGTCGGTTGCCGATCCTAATCGCGCATGCCATGTACTTAACATCTTTAGTATATACCTACTTAGTAGACCCAAAACTCATGTCCACACTCCTGTCCTGTCTCTCAATCCATCCACTTCAGAGGATCAATTGCCCCCTTCTGCTTCCACGATAAGCATCGGGAAATGAAGTTCTGAAGGGCCGGTTTGCTAACAGGCTTGCTTAAGTAAGAGTTCATGCCAGCAGCCTTGCACTCGGACTCTATCCCAGACCCCACATCTGCAGTCAGTGCTGCCACCACCGGCTGCTGCTCTGGCGGCAGCTCCCTCTGGAGGAACAAGTGGGTGAAAAGGGAGGGAGAGATAAGAGAAGCACGGATGAAGTTGACATGTGCCTTGACTGTTCAAGCGAGACAGAAGAAGCACAAAAAAGGTTGAAACACTCATGTATGTTTTAGCTGGAGTGGAGAGCAGAGCAGTGAGGAACAGTTGAGAGCGGTGGAGAGGGGTTGTGTGGGTTACTCTGAGGCAGGCGGTGGCAGTGAGGCCGTCCATCTCGGGCATCTGCACGTCCATGAGCACCAGATCCACCGTCACCTGCCGCAGCCGCTGCATCACCTGGTGGCCCCACGCACACACAGTGCCACCGCCACGGAGGGGGGTCGGGAGAGGGAAGAGAGGGATCAGACAGCAGTGGTGGAGAGTAAAGGGAAGCAGTGTAGCAGTGCGGCGAGAAGGAGTGTAGAAGCAAAGGGGCAGTGGTGAACAAGCCCCGGGAGGGAGTACCTCGAGTCCGTTGATGGCTGTGTAGCACGACCTCACCCCGATGCCGTTCAGCAGCTTCAGCAGCACCTGCACCCCCCCATGCACAAGCATTTCCCACACACAGAGTGTCAGTACCGTCCCACATGCACACAGACTCATCAACACCAGCTCTCATGCAAGAGCACGTGCGTTTGGCCGGGCACAGCGGAGATTAACCACACAGCAGCAGCCAGACACACAGCCGGAGGCAGAGCCCATAGTGACAGCAGTGGTTACGGGCACACACGCGCTGGTTGACGATGTTGTCCTCGGCGATGAGCACCTGCAGGTCCCCCGGGCGTCAATAACGGTACTCACGCACACACATTCGTAAAACACAGCACATGCATTCAGCCGGGCACAAGCACGCACGCGCTGGTTGACGATGTTGTCCTCGGCGATGAGCACCTGCAGGTCCCCCGGGCGCGGGCTGGACCGCTCCGCCCTCACCACGCCCAGCGGCATCGGCTCCTTCACCACCGCCACCCGCAGCGCCGCCACATCGCGTGCCACCGCCTTCGCCACCTCCTCCGGCGCCGACCCTGCCGCCGGACCTGGGATGGGGTGGTGCGGGCGGGGGGGGGAGGGGGGGGGGTGAGCGGGTATGGCGTGAGGTGCGGTTATGGTGGGGTGGGGATGTGTGGTGATGAGTGAGTGCGGATGGACCTGCAGGCTAGACCTGACCGCACCTGCAGTGGAGGGTAGAGGTGGGCATACCTGCAGTGGAGACGGAGGTGGGGATGGAGGCGAGGGGCGCGGAGGAGCAGCCAGCGAAGGAGGACGGCACTGATATGCCTGACAGCCCCGCCGGCGCTGGTGACGGCGACAGGGCGGACGGCGCTGGACGCAGGTCCAAGGGCTCCTGCACGGGGGAAAGGGCACAGGGCGAGGGAAAGGGTGGAGGGGGGATGTTAGAGGGTGGAGGGGCGGGGGAAGGGGCGAGGCGTGAAGAGGGGGAGGAGAGGAAAAGGAGATGATGGAGGGGGCCAATACAGTACGGTTTCAGAAGTGATGCAATTGTTGGGTAATGTAAAGGATGACACTGTACGGCAAGCGGTACGGTGCACGAGAGAGCAGGAAGGGACGAGGGAGGAACAAAAGACTGGGAACTGGGAAGTGGGGACTGGGGTACTGACGTCAAAGAAGGCGGGGGTCTCGTAGCGGGGGGAGTCGGGGACGGCAGGCAGGGTGGCGAGGGCGGAGGGGGCGAGGTACTCTATGAGGTGCTTGTACAGCTGGTTCACCCTCACTGGCCGGGATAACACCGCCACCTTGCGCTGGTGACAAGGGACAGGGGAGAGGGGCGAGAGAGATGAAGGGGGAGGGGGAGTGAGGGGAGAAGAGAGGAAGAGGAGAAAGAGAACAATGTTCTTGAGGACTGGAGCTGCAGTCCCAGCTTGGGGACTGGAGCTGCAGTCCCAGCTTGGGGACTGGAGCTGCCGTCCCAGCTTGGGGACTGGAGCTGCCGTCCCAGCTTGGGGACTGGAGCTGCCGTCCCAGCTTGGGGACTGGAGCTGCCGTCCCAGCTTGGGGACTGGAGCTGCCGTCCCAGCTTGGGGACTGGAGCTGCCGTCCCAGCTTGGGGACTGGAGCTGCCGTCCCAGCTTGGGGACAGAGCTGGTTTTCTCGCACGTGCGCTGACATAATGGAGTGGAGGATGAGAGCGGCAGGGAGAGAGAACCCCGAAGCAAGAGACGAGAGCGATGAGGTGAGGGGTGGAGCCAGCAGAGGATGGGGCAGCGTGTGAGTCAACCAGGCAGAGCGGAACCAAAAGCAAGTGATGCTGGATGGCAAGCAACCCCCATTTGAACTGCCGGCAACGCTCACCAGGAGCGCGGGGTCGAAGGGCAGCTGGCGCTTGGAGTGTTTGGAGAGGAAGAGGAAGGTGGGCGCCGTGCTGGCACACGCACACCCCAGGTGCATCATCAGCAGCACGCGCTCCTGCTCGTGCTGCGCCGCCAGCGCCAACGCCAACGCTCCTCCCCCGTACCGGCCTTGCCCGCCCGTCCCTCTGCTGCTGCTCGTGACTGATGGTCCGTCCACTAGCACCACATCGAAGCGCTGCCCTTGCCGCGCCTGCACCCGCGCCAGAAACGACAGCTCCTCTCCACCCCGCTTCTTCCGCTCCTTCCCCTCCCTCCTCCTGCCTTCCTCCGCCTCGTTCCCACTGTCATCATCACCATCACCACCACCACCACCACCACCACCATCGCCACCACCACCATCATCACCACCATCCTCCTCCTCCTCATCGTCCTCCTCAGATGGTGCTTGTTCAGACGAGCCTGCTCCCTCTCCCCTCCCTGCAAACACCCCTCTGGGCGTGCTCATCGCCCTGGGATACCCCTTCCCCCTCTCCCCCCCTCCCACTCTCCCCACCGCGCCCTTCTTCCCGCCCTCACTCCCCCCACCGCCCTCCCCATCCGCCCACCCGAACAACGGCAAGTCGCTCCAACTACCGGACCGATACAC